ATCAGTTCAAAGATTTACTCGAAAGTCTACCACAAAATATATCAGACTTTGTCAATAATAGACAATTAGTTTACAAGTCTTTGAAAAAATACAAGCCAATAAACATTAGAGAAGCGTTTTTTGGTGGCCGGACTAACAATTTATACTTTAATTATAAATGTAATAATCAAAATGAAAAAATAATGTATTTAGACGTCACTAGTCTTTACCCGTATGTCTTATCGAAACGGTTATTTCCTATTGGACACCCGTCAGTTTTAACCGATTTTATTAATACTTCAATTGATAATTATTTTGGATTTATTAAGTGCCGCGTAATTCCGCCAAAACAGTTATATATTCCAATACTTCCCGTAAGATATAATGGAAAACTTTATTTTCCATTATGTAAGACTTGTTTAGAATCGAAATCAGATGATTATTGTGTACATTCAGATTGTGAACGGATGTTAGTTGGCACGTGGTTTAGTGAAGAGCTTAAATGTGCATTAAACTTTGGTTACAAAATTAACTTAATTATTGAAGTATTAAATTACGAAGAAAAATCAAGTGAAATTTTTTCTCCATATATTAAAACTTTTTTAAAAATTAAAACTGAGGCATCGGGATGGCCAGACAATTGCGTAACTGAAGAGCAAAAAAATACTTTTGTCAGCGAATTTAAAGAAATAGAAGGTAAATGTTGTTTATTTATTTGATATATTTAATTAATAAATATATTTTAATATAGACGTTGAATTAGATGTCAATAATATGGTTAAAAACTCTGGTTTGCGCACAATATCTAAGTTAATGCTCAATAGTTTATGGGGAAAATTGGCCCAATTATCTAATCAGGGTCAAGTTAAAATATGTTCAAATTATAATGACTATTATAGTTTGCTAACTGATGCAAAGTATAAAATAACAGGTATTATATTATAATTAGTTATTATTTAATATATTAATAATTATATTATTTGATAAATAGGTGAAGTACATCCCAATAGTGAAAAACTTATAGTTAACTATAAGTTAGTTGACGACATCTTATCAAAGCCTGGTAACACATCAGTGGCATTGGCTGCCATGGTAACTGCTTACGCTAGACTACATCTGTATAGTATACTACATTCAATTGAATCAGAAGCTGACGGACGTGTATTATATTTTGACACCGACTCTGTTATCTTCAAACACAACGCGTCACAAAACTGGAGTGTACCAACAGTTGGTAATTTTTTGGGTCAACTTACAGATGAAATAGAAAAAGACTTTGGAAGTGAAGCGTACATCAAGGAGTTTGTATCGTGCGGTCCAAAAAACTATGGTTACAAAGTCGTGTTACCAAATGGTAATGAAATAAACAAATTGAAAGTTAAAGGTTTAGCAATAACAGAAAAAGCTAAACATATTGTTAATTATTATACAGTAGTAGATATTGCTGATAAATACAGTAGAGGTATTTATGATAGTCGTCAAGTACCACAACAACAATTTAGATGCGATAAATTTCATAACATTAACACAGCAGTATTTAATAAAAAATATCAAGCAGTATCCGATAAACGTATAATAGTACAATCACATGATGTATACCAAACTATTCCTTATGGCTATTGTTTATAAATAAAATTATCAAATTAATTAAAATTTCTTTATTTATATTATAAAATACTTTATACATTTTTATAACCAATGAATTTTTTTATAGTTAATTAACGTTTTTATTTACATTTTTGAATACAATAACAAACTATTTTTATGGTTTGTTTACATTTTTGGATACAATAACAAACTATTTTTAAGGTTTGTTTACATTTTTGGATACAATAACAAACTATTTTTAGGGTTTGTTTACATTTTTGGATACAATAATAAACTATATTTATGGTTTGTTTACATTTTTGGATACAATAATAAACTATTTTTATGGTTTGTTTACATTTTTGGATACAATAACAAACTATATTTATGGTTTGTTTACATTTTTGAATACAATAATAAACTATTTTTATGGTTTGTTTACATTTTTGGATACAATAACAAACTATATTTATGGTTTGTTTACATTTTTGGATACAATAATAAACTATTTTTATGGTTTGTTTACATTTTTGGATACAATAACAAACTATTTTTAAGGTTTGTTTACATTTTTGAATACAATAACAAACTATTTTTAAGGTTTGTTTACATTTTTGAATACAATAACAAACTATTTTTAAGGTTTGTTTACATTTTTGAATACAATAACAAACTATTTTTAAGGTTTGTTTACATTTTTGAATACAATAACAAACTATTTTTATGGTTTGTTTACATTTTTGAATACAATAACAAACTATTTATATGTTTTGTTTACAAGTAGTTATACAGTAGGGTAGTTTGTTTACGAGTAGTTATAAAGTAGGGTAGTTTGTTTACGATTTTGAATACAATAACAAACTATTTTTATGGTTTGTTTACATTTTTTAATACAAAAGCAAACTATTTTTATGGTTTGTTTACATTTTTGTAAACAAATATAAACTATTTATATGTTTTGTTTACAAGTAGTTATACAGTAGGGTAGTTTGTTTACGAGTAGTTATAAAGTAGGGTAGTTTGTTTACATTTTTGAATACAATAACAAACTATTTTTAAGGTTTGTTTACATTTTTGAATACAATAACAAACTATTTTTATGGTTTGTTTACATTTTTGAATACAATAACAAACTATTTATATGTTTTGTTTACAAGTAGTTATACAGTAGGGTAGTTTGTTTACGAGTAGTTATAAAGTAGGGTAGTTTGTTTACGTTTTTTAATACAATAACAAACTATTTTTATGGTTTGTTTACATTTTTTAATACAAAAGCAAACTATTTTTATGGATTGTTTACATTTTTGAATACAATAACAAACTATTTTTAAGGTTTGTTTACGTTTTTGAATACAATAACAAACTATATTTATGGTTTGTTTACATTTTTGAATACAATAACAAACTATTTTTAAGGTTTTTTTACATTTTTGGATACAATAACAAACTATTTTTAAGGTTTGTTTACATTTTTGGATACAATAACAAACTATTTTTATGGTTTGTTTACATTTTTGAATACAATAACAAACTATTTTTATGGTTTGTTTACATTTTTGGATACAATAAGAAACTATTTTTATGGTTTGTTTACATTTTTGGATACAATAACAAACTATTTTTATGGTTTGTTTACATTTTTGTAAACAAATATAAACTATTTATTTATTATTATTTAAAAAGTAGATTATTTATAATGAAGTTATTACTATTTATAATAATTTTAAGTAAAATATATGTTATTTAGATGTAGTAATTGTGTTTAATAATCTAAAAAATAAAGTAATTTACTATTAGTACTGTATAAGTCAAGTAATTTAATAGTAAAATTAATTAAGTATAAGTAATTTTTAATAAAAATATAATCAATATAATAGCATTAATAATAAATATTTAAAAATATACTTATTTTATAATTATTTATAGTAATTATTAGTTAGATTTAAACTATGTAGTTGAAGTAATAGTATTAATTAATTAATAATTAATAAAATATAATCATTCTATTATCATTAGTAGTTCTTAAAGTATAATAATAATTAACATAACAGTAATTGCATATCAGTAATTAGTTAATATAAGTCAAATATTAGAAATATTTAATAAATTAACAATGTACTAATAATTTTTATTAAAATATAAGGATTATCTTAATATTATTGATTTTTTAAAATAAATATAGAAAATTTATTAGTATTTAAAAGATTAATATAAATAAAATATAAGATAACTTAAAAATGTATTAGTAACTTTAATTAAATAGAGACTATATTAGTAATTATTATTGAAATGTAAACATTATCTTAATATTTTTAGTAGTATATTGAAAAATATAGAGACTGTAGTAGTAATATTTAATAAAAATTTATTAAAATATAAGTATTGCAATGGAATAATTAATATTTATTAAATAAATGTAAAATATTAGTATTAAATGATTATAATTATAATATAATAAGAATAAGAATTGTAAGTTATCTTTAATAAAATATAAACATTATTATAATAAAATTAATAAATATTAGTCTAAAATAAGTTTTAGTAAAATACATTTGGTATTATTAATAGTAATTCTTTTATATATAAAAAATGAATTATAAGCAATTTAGTACGAATCTAAATTATTATTAATAAAATATACACACAATAGTAGAATTTATAATAATTTTAAGTAAATATATAAAATGTATCAAAAATTTATAACTTTATTACTTTATTGTAAGCAATGTATTATAAGTAAAAGTAATTAAAAGTTTAGTAGTTTTTATAATAGTATTTGTTGCTAATGAAATATGGTATATATAGTAATAGTAATAGTAGTAGTAATTATTAATGAAATAAAAGAAATGTAGTAGTAGTTTTATTATTAATGAAATAAGCTATTTAGTAGTAGTAGTAGTAGAAGTAGTTGTAATTATTAATCAATTATGCAATAGAAGTATTATTAGTACTATATTAAATTTAAAATTAGAAAGTGATGACCGTGATGGTCATTAGGATGTCGTCATCATTAATTCCAATGTCACATTATTTATGTGAGTACCTTATCAAAGTGACGTCATTCTCATATGACTTGAATGACCTTGACGACCTTGGGGGCGTGGCTTAGAGGTCAAGTTCAAGGTCAATCAGCACCTTTATCTACTACTGTTTAGTAAAACATTGTTGTTGTTGTATTACTAATACTAGTTTTAATAAAGTTTTAATATTAGTATTTTTTTTTAAAAAAATTATTACTAATCATTAACCGTAGATTGTTTATGATTATAGAAAATATTTAAGTTTTTAGTTAATCATCAATCAGTTTTGCTAACGTCATAAATGAAATCTAAAACTTTTAAAAATCAATAATAAAGAAAATTATATTTATTTTATTTTTTTTTTGGTGACAATTGTTTTAGTATTACATATATAAGTAATAAAACTAATATATTAAATATTTAGTTTAATAAAAATAAAAACAGTATATATATTTATATATATTATATATTATAAAATATATTATATATTATAAAATATATTATATATTATATATTATAAAATATATTATATATTATATATTATAAAATATATTATATATTATATATTATAAAATATATTATATATTATATATTATAAAATATATTATATAATATATTATATATTATATATTATAAAATATATTACAAAATAGCAATGGATATTATAGATCCTAATCTATATACATCAAAAAATAGCCATGCTCAATTATCAACTATAGATTCAATTAAAAATCATATTCAAAACAATGATAATAATAAGTACAGTATTTATATATATATATATTAATTTAATTACAAATTAATTATTTTTTTATTTACAGATCATATGATTTGATTGTTGATGTGGGCTGTGGTGGCGGTGTTTCGACCAATCTATTGGCCAAACATATACCTCAGCATAAACTGATTGTCGGTATCGATGTCGTACCCGATATGATAAGCTATGCCCGCAGTAATAATACGGATGACACCATTGAATATGTGGAGCAAGATATGAGTGTCAAGTGGACAGAAATCGGTAGTCAACGGATCAGACAACTGGAGTCGAAAGTGGATCTGATTTATTCAAATATGGTCTTAGAGTATATGCCCGACAAATGGCTAGTTATGGACACTGTTAACCGTTTGTTGACTACCGGCGGTCTATTTCATGCAAACATTTTCATATTACCCGATCTGAACAAAAAACTAGTAAACAACGGACCGAAACCATGGTATCAAACCCGCGAAAAACAATTAGACGATTGGCGTCAAAGTCTATCGGATAATCACTTACTGGTCAAACAGTTTGATACGATTGATGTCTGTTGGCCGACGGATAGACAGAAAATGATTGGTTTGTTTTTATGCTATTATTGCTAATATATATATATATATATATATATATATATATATATATATATATATATATATATATATATATATTAGGGTTGCGAAATGTTTTCGATTAAGAAATTCCCATTATATTCCCGGTAAATACCCTATAACTTCTCTATAAATTCCCTATAGATTCCCTATAGATTCCCTATAGATTCCCTATAGATTCCCTATAGATTCCCTATAATTTCCATATAAATTCCCAATAAATAACCAATAAGTTCCCAATAAATAACCAATAAGTTCCCAATAAATTATCAGTAAATTCCCTATAAATAAACAATAAATAAACAATAAGTTCCCAATAAATTCCCTATAAATTCTCACATAAATTTTTTCCACCTAACCCTTTGACTTTAGGCCAAAGGGGGGGTAAAACCTAAAAATCTCGATCATAGGGGGGGGTAAAATGACCTAACCCCCACTACCTCCAATTGCAACCTTGATATATATAATATATACAGTACTTAAAAAAAACTTAATTATTTTTTTTAATTTTTCAGAATTCATGCCAATTATGATATCAAAGTTTCGGTCATTTTTTAAAAACCGCAAACAATTTGATGCCGAACTCAACGATCACTTAACGGATACAGTGTTTGACGCCTACGTCAATCCCGACAGCCCTGAGCCCAATCCCAGAGCGTGGCAACAGTTTTTGGCCGATCCGACCGTTACGGAAGTCAATCGTTACCATCGATTGCTTAGAGTTACAGCTATTAAACAAAACTAAAATTTTTATTTTCTGATAATTATTTTTAATTATAATAATATTAATTATTATTGTTATTATTATCATTATTACGACTACTAAAGGTATAACTAATCAAAACTTTAAACATTTAGTTTTTTAGAAAAAATTAGTGGAATTTTTTTTTATTATTAATAAAATGTTTTTTTTTATTTTTACTGTAAAATTATTGAAATAAAATAAAAATAAATTTTCAATTAATTTTTAAAAATATATTTTTACTAATAAATAAACTTACAACTAATAACATTACATATTAATAAATAGTTATTTTTTTTAATTTCAATTAATTAATTTATTCTAATTCTATATAATAATATTATTATATATTTTTTAATAATTAGATCAATTAAATTCATTATTTAAATTAGTTTTTGTATTGAGAAATATTTATTTAGATTTTTTTTAAAATCTATAATTTAGTGATTTGTAATTATTATAGTTTTTTTATATAAAAAAGTAGATCTAACCTAAATTGACTCAAAATAATGAAACACAACTAAATACATTTTATTAGTTTTTTTAAAAAAGTGTTTTAGTGATTGTTAGATATTTTTTTGGTAATTTAGTGATTTTTATTTTTCAAAAAAAGTTATGACCTACATACAGTAATAATAATAAAAATAATAATTCAGAATATATAGACTATATTTAAAAAAAAATGTTAGGTTAGGTTAGGTTAGGTTAGGTTAGGTTAGGTTAGGTTAGGTTAGGTTAGGTTAGGTTAGGTTAGGTTAGGTTAGGTTAGGTTAGGTTAGGTTAGGTTAGGTTAGGTTAGGTTAGGTTAGGTTAGGTTAGGTTAGGTTAGGTTAGGTTAGGTTAGGTTAGGTTAGGTTAGGTTAGGTTAGGTTAGGTTAGGTTAGGTTAGGTTAGGTTAGGTTAGGTTAGGTTAGGTTAGGTTAGGTTAGGTTAGGTTAGGTTAGGTTAGGTTAGGTTAGGTTAGGTTAGGTTAGGTTAGGTTAGGTTAGGTTAGGTTAGGTTAGGTTAGGTTAGGTTAGGTTAGGTTAGGTTAGGTTAGGTTAGGTTAGGTTAGGTTAAGTTGTTTTGGTAAAAATATATATTTGAATACATTATTAAGCAGTGTATTTTAAATATAATCAATATCAAGATAGATTTTTTTAAATGACAGTATTTTTTTATTATAAAAAAATTTGTAAATTCACAATAAATAAAAAACATTAATTCTATTTAGATTCTCTATAAATTTCCCATATATTCCCTATTAATTTAACAATATATTCCATAAAAAAAGTAAAATATTCCTCAACAATATATATATCATTTTTTTTATTTAAAAAATGATGATTTTCATAAATAAAAATTATTAATTTATAATTAAGACTTAATTTTTTTTCTTTTTGTGTTTTTTATCATTATTTTAACTATTAAAAAAATCATTGTAGCAAAATAAATTATTTAATTAAGTATTTGAATAATTAATAAAACGAGATTTTTAATTTTATTTAATAATATTTTAATTGTAAACTAGTAAATTAATTTTAAGATTAAATTGAAATTACAATTCCAATAAAATAAAATAATTAACCAAATTTAAATTAATCAACTAAAAAAATTTTACTAATATCTATAATATATCAAACATATCTAATTATAATTTATATTTTTGTGTGAATTTAAAAAAAAAAATTTGCCACCTAACCCTTTGACCCTGATTGCAGGAGGGTGGGTAAAATCTAAAAATCTCAGGGTAGTAGTATGGCCTTACCCTTCCATACCCCCCTTTCGCAACCCTGATATATATACCGGTATATAATATAGACTTAAAAACATTTTATATATATTTTTTTTATTTTATCAGAATTCATGCCAATTATGATTTATTATGATTTATTTGATATTTTAATTTATTATTTAAATTAGTTTTTTTTGTTGAGAAATATCTATTTAGATTTTTATTTTTTAAATCTATAATTTAGTGATTTGTAATTATTATAGTTATTTTTTTTTATATATAATAAAAAGTAGATCTAATCTAAATTGATACATAACTAAATACATTTGATTATTTTTTTTTTAATTATTATTAAGTGTTTTAGTGATTTTTATTTTTCAAAAAAAAACAAAAATAGTTTTATGACCTAAATTTACTTATATATATATATTGTAAAATCACTTTTTAAAAAAAAATTTACGAGACCTACATAATAAATTTACAGTAAATACACTATTAATGTAATTATATAATGATTTTTATATTTTTAACAAAAATAAAAGATTACATACATTTAATCTTTTATTTTTTATATAAAAATTACTTGTATTATAAATCATTATTTTTATCATTTTTAATTTTATTTTAAGAAAAAAGTTTGTTTTCTTATTTTTTAATATATATACTGTATATATATTAAAACTAATAAATAATTATAGTTAGTATTTCATTAGTACTTCAAACATTAATAACTATATATTTTTTAATCAGTAAATTACAATATATATATATTATTAAAAATTTAGTAATTTATTAAGTAATTTTTTATTTTTTATTTTTAATAAAAATAAAATGAATCAAATAACTCCATTAAATTATTCATTGATAAGTCCAGTTACACATAATATTAGCAACGATTCAATTAATCAATTAATAAACAGGTTTGTATATACTATATACTATATATATATATATATATATATATATAATATATATATTTTTTAAAATATTAAATATATATATTTTAAAATATTAAATATATATATTTTAAAATATTAAATATATATATTTTAAAATATTAAATATATATATTTTAAAATATTAAATATATATATTTTAAAATATTAAATATATATATTTATATAGAAATTGTTTTTAAAAAATATTTTAATTTAACAATTATAATATTAAGTACAGCGTATATATATATATTTTAAAATATTAAATATATTTACTATTATTTATATAGAAATTGTTTTTTTTAATAAATATTTTAATTAAAATTTTTATTTATTAATTTATTTTTATCTCAATTTAAGAATTATAATAATAAATACATAATATATATATATATATATATATTTATATAATTTAATTGCAATTTAAAAAAACTATTGGTTTTATTTTTACAGATCCTATGATGTAATTGTTGACATTGGTTGCGGTGACGGTAGTCTAACCAAATTGTTGGCCAATCAGTTACAGCATAACCAGATCATTGGTATCGATGTGGTACCCGATATGATAAGCTATGCCCGACAGCATAACAATACAATTGATGGTAAGGACAACATCAACAACAACATCATCGACAACAACAACAACAACGACAACCATATCATTGAATATGTTGTACAAGATATGAGTGTCGATTGGCCGGCAATGTGTCCACAGATCAGACAATTGGAGTCCAAAGTTGATCTGATTTTTTCAAACTATGCCCTACAATATATACCGGATAAGCAACAATTGATGCAAACATTCAGTAGACTACTGTCCACTGGCGGTACAGTCTTTGCTAATATATTTTTGTATAACGATCTAAACAAAAAGCTAATCAATGGTCCATCTAATAGACATCTGTATCAAACAATTGCTGAACAAATTGCTAATTGGAAACAATGTCTAACATCAAGTGATAATCAGTTGTTTTCAATAAAACAATTCAAAATTTTGGATACCGTTTGGCCAATGGATAGGAAAACAATTATAGGTTTATTTATAATGATAATAAAAAAAATTATTATTAGTATTATTATTAGTATTATTATTAGTATTATTATTAGTATTATTATTAGTATTATTATTAGTATTATTATTAGTATTATTATTAGTATTATTATTAGTATTATTATTAGTATTATTATTAGTATTATTATTAGTATTATTATTAGTATTATTATTAGTATTATAATTAAAATTATTATTAGTATTATTATTAGTATTATTATTAGTATTATTATTAGTATTATTATTAGTATTATTATTAGTATTATTATTAGTATTATTATTAGTATTATAATTAAAATTATTATTAGTATTATTATTAGTATTATTATTAGTATTATTATTAGTATTATTATTAGTATTATTATTAGTATTATTATTAGTATTATTATTAGTATTATAATTAAAATTATTATTAGTATTATTATTAGTATTATTATTAGTATTATTATCAGTATTATTATTAGTATTATTATTAGTATTATTATTAGTATTATTATTAGTATTATAATTAAAATTATTATTAGTATTATTATTAGTATTAGTATTATTATTATTATTAATTACTTTAATTAATTGGTTTAATTATTTTTACTATATATATATCATAATTTACTCATAGGTTTTATGCCAGTTATGGTCAACAGTTTTCGGTCACAATTTACTAACCAATCGGACTTTGATTCGGAACTCAATGACCACTTATGGGACACAGTATTCGATGCCACCACTAACCCGACGGCTACAGAACCTAATCCCAGGGCTTGGCAACAGTTTTTAGCGGACACTACCGTTACGAAAGTCAACTGTCATCGAGTAGTATTGCAATTGATGGCTATTAAACAATAAATTAATTAATTAATTAAAAATGGTTATAAAAATAATTAGGAAATTTTTTTTTTAGGAAATTCCCATCAAAATAGAATGTATTTTAATAGATATGTTTGATATGTTATAGATATATATATATATATATATATATATATATTAAATTTAGTTATGATTTATAATTATTTTATATTTATTTTGTTTAATTCAAGAATTTGTTGAGTTTTTTAAATAAATTTAATTTAATAAATAAATAAACAGTAGTTAAACACAAACATTTTTTTTAATATAAAATATTCAAATTTTTTTTATAAGAAAAAAATGTTTTTAACTATTTTAACAAAAAAAAAACGATTGGTTTATAGGACAACCACTTATGACAAAATCTGTATATATTATGACACCTAACCTATAGTCATACCAAAAGTATTTTTTTTTAAAAATTATTAAATTATATAACACCGGCATCTTTGGCCAGTGAATAGAAAATGGTTGTCCTGTCGTCAAACAGTTGGTCGGATGAGTCAAACTCGGCTACCCGTCCGTCGCTTAGGACTAACACCCGATCGTAATCAAGGATTGTATTGATACGGTGTATCCGATTCACGTCTAAAACCTATCCCAACAATCATAGGCCCTAATACTGGATAAGCCGTTAAGGGTTTCCTCTAAATGTGAATTAATTGGCGATCGACTTATAGACTAAACCTATAATAGATATATAATATTAATACAATTTTTATATATTTTTAATATTTGTATGTTTTGTAAATTTTAATTATTAATTATTAGTATTATTATTATTATTAGTATTATTATTAGTATTATTATTAGTATTAGTATTATTAGTATTATTAGTATTATTAGTATTATTAGTATTATTATTAGAATTATTATTAGTATTATTATTAGTATTATTATTAGTATTATTATTAGTATTATTATTAGTATTATTATTAGTATTATTATTAGTATTATTATTAGTATTATTATTAGTATTATTATTAGTATTATTATTAGTATTATTATTAGTATTATTATTAGTATTATTATTAGTATTATTATTAGTATTATTATTAGTATTATTATTAGTATTATTATTAGTATTATTATTAGTATTATTATTAGTATTATTATTAGTATTATTATTAGTATTATTATTAGTATTATTATTAGTATTATTATTAGTATTATTATTAGTATTATTATTAGTATTATTATTAGTATTATTATTAGTATTATTATTAGTATTATTATTAGTATTATTATTAGTATTATTATTAGTATTATTATTAGTATTATTATTAGTATTATTATTAGTATTATTATTAGTATTATTATTAGTATTATTATTAGTATTATTATTAGTATTATTATTAGTATTATTATTAGTATTATTATTAGTATTATTATTAGTATTATTATTAGTATTATTATTAGTACTATTATTAATATTAGTATTAATATTATTATTAATATTATTATTCTTAATATTATATGACTATATATAAACATTAAATAATATTTTAATTATGACGTAAATATGATTATCAAAAAATAGTAGATATTGTAAAACTTTTGTAATAATTTTTTGTTTTTCAAAATAAAAATTTTAATTATAACTAATTGACGGTTAGGAAAATTTTTATTAATTACAAATATTTATTTAAAATAATGAGTTTCATTATTTTTTTTTAGAAAAAAAAATTATAATTATAAAATAAGTTTGTTTTCTTATTTTTAATATATATATATATATATATATATATAAAGATAAGTGCATAAAGAATGAGAATCAGTTAATTGTGTTTAAAATTAATACTTATTGATTTAATAAATTGAATATGATTGCAAATGAATTTAGTAATATATTAAGTCACAAAATAACCAAAATTAGTAATTAAATATTGTCCACTTGGGCCGCAATACACTTTTATAATCGGGAATTCATAGTCCCGATTAAACACTCATATGTTTTCTATGTATTCTCAATATAGATACCCGATTAGAAAAGTGTATTTCGGACAATTGGACAAAAATCAATTATAAATTTTTATTATTTTGTGATTATATATATGTTAATAATTTGATGTGCAATAAACAATTACTTTATTAAATCAATAACTATTAATTTTAAACACAATTAAAAAATTATCATTCTTTTTGCACTTATCTTTATATATATATATATATTAAAACTTATAAATAATTATAGTTAGTATTAGTACAGTACTTCAAACATACAACTATACATTTTTTAATCAGTAAATTGCTATATATATATATTATTAAAAATTTAGTAATTTATTAAGTAATTTTTTAGATTTATTTTTAAAAATAAAATGAATCAAATAACTCCATTAAATTATTCATTGATAAGTCCAGTTACACATAATATTAGCAACGATTCAATTAATCAATTAATAAACAGGTTTGTATATAAATTATATATATATATATATATATTAAATATATATATTTAAATAGAAATATTTTTAAAAAAAAAATATTTTAATTTAACAATTATAATAATAAGTACATTATATATTCTCTATATAAATATTAAAATATTAAATATATATATATTTATATAGAAATTGTTTTTTAAAAAAAAATATTTTAATTAAAAATTATTTATTTATTATAATTAATATATTTATATACAGTATAATTGCAAATTTAAAAAAAAACTATTTATTTTATTTTTACAGATCCTATGATGTAATTGTTGACATTGGTTGCGGTGACGGTAGTCTAACCAAATTGTTGGCCAATCAGCTAACGCATAACCAGCTCATAGGTATCGATTGCGTACCCGATATGATAAGCTATGCCCGCAAACATAACAATACAATTGATGGTAAGGACAACCCCAACAACCATATCATTGAATATGTTGTACAAGATATGAGTGTCGATTGGCCGGCAATGTGTCCACAGATCAGACAATTGGAGTCCAAAGTTGATCTGATTTTTTCCAACTATGCCCTACAATATATACCGGATAAGCAACAATTGATGCAAACATTCAGTAGACTACTGTCCACTGGCGGTACAGTCTTTGCTAATATATTTTTATATAACGATCTAAACAAAAAGCTATTAATTAATGGTCCGACAAATCGTAGACAACAACGGTATCAAACAATTGCTGAACAAATTGCTAATTGGAAACAATGTCTAACAATATCAACATCAAGTGATAATCAATATTTGTTTTCAATTAAACAATTCAAAACATTGGATACCGTTTGGCCAATGGATAGGAAAACAATTATAGGTTTATTTTTAATGATAATAAAAAAAATATTATTAGTATTATTATTAGTATTATTATTAGTAATTTAATTAGTAATATAATTAGTAATATAATTAGTAATATAATTAGTATTATTATTAGTATTATTATTAGTATTATAATTAGTATTATAATTAGTATTATAATTAGTATTATTATTAGTATTATTATTATTTAGAAAAATTGATTTTTTTTTATTTAAATTGTTAAAATTGGTTTAATTTTTTTTCACTATATATATTAATATATCATAATTTACTCATAGGTTTTATGCCTGTTATGGTCAACAGTTTTCGGTCACAATTTACTAACCAATCGGACTTTGATTCGGAACTCAATGACCACTTATGGGACACAGTATTCGATGCCACCACTAACCCGACGGCTACCGAACCTAATCCCAGTGCTTGGCAACAGTTTTTAGCCGACACTACCGTTACGAAAGTCAACTGTCATCGTATAGTATTGCAATTGATGGCTATTAAACAATAAATTAATTAATTATAAAAATGGTTAAAAAAAATTTTAGTAAAATTTTTTTTTAGGAAATATCCACCAAAAAAATAGTAAGTATAATAGATATGTATTTGATATGTTATAGATATATATATATATATATTAAATTTAGTTATGATTTCTAATTATTTTTATTATAATGATTATGATTATTATTATATATTTATTTTGTTTAATTCAAAAATTTGTAAGTTTTTTTTTAAATAAACTTAATTTAATAAATAAATAAATGTTTTTAGCTATTATTATGGTATATAGGATAACCTCTGTATATATTATGACACCTAACCTATAGTAATCCCAAAGATATTTTTTAAAAATTATTAAATTATATAACACCGGCATCTTTGGCCAGTGAATAGAAAATGGTTGTCCTGTCGTCAAGCAGTTGGTCGGGTGAGTCAAACTCGGCTATCCGTCCGTCGCTTAGGACTAACACCCGATCGTAATCAAGGATTGTATTGATTCGGTGGGCAATCGTTAGGACAGTACACGACTTAAATGATTGTCTAATAGTTTGTTGAATGAGTGAATCGGTTTCCACATCGACGGCAGCCGTGGCCTCATCGAGGATAAGGATAGACGTGTGTCGGAGTAGAGCCCGAGCCAGACATACAAGTTGTCGCTGACCGACACTCATGTTATCACCCGATTCGGTCACCGGATGGTCGAGACCGGCATCAGTCGACAGTACAAACTCTTTGAGATGCGACTGTTCTAACACTGACCAGAGATCGTCGTCGGAAAACTTGTCAAACGGATCCAAATTTGAACGAATAGTTCCCGAAAACAGTACCGGTTCTTGTGGTATAATTGTCAGCCGCGATCGCAAATCGTGTAGACCTAATTGACTGATATCTATGTCATCGATAACTATACGACCCATTGCTGGCTCAATGAGCCGAAACAATGCCAATGTTAGCGATGACTTTCCCGCACCGGTTCGGCCAACAATACCTATCTATGATAATAATAATAATATAAATCATTGAATAAAATACATTATCATATATTTACCATTTCTCCAGATTTTATAGAAATATCGATGCCTTTGATAACTAAATCCAATCCCTGTCGATATCGGGTACCGTATCCATCAAATCTAATGCATCCATTTTCTGGCCATTTATCCGATAATTGTTGACCCGATAATTGCCAGTCGGCTTCTGTATTCAGACCGCAGTATTCGTCTATCCGTTCAAACGATACCAGATTTGCCTGCATTTGTGCAAATGAATTGATAAAATACTCCAAAATACCGGTCAGAGTAATAGCATTTGATAGACTGAGTCCAATGTCCGAACCGTTTAGACTATCTTTACGTATGACACCAAACAGTGCAGCAAACAGTACAAGTATATTGGTTAGCACTTGTAGTCTAACCAATAGCCAACTGTTGGCCATAATATACGGATAGAGACATTGTGTGTTGTTATCAATCCTATTATCCGATTCCCGTATAAACCTATCCATACAATCATAGGCCCTAATACTGGATAAGCCGTTAAGTGTTTCCTCTAAATGTGAATTAATTGGCGATCGACTGATAGACTCTAAACTATAATAGATATATAATATTAATACAATTGATATATTTATTTTGAATTTTTGCATGTTTTGTAAATTTTAGTTATTTTTAATATTATTAGTATTATTAGTATTATTATTTTATATATTATATAGATACTATATAATATTTAATAATATAATTAATTATTTTAATTTTATTTTAATTTTATTAAAAATTAATAATATTTTTAATTCCCTACCGTCTTAATTGACACGATGCTTTAATATAAATGTTCTAGATTAGTTTTTGGATGTAAAATTTTTTTTACAAAAAAATAATTAATTATAATTAATTAAAAATATCAATATATACTGTATATATATATATATATTTAAATACCTGTAGAAAATAGTATACAATAACAGTCACTGCAAATGGTATCAAAAACATTGGCGTCAATATTGAAATCGACACAACAATACCAATGAGTTGTAGACAATAGTCTAATGTTTGCCTTAATTGATAAAATAGTTGGGAAAAAAAATTTAAAAAATTGTTATTTTATATTTATATTTTAATATATATATATATACAGTATATATATACAGTATATATATATGATATATATATATATATAATAATAATATATGATTATAATTAGCATAGTTAATACTACCGTTATCTCCTCCCACCCCCCCCCCCCCCCCCAATTACCTAAACATAACTGGCAAACCCAAATCAATCAGATACATGTCCTTGTTGAAACGATTCAATAGTCGACCTACGGGTGTCGTATCGAAAAACTCCATGGGCGCATGCATTATACGATCTAATAGTTTACGATGCAATCGGATACAGGTGCTTATAATAGTAAGGGCATAGATAAATCTGTAAACTGTTTGCAACAATAACTGTCCGACAATCATTGCGGCAAATATTAGCATATAAAAAACTGGACCCCTACTGTCCCCAATATCACTACCATCACCATTAGTATTATTGGCAGCCAACTGTTTGGACCAGTAGGCCAACCAAAAATTGATACCATAGTTGATAGCAATCGATAACATTAGAACCGTTAGACAAATCAATAGTAACTTTATGTTAATTAGACGAATATATTTGATAAATGTCTAAAAAAAATTTTAAAATAAATAAAAAAATTAGATAATAATAATTTTACTAATAATTAATTATAATAATAATTTATATATATATATATATATATATATATACCTTAATAGTTATTAGTCCAATTTGGGCACCCTCCTTATCAATTAATTGTGCATGATTATTATTATTATCATTATCAAAATTATTATTATTATTATTATTGGAGATAATATTTTTATTAATAACAACTATTTGATTCAAACTATCTGTCCATTTATGGTAACTATTGTAATCATCATCGACTCGTTTACTGAAATACTGTTTAATTAATTGTTGAAAATAATTACTATCGAGTAATAGTTGTCCGTAAGTACCGGTCGATACTATTTTACCCGCTTTCAGGACAACTATTAGATCGCAATCGGCTAACATAAACAATTGATTTGTGACCAACAATCGGGTTTTTGAACCCAAACAACCCGTTTTTGAGTCCAATATTTCGGTCATCAAATGTTTGCCCACATGACTGTCCACTATATTTAAAAAAAATAAAATTTTATTAATTAAAATAAAAAATTAATAATAAAAATCAATTAATATATAAAAACAATGCCTGCAGAAAGTGGATCGTCGAGTAGATATAGATCGGCACCGGTATAGACGGCTCGGCCTAAACTGACTCTTTGTTTTTGACCGCCACTCAGATTAACGCCTTTCTCGCCGATCTCTGTCTGGTCTCCGCCGGCCAGTTGTCGTATATCTGGTCTGAGAGCACAGCTATCTATTACCCGGTCATACAGTTCCTCATCGAACGGCTTTCCAAACATAATATTCTGTTTGATGGTTGCATTCTGTATCCATGCCTGTTGTGGAACGTATGCCATATGAACACCCGGTCTGACATTAACTGTACCCTCAATGAGCTCCATATCCCCGATAATAGCAGACAACAGTGAACTTTTACCTGAGCCGACATCGCCAACTATGGCCACAAACATACCCTCACGGATATGCAAATCAATTTGATTTAATGTATATTCCTTTACATTATTAATATTATTACTAATTTTTTGATCATTAAGTGTGTCCCACGAAAGTGTTGCCCCATTTATATCAATCATATTATTATTATCATTGCTATCATTAATAGTATTATTGGTCACATAGTTGTTATGTTCATCTAAATTAAGAAAATCATTGAAACGATTGAATGATACGTACATCTAATGTATTAAAAAAAAATAATAATAAATAATTATTTTTATTTATAAAATATACTTCAAAAGTATTAACTAAAAAAATAAAATTATTGCTTTATTTTGTTGTTTATATTTTTTAAAAAATAGTTATTAAACATGTGTTAAAAAATAAAACTGTAAGTTCATAATACTTTATATGAATTATATATTTTTTAATTACCTAAAAAAATTATAAATACTAATAATATCAATCATACATACCATACCAGCAGTACTGTAAACATAGGCTAACTTTGATAGGATTTCCTTAAACACTGACATCAATGATATGGAAAAAAATATTTTTTCAGCCGTTAATTGTTCAGCAAATTTCAGTCCCAAATATAGACTAAATATAACTAAATGACATATCAATGGACACATGTTTGATATTATATACAATAAGGAATAAACATAATATAAATGTTTGACTTTAAGTAACTCCTGATCACGTAATTTGGTTATAATATTCATAAACGGTTGTTCCCACGCATATAACTAAATTAAAATAAACAATAATTAATTAATAATTATAATAATAATAATCATTAATAATAATAATAATAATAATTAGTATATTAATAATTAGTAGTAAAAATAATTAGTAATAATAATAATTAGTATATTAATAATTAGTAGAAATAATAATTAGTAATAATAATAATAATTAGTATATTAATAATTAGTAGTAATAATAATTAGTAATAATAATAATTAGTAATAATAATAATTAGTAATAATAATAATTAGTAATAATAATAATAATTAGTAATAATAATAATTAGTAATAATAATAATTAATTAGTAATAATAATAATAATTAATAAGAATAACAAATAAATAAGTAATTAATTAATTATACTTTAATTATTTTGATGCCATTTAGTATTTCTTTAATAAAATTAAGTCTATTGTCGGCATATTTTAATTGTTTTCTATCGATTTTAATACCGATTTTCATAATTAAAAACTGTAACCAAAATAGTATGACCACAACCGCTAAACAGGAAAATGCTGTATAATTAAACTCAGTAAACAATAAGCCAGTGGTCAGTATTATTTGTAGGGGTAATACCACTATGTATGCCAACCATTGGGCATTATCTATATATTTGAATAAAATTTAATAACAAAAAAAAAGTTTTGTAATATTTTTTAAATACTACTAAACCATTAACCCGTTGACAGTCGACAGCCATTAGGTTAGTTATGTCGCCATAACTGGTCAGACGTTTGGCACCGTTACTCAACACCAGTGACTTGCGATAGACGGCCGACATTACCGATGATGTGATTTTCATAGCTAACACACAAAAAAATAAATAAAATTATTTAACTTATAATACTGTATTGATTTGAAATTTTTACAAAGATTTTTATTATTACTATACTCTTTAAAAAAAAATCGGTAAAAACAGAGACTATTATTGTTATAATACTAATTAACAACAAAAAAAAACAAAATAAATAATTTTATATTTTTTGTAAAAACCTAGACATTTAATTGCTTGTATATAATATGTATTCAATAGACTCGATAGTATAGTAATCAGCACCAGTAGTACACAATAGACATATCCGTGCCATTTATATTGATCCTTATCCTCATAAGTGATAAACAATCTAAAGTGATAATAATAATAATTATTATAATAATTTTTTAACTATTATTTTTTATATATATATATATATAAAGTACATAAACACTACATACTTGACCACTAATGGTTGACAACATTTTAGGCCAACCGATATAAATAATATTAGACATAACCATAGAAATTGTAGACTAAATTTATGCAATATTATCGATAAAAAACTAATTTTATTATTATTATTATTATTATTAACATTATAAACATAATTGAAACTAAAAAATGATTGAAATTTATTTTTTGCTTTAATGTCCGCTAAAACGTTTGAATTGTCGTCGACAACAACACTATTAGGTTTAGTTGTCTTAAATAGATATCTATGAAACGTTTGCTTATAGTTAGCTAAGACACTGTAGCCCGGGGTCAGTGGCCAGAGATCCTGGAAGTCGATAGTCTTTTTCCAGTTCATGACAAACAAACTGGTCATCCATTGATAGGTTAGCCTCGATATAGACGATGCCCTCTCTATGGGACATATAATGTCTGGACATTTATTGCTGATTATGTTTCGCTTAGTTATTGTATTTGTATTATTAATATTAGTATTATTGACTATTGGCCTGCAATCAGCAAATTGACAATAGATTAGTAGCAAAACAGTCAATCCATAGTTTATAGAAAACAATATGAATTCATAGTTGTGTAGCATCTGATTGTTAGTATAGGTGGCCACAGATAAACTACCGAAAATGGTGTCCAACAATAGGTATAACCAAATCAGTCCACTAGTGATAATACCGTACAAACGTTGAATGTTAAACACTAGACATAGTAGTAATCTGGCCATAGTTTGTATGCCTAACCCTAGTATGTATGCAGTACTGGGACTATCGTTCCACTGATATTTACGGCATAAACTTAACGCCAGTTCCGCTATTAGTATACCAGTGCTTAACAAACATACCAATAATCGGCTGGTGTTGTAATAATTCCATTGAATAATAGTTTTATTATTATTATTATTAGTAGTAGTAGTAGTTTTGTGATAACATTTCCATATTAGGTACGGTATGTATAACAACAAGAATATACAGGGAATCCATACAAACCATGTGTTTAACATACATGAACTTAGATTAGGAGCCGTTGTATACCATGAAAGTTGTGGATCCTTTAGATGCAAAAAAATTTTTTTAATACATAATTATTGATTTTTTTATGTCTATTAGTATTGGTATTAATAATAATCTATTAAATAATTAATTTATATTATGTTAATATATATATATATATATATATATATATATATATATATATATATATATGATATAACTTACCCATAATTGATCCTTGCATATTTTCTCAAACATAATTAACTAATTAAAACTCAATTAAAACAAGTCAATTAAATTATATTGAATTAATATTTATAAAATAATTAAACAAAATAAACATAAAAAATAAAACATATATATATATATATATAATTATAAGTACTTTTATCATTTATATTTTATTTTTAAAATATATTAAAAGTCATCGAAAAAACAATATACTTTTTTATATTAAATTAATACTAATAATAATAATAATTATTATTATTATAATTAATTAATTAAAATAAATAATAATTATCGTATTGTTTTTTTAATTAATAAACAATATATTTTATTTTATTTAATATACACAAATATTAAGATATATATACAGACATAGATATATATATATATGAAAGCAATATACACTGTTTGGTTAGGTTAGGTTAGGTTAGGTTAGGTTAGGTTAGGTTAGGTTAGGTTATTTATACAATATAGCAATATATATAAAAATGTTTAAAAAATGTTTATTAATTAGATGTTATTTTCTTAAAAAATATAATGTTTTGAAATATTAGTAAAGAATTTTAATAAAACATCGAATTTATTGTATTTTTTTTAATTTTTAGTCAAAGACCTGATTTTTATTTAATTTAACTATAAATATAAAAATAAACTTAATATCATTTATATATATATATATATATATATATATATATATATATATATAATTTAAACTAATTTGTGAGATAACTATTGTGATAACTAGCTTATAATATGTGAATATTAATTGTAATTATTATTTTTAACATATATATAAAAATAATTAATAGTATTGTAATCATATATTTGTACTGTATTTATAATATAATAAGTCTAACTAAAGTTATATATATATATATATATATATATATATATATATATATATATTATATATTAAATTATTAAATTATTATAATTTTAAATCATTGACAGAAATTCATGTCTAGTTTTATGATTATCTTTAAACTCTCCAAACATACAACTGGTTATAGTTTTGCCATTGATTTTCTGTACCCCACGAGAGCTCATACACATGTGTCTGGAAATACCAATAAAAATCAATAATTATATTCAAACTTATATATAATATGACACATACTTGGCCTCAACAACAACACCGACTCCTAAAGGACTGATAGCTTCAACCACTGCTTCGGCTATTTGTTTGGTCAGTCTTTCCTGAACTGTAAGACAACAACAAAAATCAATATATTTTTATTTTATTTTCATTACTATATCTGTATCCACCCATACCTTGCAGTCTTCGGGCAAACATTTCAACAATTCGGGCCAATTTGCTGAGTCCCAGCACCTTATGGTCGGGCAGATAACCGATAGACACTTTGCCATAGATGGGCACCAAATGGTGTTCACAATAGGAAAACATTTCAATATCTTTGACGACAACCATCTCATCTGTGTCTTCAGCAAACACGGCATCATTCAAGACATCATTGATTTTCAATTGATATCCATTAGTGAAATACAACAGTGCTTTCGCTGCCCTCTCCGGTGTCTTCAATAGACCCTCTCTTTCCGTGTCTTCGCCAATCGTTTCCAACAGATCTCTATAAATACGAGTCAATCGTTTCAATTGTGTATCTTTCGTGTCGTCCAAACCATCGTTTGCACCGTTAGTTTTTGCTACAGTATTATTGTCTACATAAACAATATCATCTGTGTCTTCAACATTACTGACATTATTATTGATTTCATAACCATTTTGTTTGTTATCTTGTTTTTCAAAGTTATTCAATGTTTTAAACATTTTTCTAAAAAAAAAATTAATCTATAATTAAAAATTAAAAAAAAAATTCTATACTGTATTTATTAACTTAATAATAATCTTAATAATAATACTAATAATATTAAAACACTTTTAAAACTTTTTTAAAAATATGGTATATATTTATATACCATATAATATACAGGCAATTGATTAAAAAAAAATTTTATTGACGCAAATATGATTATCAAAAAAATAGTAGATATTGTAAACATTTTGTAATAATTTCAAAATACTAATTGACGGTTAAGAAAATTTTTATTAATTACAAATATTTATTTAAAATAATGAGTTTCATTATTTTTTTTTTTTAAGTAAAATAAATTATAAAATTTATAAACTTTTTAAAGAAAAGTTAACTTGCACAGTTATTTTTAGTTTATAAAAAAACTAATATTAATTATTAAAATGTAAAAAATAAATTAATAGTTTTAACTAACCTAACTATTGTATTACATGTATGTTTTCATAAAATTATTTATTTATTTTTTTAAAATTAGTTAATTATAATATTTATTATAGTTAATTATTGATTATTTAATTTTTAATGTAATATTATATATTGTTTTGTATAGTATAACTAAATTTATTATATATATATATATCTTATAATCAATATATTTTATTTCATATAATAAACAGTTTTTACCTAAACATGATTATCATAAAAATTGATTTTATTTTTTTTACGTATTTATTAAAATGATTATCATTGTCATACGATATGTTTTAATTTTTTAAAAAAATAATATTTGTTTAAAATCAAATTGTAATATCATTTTTAAATTTAAAAAAAACATATTTATTAAATTTTAATTTGTAAAATTCTAAGTAATTTTAATATAAAATAAAATAATATTAATTAAAGGTATAAAAGTTTTGTATATATATATATATATATATATAGAAATCATATAATATATAAAAATATATGTATATATTAAAATAATCAAACTTACATTTTTTTTAAAATTTTTGAATTTTATTGTTGGTCAAAAAAATTGTGTCTATTGAGAAAAAAGCACAGTTAGTTATTTTATATATTTATATATATATATATATATAAAGTGTGTTTATATTATTAATAATTTAGAGGACAGATAATCAACTAATAGTTTGGAGACAATAAATTTTTTTACTAACAAATAACTGGTATTTATATATATATATATAGAAATTTTTTTATATCCTATTTAAGATTTATCTTGATTTTTGTGTCTAATTTATTATTATTTATTATTAATAATTTTATATATATATTTTTTTGGCACAATAGTTGCCATAATTAAGATTATATTAAACATTTCAATATTAATAAATAAATGGCAATATTTGATTTAGAAAAATAAAATAAATAAAAATAATAATTTTATCAATTAATTTTGGTAACTAATTATATAGTAGTCTACTATTATTATTATTATTATTATTATTATTATTGCATTATTATTAAAAATTGCTATATTTTTTTAATATTACTATTTTAAATTATATCCTATTATATCATATATATACAGTATATATATATATAGTAATAATTATATTATATAAAAAAAACTAAATAACATTTAATGATAAACTTGTTTATTATATAAGATAAATATATATAAAATAAATTATAGTTAATTAATATTTGTTTTAGTAAATCCTTAATTAAATTTATTATCAATTACAGTGTATTTGTTGTTTATATTAGGTTTATTAAACTGTTATTTTTTTTTATTTATTTTTTTATTTATTTACTAATATATTGATAATGCAATAATTTTAATATTAATAAATATTACTAAATTATAGTGCAATAACTAAATATTAATACAGTATATACTGTATAATGTTTGACTTAAATGATAATTATTGATAAATATAAATATATAAATTATTATCAATAAAAAACAAAAATATTTCTCAATAAATAAATATATATATATAAATATAATTGTTTTCTAAATATGCTGAACATGTGTTTTTTATTATAACTTATATATATATATAAGTGTAAACATTAACTGTTTGTAATAAAAAAAAATTATATATATATATATATATATCTATTTAATTGAATATATAATATAGAAAATAATATTAATAATATTCAAATAATTTAATTATATATTAATATATAAATAACTTTTTAAAACAAAATTATATCATATTTTTTAATATTAATAATAATAATAATAATTTAATTGTTGTTCAAAGCTATAAAAACTTTTTTAATTTATAAATATATTTTTTTTTTAATTAAGTTGATTAACTAAATTAAAAAACAAAAAAATTACCATGGATATTATTGAACCCGATGTTTATGCTAAACAAAAAAGTAATGCCCAACTAATAGCTATGCAATCAATTGATAGTCTAAACACGTATAACAACAATAAGTATGTTTATTAATTAATTAATTAATATTTTTTTTTTTAAAATAAATATCTTATAATAAAAATTATATTTTTTTTTTGTTTAATTCATTTTAACAGATCATACGATCAGATTGTGGACATCGGTTGCGGTGACGGCGATATAACCAAACAATTACTCGGCAAACATATCCGGCATAAACATATACTGGCCATAGATGTCCTGCCCGATATGATAACGTATGCCCGCAATCATAATTCAGATGATACTATTGAATATCTAGTACAAGACATGTCCGTCGAGTGGCCACTGATCAGTAGTCCACGACTGCGGCAATTGGCCGGCAATGTTGACCTAATATTTTCTAACTTAGCACTTGAATATATGGCCGACAAACGGCAAATAGTCGATACATTCGGTCAGTTGTTGTCCACGGGCGGCGTATTTCACGCCAATCTGGTTATTATGGAAGATATTAACAAACGATTGGCCAGTTATGGTCGGCCGCCGAAACAACAATGGTATCAATCGCGTGAAAAGCAATTAGACAATTGGCGTCAAAGTCTATCATCGGATAATCAGTTTCTGGTCAAACAGTTTGAGATTATTGATGTCTGTTGGCCTACGGATAGACAGAAAATGATTGGTATTTAAAATAGTATTTTATTTTAAAAAATTAAAAAATCAAAATAAAAATCAAATAAATATTTATATTATAAACTTTTTTTGTTTGTTGTGTGTTATATATTAATATAGACTTTATGCCAATTATTATATCAAAATATCGGCAATTTTTCCAAAATACCGATGACTTTGAGTCGGAAAAAATTGATCACTTATGGGATACGGCTTTCGATGCGTTGGTCAACCCGACGGCCGATACACCCAACCCCAGGGCGTGGCAACAGTTTTTGGCCGATCCGACCGTTACGGTAGTCAATCGTTACCATCAATTGCTGAGAATAACTGCTGTTAAACAATAAGATAAATTGATTTTATTTTTATTTTTTAAATAATGTTTTTATTGTTTATTAATTAATTAAGTAATTAATTAATTATAACTTTTTCTTACATTTAATTAGTAAATCAACAAAAAAAAATGTTATGTTTTACGAGAGAAAAAAAATTAATACTAAATAAAATGTTTATCAAAAAAATATTTTTGTTTAATGTTTTAATGTGTAGACTATAGTATATATATATATATATACAGTTTGATATAATACAATAGTATCAAGGTTATATTGTTGTTGAAAATTTATGTACTTTATATTAATTATTTTTTTTGTAGAAAAATTTTAATTAAATATTTTCAATACTATTTATTTTTATTATCAATATCTTGGAATTAAATTTATAATTTTTTTTTAAAATTAATGGATATTTAATTATTTTATTTTTACTAATAATTATTATAACTGTTTACTGTTTATTATATATAATCTTATTTTTTTATTATCAGTAATAAAGTATAATAATTATTAATAAATCTATAAATTTAAAAAATATATAATTTAATTAATATTTTTTTAAAAAATTAATTTATATAATTAGGTTTTTAGTAAAATATTATAACACAATTACATCAAAATATAGATATCATAGTTTAAAAAAACATATTAATTATTTCCTTAAAATTTATAATATTTATATTTCAATTTAATTTCAAGATTATAACTAAACTGTAAATAATAGTTAGTTTATAACTTAATAGAGTTACTATTAATTAAAAAAAAAATAAAATATTTTTTTTTTAAATAAATAAATAATAACTATTAATAAAATTTCTAAATTTTCAAATCATATAACACCGGCATCTTTGGCTAGAGAGTAGAAAATGGTTGTCCTGTCGTCAAGCAGTTGGTCGGGTGAGTCAAACTCGGCTACCCGTCCGTCGCTTAGGACTAACACCCGATCGTAATCAAGGATTGTATTGATTCGGTGGGCAATCGTTAGGACAGTACACGACTTAAATGATTGTCTAATAGTTTGCTGAATGAGTGAATCGGTTTCCACATCGACGGCAGCCGTGGCCTCATCGAGGATAAGGATAGACGTGTGTCTGAGTAGAGCCCGAGCCAGACATACAAGTTGTCGCTGACCGACACTCATGTTATCACCCGATTCGGTCACCGGATGGTCGAGACCGGCATCAGTCGACAGTACAAACTCTTTGAGATGCGACTGTTCTAACACTGACCAAAGTTCGTCGTCGGAAAACTTGTCGAACGGATCCAAATTTGAGCGAATAGTTCCCGAAAACAGTACCGGTTCTTGTGGTATAATAGTCAGCCGCGACCTCAACTCGTGTAGACCTAATTGACTGATATCTATGCCATCGATAACTATACGACCCATTGCTGGTTCAATAAGTCGAAACAATGCCAGTGTTAGCGATGACTTTCCCGCTCCGGTTCGGCCAACAATACCTATCTATAAAATTAGATAATTATTATTAGATATCTATAAATGATTACACAATTGATTTCAATACCTTTTCTCCGGACTTGATATCGATGTCAATACCTTTGATTACTAAATCCAATCCCTGTCTATAGCGAGTACCGTATCCGTAACCTTTTTCTGGCCATTTATCGGACAATTGTTGACCCGATTGCCAGTTGGCTTCAGATTTCAGTCTACAGTATTCGTCTATCCGTTCAAACGAAACGAGATATCCCTGGGTTTGTGCAAAAGTATCGATAAAATACTCTAAAATACCGGTCAATGTAATGGCATTTGCCAGCGACAGTCCAATGTCCGAACCGGTTAGACTATCTTTACCAATGACACCAAACAGTGCAGCAAACAATACAAGCAAATTGCTTAGGACTTGTAGTCTAATCAATAGCCAACTGTTGGCCAAAATTGACGGATAGATACACTGCAAGTTTTGGTCGATCCTATTGTCCGATTCCAGTATAAACCTATCCATACAATCATAGGCCCTAATACTTGATAGACCATTGATTGTATCGCCTAAATGTGAATATATTGGCGATCGGCTTATGGACTCTAAGCTATATATACAGTATATATAATATATATACAGTATATATAATATATATACAGTATATATAATATATATATATATATATATATATCAGGGTTAAGCAAGGTTTTGGATTTTAGGGGGGGGGGGGGGGTAGACCGGGGTAAAATTTACAAAATTCTCGAAAAATCTTGGGGGGGGTATTGGGTGGGGTAAGATTTTTATTGCATTTTTAAACGGCAATTTTTTCAAAAATCCAAAATCAAGGGGGGGGGGGGGTCAAGAGAAAATTCCCTAATATTCCCTTAAATTCCCGAATATTCCCATGTAAATTCGATAAAATTCCCATAAGTTCCCGTATAAATTCCCAGGAAAATAGGTAAAATTTACAAAAATACTAAAAAAAACTTTAACAAAAATAAAAAAAAGTTAAATTTTAACAAAAATAAATATTTTTAAAAAAAAATTTTAAAAATTAATAAAAACTTAAATTTTAGCAAAAAATAAAATAATAATGTATTAAATACTTAAAAATAGGTGATAAAGGCATTAATGATACACTGAGTTTTTTAGTATTTTAGTAATTTTTAACTTTTAAAATAATTTTTTAAATAATACTTAATGCTTATAGTTTATAGATATATATTTTTATTTTTTAATGTTATTTTTATGTAAATACTGATTGAATACTAATTATAAAATTAAAAATATTTTAAATTTTTTAGTTAAAATTTTAAAAATTATTAATAAAAACCTTGTAATATAAGTATTTATTTTTTTATTAACTTCTTAAACTATCTCAAACTTCTATTTATATTGTAATATGATTATTCTTTTCAACAAATTGGTATTTTTTAACTTTTTAGTTTAATATTTTAAGTAAAATTATGTTATTTTTTGATGAGTTTTAACGTTATTTTAACTTTTTTACTTATTTTTAATCAATAATTAGAATCATATAAATTTTAAAAACATAAAAACACTTACTAAAATAGTATTAACTAAAATTAAAATTTTTATAAATCTCAAAAAATTTTCGGCGCCTKCGGCGCCGAAATTTTAGGGGGAGAGTCATTTCTCCTCGTTTTTAAGCGACAATTTTTCCCATTTGGTCAAAAAGTCTGGGGGGGTAAAATCCCAATTTCTCGATCTTAGGGGGGGGTATTTTGGCCTTACCCCCCCCTACCCCCCCCCCCCCTTACTTAACCCTGATATATATATATATATATAGTTAGATAGCAATCAATGTAATTATAAAATAAATACCGTTTTAATTGACACAACGCATCAATATAGATGTACTTTAAATATAATAATTTTTAATAATTATTATTATTTTCATTTTATTAATAAATTTAAAGAAAATTTTAAATACCTGTAGAAAATAGTATACAACGACTGATACAACTAATGGTATCAAAAACATTGGCGTCAGTATTGAAATCGACACAACAATACCAATGAGTTGTAGGAAATAGTCTAATGATTGACTAAAAAATTGATAAAAAATTAAAATTAAAAAAATAATTAATACAATTAACTAAATGTCGGTTAAGCTGTAGATTTCAAATTTTTTTTTTAATATATATAATAATATTTATATAAAAATTTGTTATTTACTTATTACGACTATTAGATTACTATTAGATTATTTGTTAGATTACTATAAGATTACTATTAGATTATTAATTAAATCTAAACTAAACCAATAATTTATAATATAATTATAACAATAATAACATTAATAATTAGTATAAACAATAAAAAAAACATTATTAATTAGTACATAATATCTAAAAAAAATAGAAACATTTGGGCCACAAAAAAATATCTAAAGCCTAACATATATATAATAAATAAATAATAAATAATTAATAAATAAATAATTAATAAATAATTAATAAATAAATAATTAATAAATAATTAATAAATAATTAATAAATAATTAATAAATAATTAATAAATAATTAATAAATAATTAATAAATAATTAATAAATAATTAATAAATAATTAATAAATAATTAATAAATAATTAATAAATAATTAATAAATAATTAATAAATAATTAATAAATTAATAAATTATAATTAATACAGTTTCTAATATGTTTGAATCAATATGTTTAGATCAATTATGGGTAAATATTATATAATATTTTATATAAAAACTAAATTAAATATTTATAAATAATATATAAATTTATTTAATAATTATTATTTCTCTAATATATACTGTATATATATATATATATCAATATATATAATTATATTAGAAACCAGAATTTTCATGGTATACAACATCACCATCACTGAGCTCATGTATGTTACATATTATATGGCATGTATAATACATTAACCAGATCCCATCACCTCATCCACACACCCCTAACAACCCCAATCTGCCATACCTAAATCTAACTGGCAAATTGATGTCCACTAGATTCATATCCTTATTGAAACGATTCAATAGGCGACCCACTGGGGTAGTATCGAAAAACTCCATGGGCGCATGCATAACACTGGCCAATAGTTGCCGATGCAGTCGGATACAGGTGCTTATGATGCTCAGGGCGTATAAAAATCTATAGGCTATACGCAGTATACATTGACCCAGTATCATTATTGAAAATATTAGCAAATAATTGAGATGTTGGCCACCATCACCACCATTACCACTAGCACTGGTACTATCAGTATTATTATCATCATCTACTATGGAAACCTGTTTGGACCAGTAGGCCAGCCAAAAGTTTATACCATAGTTGATAGCCGTGTTCAAGATGAGCACCGGTAGGCAAATCGTCAGAAACCATATGTTTATGGATCGAACATATTTTATTAGTAACTATTTTTTTTTTATTTTTTAGTTACAACCAAAAAAAATAAAAATTATAAATATTAGTTAACCAAAAAAATAGTTATTTTATTAGTATTTAAAAAAAATTATTTAAACTATTTATTATTAATTTAAGAATATATTTTAATATATAACTAAAGTAAAATTATTTATTATTTAATATTATTAAAAAATTAGATTACTTTTAAAATTAATTTCAAATAAAATGTTAGTTTAGAAAGTTTAATAAAAAAAATAATTTTAGTATTTAATAATAAATTAATATTAAAAAAAGTATTATAAAAATTATTATTATTATTAAATAATTATTACCTTTATATTAATTTGACCACTTTGAGCAACTTCCTTATCCATCAATTGACCATGTTCATTTTTATTATCAATTAAATTATTATCATTATTATTATTATCACTATTATTATTATCACTATTATTATTACTATTATTATTACTATTATTATTACTACTATTATTAATATTACTATTATTATTATTACTTTTATTATTATTACTATTATTACTATTACTATTACTATTACTATTACTATTAATATTAATATTACTATTAATATTACTATTAATATTACTATTAATATTACTATTAATATTACTATTAATATTACTATTATTATTATTACTACTATTATTATTATAATTGTCAATATTATTGACAATTAGATTATAATTAGATTGATTTTTATGAATATCAAAATCATTTAACATATAATTACTAAAATATTGTTTAATAAATTGTTGAAAATAATTACAATCACTTAATAGCTGTCCATAAGTACCGGTCGATACTATTTTTCCCGCTTTCAGGACAACTATTAGATCGCAATCGGCTAACATAAACAATTGATTTGTGACCAACAATCGGGTTTTTGAACCCAAAATACCGGTTTTCGAGTCTAACACTTCAGTCATCAAATGTTTGCCCACATGACTGTCCACTAAAATATTTAGATAAACTTATTTGAAATAATTTTTTATATATAAATATAAAACTAATAGATAGGTTAACAATACCTGCAGAAAGTGGATCGTCGAGTAGGTATAGATCGGCACCGGAATAGACGGCTCGGCCTAAACTGACTCTTTGTTTTTGACCGCCGCTCAGTGTCACACCTTTTTCGCCGATCTCTGTCTGGTCTCCGCCGGCCAGTTGTCTTAAGTCAGGTCTGAGAGCACAGCTATCTATTACCCGGTCATACAGTTCCTCATCGAACGGCTTTCCGAACATAATATTCTGTTTGATGGTTGCATTCTGTATCCATGCCTGTTGTGGTACATAAGCTATACTAACATTGGATCTGATATTAACTGTACCCGCAATTAGTTTCATATCGCCGATAATGGCCGACAACAGTGAACTTTTACCTGAACCTACATCGCCTACTATGGCCACAAACATACCCTCACGGATATGCAAATCAATTTGATTTAATGTATAGTCGTTTATAACATCATCGTCACCAATGGTTTCACTGTTAGGTGTGTCCCACGAAAGTGTTGCCCCATTTATATCAACAATATTATTATTATTATCATTGATATCCTTATTATTGGTCACATAGTTGTTATGTTCATCCAAATTGAAATAACTATTAAAACGTTTAAATGATACGTAAATCTAAAAAATAAATAGTTTTTTTTATTAATTTTTTTTATTATATAGTATTACTATAATTATTATTATTATTATTATTATACATACAATTCCTGTCGTATAATAAACAAACGATAGTTTTGATAAAATTTCTTTTAACAATGAAATCAATGTAATTGAAAAAAATATTTTCCCACCATTTAATTGTTTGCTTGGATTTATCAACAAATATAGACTAAATATTATTAAATGACCGATCAATGGACACATATATGATATAACATCAATACAGGCGTACAAGTAATACATTTTTCGGATTTTAAGTAACTCCTGATCACGTAATTTGGTTATCATTGAACTAAATGGTTGTTCCCATCCGTATAACTAATTTAGTCAAAACAAAAAAAAACATAAATATATTTATTAATTAATAAAATAAAAATAATTTATAATAATATAAAAATAATTTATAATAATATAAAAATAATTTATAATAATATAAAAATAATTTATAATAATATAAAAATAATTTATAATAATATAAAAATAATTTATAATATATAAAAATAATTTATAATAATATAAAAATAATTAATATAAAAATAATTTATAATAATATAAAAATAATTTATAATAATATAAAAATAATTTATAATAATATAAAAATAATTTATAATAATATAAAAATAATTTATAATAATATAAAAATAATTTATAATAATATAAAAATAATTTATAATAATATAAAAATAATTTATAATAATATAAAAATAATTTATAATAATATAAAAATAATTTATAATAATATAAAAATAACTTATAATATAAAAATAACTTATAATATAAAAATAACTTATAATATAAAAATAACTTATAATAAAATATATATAAAAATTTATTTTTACTTTAAGTATTTTAATGCCATTTAGTATTTCATTAGTCAAACCGATTCTATGGTCCAAATGTTTCAATTGTTTAGTTTCCATATTGACTGCCAGTTTGGTTAACAATGATTGAATGGTTAGTATGATTGGGACAACCATTATGAGTGCTAGCGATGACAAACCAAATTCCGTATACAATAGACCGGTTGTCAGCAGTATTTGTAACGGTATGCACACTGTATAGGCTAACCAATGAAAGTTATCTATAGAAATTAAATAATATTTTTTTTTATAATAAAAATAATTTAATTATTTATATTTTTTAATTAATTAATTAATTAGTAAACCAATAATACGTTGACAATCGACAGCCATTAGGTTAGTTAGGTCACCATAACTGGCCAGTTGTTTGGCACTGTTACTCAATACCAGTGACTTGCGATAGACGGCCGACATTACCGATGATATGATTTTCATTGCTTTGAAAAAATTAATTAATTAATTAAATAATTATTTTGTTTATAAAAGTTATTATTATTATTATTATTATTATTATTATTATTATTGAATAACAAACCTAAACATTTGATAGCCTGTATATAATAAGCATTTAGTATACTGGATATTATATTGATAATCAATAGTAATACTATATAGACATAACCGTGCCATGTAGGCTCATCCTCTATATCTGCATAATTTATTAGCAATCTAATTATATATATATATATATAATTATAAAAAATATTATTAATTTTAATTAAATTAATTTTAACTAAATTAATTTTTTTTAAAAATCCATATATATATATATATATATCAACAATAAAAAAATCACATATAGTAATACAAACAATATACTGTATATATATATATTATTTTATAAATACCTGACCACTAATGGTTGGCATAGTTTTAGGACAACTGATATAAATAGTATAAACCAAATAATTATATATTGTAAACCAAATTTACGTAACATTAATGAAAATATGTTAATATTATTAATAATGGGTCGATAATTATTAGCAGTATTATTATTATTATTTGTATTATTAGTTTTATGAATTAATTTATTTAATCCAAAACAATCTAAATAAACAAATAAACAAAATAAATAATAATAATTAATTATTTTAAAAATTTAAAAATAAAAAATATTTTTTTAATACTTTAGTAGTATAGTGTATAATATGTTTGTTTTTTATAAATAATTAAAAAAAAGTAATTAAAAAATAAATATAAAATTAATTTTTTACGATTAAAATTAGTCAATGAACTAAACCCAGGGATCAGTGGCCAGAGATCCTTGAAATCGATTGTCTTTTTCCAGTTCCCGACAAACAAACTGGTCATCCAGTGATAGGTTAGCCTCGATGTGAACGATGCCTTCTCTATGGGACACATGTTGTTGTTGTTGGTGTTGTTGTTGGGTTTGGATATTATATGAGTATTATTAGTGTCAACTACTGGTACTACTGGTATGTACTGGTGATGGTCAGCAAATAGACAATAGATTAATAGTATAGAAGTTAGTGAATAGTTTAGGCAAAACATAATGAATTCATAGTTGTATAGCATATGATGATTATTGTTGATAGTATAGGTGGCCACAGAAAATGAACCGAAAATAGTGTCCAACAATAGGTATAACCAAATCAGTCCACTAGTAATAATGCCGTACACGCGTTGAATGTTAAACACTAGACATAGTAGTAATCTGGCCATAGTTTGTATGCCTAACCCTAGTATGTATGCAGTACTGGGACTATCGTTCCACTGATATTTACGACATAAACTTAACGCCAGTTCCGCTATTAGTATACCAGTGCTTAACAAACAAACAAATAATCGGCTGGTGTTGTAATAATTCCATTGAATTGTAGTTTTATTAATATTATTAATATTTTTGTGACAACATTTCCACATTAGGTTCGGTATGTATAACAACAATAATATACAGGGAATCCAAACAAACCATGTGTTTAGCATACATGAGCTCAGTTGCGGTGATGTCGTATACCATGAAAATTCTGGTTTCTAATATAATTATATATATTGATATATATATACAGTATATATTAGAAAAATAATAATTATTAAATAAATTTATATATTATTTATAAATATTTAATTTAGTTTTTATATAAAATATTATATAATATTTACCCATAATTGATCTAAACATATTGATTCAAACATATTATAAACTGTATTAATTATAATTTAGTAATTTACTAATTAATTATAAAGTAAATTATAATTTTTACAAACATTAATTATACTACAATACAATTTAAGCAATAAATTATTTATTTATTTTTTTAAATAAATTTTATTTTATTTTTATTTATAAAATAAATTCTATATAAATTTTATGAAAAAAATATAATTAATAAATATTTATATTTAGAAATATTGATATCAATATTTTAATGACCCACATTTATTTTTTTTTTAAAAATATTAGATAATTAAAATACTAAATTTTTGTTTAAAAACATAAAGAAACATTTCATTAGATATCATATTAATAATTTTTGTTTTAAAAAAAATTAATTTTTGTTTCAACATTGTATTAATATATGTATAAAATATATATTAATAGTAGACGTAATGATGAGTTAACAATTTATTTTTTTAAATTTAAATATACATAAAAAACATAAATATATATATATATATATATATAAAGTAATTAATTATAAATTAAATTATAAATTTTAATCTAAGAAACTACTGTAATATTATCTAAAATAACTTAACAAAATGTTATAATTAGTAATTTTTTTTGTATACAATTTTTTTTATTTTTAATCTTATAATAACTTTTAATTTATATATATATCAAATATGATATGATATTTTGTGAGAAAATTTGATCAATAATTTTTGATTCACACATTATTTATATATATATATATATAAAATTTATAAAATCTAAAAAAATAATTTATTATTTTTTACATATAATTAAGATATTTTATGAAAATACAAATATATATATTTTTAATATATTTTTCTAAAAATAAATAAATAAATATTTTCTATTTCTATACAAATTATTTTTAACTACTATTGTCGTACTAAAATAATTTAATAAAATTTAAATAAAAATTTTAACATATATTTTTGAAATGTCTAAATTCAAAACTTCAACTCATTTTATAACACCGGCATCTTTGGCCAGTGAGTAGAAAATGGTTGTCCTGTCGTCAAGCAGTTGGTCGGGTGAGTCAAACTCGGCTACCCGTCCGTCGCTTAGGACTAACACCCGATTGTAATCAAGGATTGTATTGATTCGGTGGGCAATAGTTAGGACAGTACACGACTTAAACTCTTGTCTAATAGTTTGTTGAATGAGTGAATCGGTTTCCACATCGACGGCAGCCGTGGCCTCATCGAGGATAAGGATAGACGTGTGTCTGAGTAGAGCCCGAGCCAGACATATAAGTTGTCGCTGACCGACACTCATGTTATCACCCGATTCGGTCACCGGATGGTCGAGACCGGTATCAGTCGACAGTACAAACTCTTTGAGATGCGACTGATCTAACACTAACCAAAGTTGGTCGTCGGAAAACTTGTCAAACGGATCCAAATTTGAGCGAATAGTTCCCGAAAACAGTACCGGTTCTTGTGGTATAATTGTCAGCCGCGATCGCAACTCGTGTAGACCTAATTGACTGATATCTATGCCATCGATAACTATACGACCCATTGCTGGCTCAATAAGTCGAAACAATGCCAGTGTTAGCGATGACTTTCCAGCACCGGTTCGGCCAACAATACCTATCTATAAAATTAGATAATTATTATTAGATATCTATAAAATGATTACACAATTGATTTCAATACCTTTTCTCCGGATTTGATATCGATGTCAATACCTTTGATAACTAAATCCAATCCCTGTCGATATCGGGTACCGTATCCGTCAAATCGGACACAACCTTTTTCTGGCCATTTATCCGACAATTGTTGACCCGATTGCCAGTCGGCTTCAGTTTTCAGACTACAGTATTCGTCTATCCGTTCAAATGATATCAGATATCCCTGGGTTTGTGCAAAAGCATCGATAAAATACTCTAAAATACCGGTCAATGTAATGGCATTTGCGAGGATCAGTCCGATGTCGGCACCGGTTAGACTATCTTTCCCAATGACACCAAACAGTGCAGCAAACAGTACAAGCAAATTGCTTAGGACTTGTAGTCTAATCAATAGCCAACTGTTGGCTATAATATACGGATAGAGACACTTCAAGTTCTGGTCGATCCTATTATCCGATTCCTGTATAAACCTATCCCTACAATCATAGGCCCTAATACTGGACACACCGTTCAATGTTTCGCCTAAATGTGAATATATTGGCGATCGGCTTATGGACTCTAAGCTAAATAATAAAAATTAAATTATTATTATTATTTTTATTTAATTAAATTATTATTATTACTATAATTACCGTCTCAATTGACACAATGCATTAATATAGATATACTATTAAAAAAAAATTATAAAATATAAAAGATTATTTATATATTTGTTATATATATATATATATTGCAATATATATATATATTGATATATTTATATATAATTATATAATTATAAAAGATAAAAAATATATATATTTAATATTTTTAATAAAATTTTTTTTTCTTAATTAAATATATGGTTCAATCAAATACCTGTAGAAAATAGTATACTATGACTGACACACCTAATGGTATCAAAAACATTGGCGTCAGTATTGAAATCGACACAACAATACCGATAACTTGTAGGAAAAAATCTAATGCTTGACTAAAAAAACAAAAAAAAAATAAATATAAAATTAATTAATTAATTAATATATTATATAATAAATATATTTTTAAAAAATTAATTTGTTTTGTTGTTGTTGTTAATACCCATTACCTGAACATAACTGGCCTAATGTATATCAATTGGTGGGGAAAAACTCTAACCCTAACTTTTTTGGCTTTTAAAAACCTGGCGGGGGGAATGGGGGGGGGGGTTAATATGGCATTACCCTACCTCTCCCCCTATCCCCACCTGGTATATGTATGTACAGTATATATAATATTTATTTTTAAATTAATTACCTGAACATAACTGGCCTAATGTATATCAATTGGTGGGGGGGGAATTCCTAACAATTTTTGGCTTTAAAAACCTGGCGGGAGGGTTAATATGGCATTACCCTACCTCTCCCCCTAACCCTTCCTGATATATGTATGTATATAATATTTATTTTTTAAATTGAATTACCTAAACATAACTGGCCTAATGTATATCAATTGGTGGGGTGGGGGGAACTCATAACAATTTTTGGCTTTTAAAAACCTGGCGGGGGGAGTGTGGAGGGGTTAATCTGGCATTACCATACCTCTCCCCCTAGCCCCTCCTGATATATGTATGTATATAATATTTATTTTTTAAATTGAATTACCTGAACATAACTGGCAAATGTATATCAATCAGATACATATCCTTATTGAAACGATTCAATAGACGGCCCACCGGGGTCGTATCGAAAAACTCCATGGGTGCGTGCATAACACGTGCCAACAGTTGCCTATGCAATCGTTTCGATGTACGTATAATACTGATAGCATAGAAATATCTGTACGCTGTTTGCAATATCAGCTGACCCAGTATCATTATTGTAAATATTATCATATAGTATAATGGACTGTTGTTATTAGTGATGGTATTATTATTATTAGTAGTAGTAGTATTAGTAGTAATATTTTTTGACCAGTAGGCCAACCAAAAATTGATACCATAGTTGATACCGGTTGACAAAGTAAGCACCGGTAGGCAAATCATTAGAAACATTTTATTAATTGATCGGACATATTTTATGAATAGCTATATATATAAATATATAAATAAATATTATTATTAATTTTTTTTAGTAATTGATGAGAGAAAAAAATATAAAAATAATTAATGTATAAAATAATTATTTATAATAAAAATATTTAAATTTTTTTAAAACTATATATAAAAAAAATTTAATAAATTGTTATTATTAATAATTTTTGTTTTGTTGAGCTAGATTAATTTATTTTATAGTTTAATAATACTATTTTTTTCACCTAAAGCTAATAAAATATAATAACTTATATATATTTATTTAATAATTATTTATTTTTAATAATTATTTATTTTTAATAATTATTTATTTTTTTTAAATTTATATATTGAGTTGTTTTTAATTCATTCAAAAAATTAAATAAAATAACTATTAATTAACATATGATAATTAATTATTTATATATATTTAAAATATATTATTATTATTAATAATAATAATACCTTAATATCAATGTGTCCACTTTGAGCACCCTCCTCATCAATCAATTGAGCATGATCATTTTCGTTATTATTATTATTATTATTGCTAACTATATTGTCGTCAACAACAATAACATCATCATCAGTATCGGCTGTTATATTAACTTTATTAACATTATTATTAACTAATAGTTTTGTTGTTGTCTTCAAACTACCTGTCCCTCCCTGTTCACTATCATCAACAGTGAACCCATCACTACTACTACTACTACTACTAAAATATTGATTAATTAGTTGTTGAAAATAATTGCTTTCGCATATTAACTGCCGGTAAGTACCGACGGATACTATTCTACCCATTTGTAGGACAACTATTAGATCGACATCGGGTAACATAAACAGTTGATTGGTGACCAACAATCGGGTTTTTGAACCTAAAATACCGGTTTTCGAGTCCAATACTTCGGTCATCAAATGTTTGCCCACATGACTGTCCACTAAAATATTTAAATAAAGTTATTTGAAATAATTTTTTATGTATAAATATAAAACTAATAAATAAGTTAAAAATACCGGCAGAAAGTGGATCGTCGAGTAGGTATAGATCGGCACCGGAATAGACGGCTCGGCCTAAACTGACTCTTTGTTTTTGACCGCCACTCAGATTCACGCCTTTCTCGCCGATCTCTGTCTGGTCTCCGCCGGCCAGTTGTCGTATATCTGGTCTGAGAGCACAGCTATCTATTACCCGGCCATACAGTTCCTCATCGAACGGCTTTCCAAACATAATATTCTGTTTGATGGTTGCATTCTGTATCCACGCTTGTTGTGAAACATAAGCTGTTTGGATACCCGGCCTAACATTGACTGACCCATCAATCAGTTCCATATCGCCGATAATTGCCGACAACAGTGAACTCTTACCGGAGCCGACATCGCCTACTATGGCCACAAACATACCCTCACGGATATGCAAATCAATTTGATTTAATGTATGATCTTTTATATCAGTACTAATGGTATCGTCATTAATAGGTGTGTCCCACGAAAGTGTTGCCCCATTTATATCAATCATATTATTATTATCATTGCTATCATTATTATTGGACACATAGTTGTTATGTTCATCCAAATTGAGAAAATCATTGAATCGTTTGAATGTTACGTACATCTAAAGTATATATATTGTTAAAAAAAATAATCATTAAATTAATTATTTAATAATATATAACTGTATATATTTTTTTGTTGATACATACTATACCAACAGTATTGTAAACATATGATAATTTTGATAGGATTTCCTTAAACACTGACATCAATGATATGGAAAAAAATATCTTTTCAGCCGTTAATTGTTCAGCAAATTTCAGTCCCAAATACAGACTGAATATAACTAAATGACATATCATTGGACACATGTATGACATGACATACAATACAGCAAACACATAGTACAGGTGTTTGGCTTTAAGTAGTTCCTGATCACGTAATTTGGATACTATAGACATAAACGGTAGTTCCCAGGCGTATAACTAGAATGAATAATAATAATTAATTAATTAATAAAAAAAAATCATATAATAATCAAAAAATAATACTTTAATTATTTTAATGCCATTCAGTATTTCGTTAGTAATATTCAGTCTATTGTCGGCATATATAAGCTCTTGGCTATCGATTTTGACACCGATTTTCATAACATAGTATTGTACCGAAAATATGACAACCACTACGGCTAAGCCGGCAAATGATGTATAGTTAAACTCTGTATACAATAGACCAGTTGTCATAACTATGAGTAAAGGTATGACCAAAACATATGCCAACCATTGGAAATAATCTATCGGTATATATATATATATAAATTTAATATAACTATAATTATATGATAGTTAATACTACTAATACTACTAAACCATTAACTCGTTGACAGTCGACAGCCATTAGGTTAGTTATGTCGCCATAACTGGTCTGATGTTTGGCACCGTTACTCAACACCAGTGACTTGCGATAGACGGCCGACATTACCGATGATGTGATTTTCATAGCTATTATTAAAAAAAATAAAATTATATTATTTAACTTAAATACTCTATTGATTTAATATACTATATATACAGTATATATCTATACTCTAAAAAAACAATAATATATAAATATTTTTAGACTTATTTAATTAAAATTATAAAAATTAAATTATATTTTTTTTTAAAAATTATTTACAAACCTAGACATTTGATTGCTTGTATATAATAGGCATTCAATATACCGGATACGGTATTCATGAGCACCAGTAGTCCAGTATAGACATATCCGTGCCATTTATATTGATCATTGTCTACATAAGCAATGAATAATCTACAAAAAAATAAAATAAAATAATATTAAGTAAAAAAAAAATTTCAATAAAACAAATAATTAAATAGTTTTCATACTTTACAACTAATGGTTGACACAATTTCAAGCCCAACGATACAAATAATACAATACATAATAATGAAAATTTTAGACCAAATTTTTGTATAATTATTAAAAATAAGCTAATATTGTAATTATTAATATTATTATTATTATTATTAAAACACGACAAAAATGATGACTTTTTTGTCGATATATGTAAATCGCTATCACTTTTGTTATCATAATTTTTTAGTCTATTATTATTATAATGTATTTCAAAAAGATTTTGTTGAAACAAACGCTTAAAGTTATGTAAAGTACTGAACCCAGGGCTGGGCAGTGGCCAGAGATCCTTGAAATCGATTGTCTTTTTCCAGTTCCTCACAAACAAACCGGTCATCCAGTGATAGGTTAGCCTCGATGTGAACGATGCCCTCTCTATGGGACACATGTTGTTTTGGTTGTTGGGTTTGGATATCATATGAGTATTATTAGTGTCAACTACTGGTACTACTGGTATGTACTGGTGATGGTCAGCAAATAGACAATAGATTAGTAGTATACAAGTTAGTGAATAGTTTAGGCAAAACATAATGAATTCATAGTTGTATAGCATATGATGATTATTGTTGATAGTATAGGTGGCCATAGAAAATGAACCGAAAATAGTGTCCAACAATAGGTATAACCAAATCAGTCCACTAGTGATAATACCGTACAAACGTTGAATGTTAAACACTAGACATAGTAGTAATCTGGCCATAGTTTGTATGCCCAGCCCTAGTATGTATGCAGTACTGGGACTATCGTTCCACTGATATTTGCGGCATAAACTTAAGGCCAGTTCAGCTATTAGTATACCAGTGCTCAACAAACATATACATAATCTACTGGTGTTGTAATAATTCCATTGAATTGGGTTTTTATTATTATTATTACTAGTTTTGTGATAACATTTCCACATTAGGTTCGGTATGTATAACAACAAGAATATAAAGGGAATCCATATGAACCATGTGTTTAACATACATGTGCTTAGATTGGGTGCTAATGTATACCATGATATTTGTGGTAACTTTATATCAAAAAAAAAAAAAAATTATTATTATAGTCCTATTTATGTTTATATATATATAATATGTTTATATCTATTGTAATTAGTTATTGTTTCTTATTAAATGTTATTTTTTAATTAAAAAAAAGTAATATACAGTTAATTTTTTTAAAATCAAAATTTTTTTTTAATTAAGTTAATTACTATGTTTTATCTAAAGGTTGGCAAATATATTGCAACAATAATAGATAATAAAAAATAAACAAGATAAAATTATTTCATATATATATATAACCTCCTATGTCTAGACAATAACTAATAAAAACAATACAATAGGAAACACATTGACCTTTCTCAATTTATAAAAAAAATTATAATTACAACATAATAATTAATTAGATTAAATTAAATTAATACAATAAATATATGATATAATATTGATTATCAATTGTTTAATGTGATTGTTTATGTGATAATAATTTTTTATTAAATAAACATAATTATAAAGTTTATTAATAACAAAAAAATTAGGTATATAATTTTTATTTTTTAAAAATTAAATCAATAAAAAAATTTTATATAAAAAATATTTACCCATAGTTGATCATTGCATATATTTTCCAACATTATTATTATTATTTTATTTCAAAAATTTTTGTAATATTTCCTGTAATATAATAATAATTATTTAATTACAAAATAAAACACAAAAATATATTTATTATATTATTTCTACAAAAAATATTCTGTTTATTATTATTAATAATATATACTTTATATATATATATATATATAATAATTACTGTCAATAATATATGTTATGTGTTATGTATTATCAATATTATCAATGGTTTTATTAATTGACAGAATTATATGATAATAATAATAATAAGCAATAAATAATTATAATTACAATTGAAAACAAATATTATATATTTTATTTTGATTTTGATTTGTTATTATTATTATATTATTGTTATTTTAATTAAACAATATATTTATATATATATTACAAATTAAATAAATATAAAAATAAATAAAAAAAAATATGAGGATTAGATAATATAAAAAAACAATATATACATCCTATTATTATTATTATATAAGGAATTTGTAAATATTTACAATAATATGCAATAATAATAAATTCAATGCAATTTTATCGCAAATAAAATATATACACAAAACAATAGTATTATATTGTGTGCGCCATCTATTATATTATTATTATTATTAGCTAGTATATTATAGCTAGATACATTTATTATTATTATTGTTATTAGTTTGTAACTAAGCAAAAAGAAAATTAAATGATCTAGCTAAAAGTTTATTTTTTACAACAATTAAATAATAATAATATTGTCTAATCATATATACGGTTAATGTATGATTAAAAACTATTGATAACTAATTATTGCTGTATTAATTGTGTGTATGTGTGTGTATGTGTGTGTATGTGTGTGTATGTGTGTGTATGTGTGTGTATGTGTGTGTATGTGTGTGTATGTGTGTGTATGTGTGTGTATGTGTGTGTGTGTATGTGTGTGTATGTGTGTGTATATGTGTGTATATATGTGTGTATATGTGTGTGTATGTGTGTGTATGTGTCTGTATGCGTGTGTATGTGTGTGTATTTGTGTGTATGTGTGTGTATTGTGTGTGTGTATGTATGTGTGTGTGTCTATGAGTGTGTTAGTAGCGGCGCCTTGTGTTTACCACTTGACTGTATAGCAATCAATAGTATTGAATGTTTGAATTTAAAGTTATATAGTTTTGAAAATAAAATTTGTATGTAAAGTATATGTACAGTAAAGTAATATATAATTAATTATATGTAATATAAAGTATTATTAATAATATTATTATATTATTAAAAAACAGTAAAATTTTTTAAAAAATAAATAAATCAAATATTAATTATACTTACAATTTTTAGGGGACAGTCAACTAGGGGACAGTTGGACACCAGTACTGTACTAATAATTATTATTAGTTATAAAAAAAATTAAATAAAAGTTTATAATAAATGTTTATTAGAAAAAATAAATAAAATAAAACTCTAAACGTTTACTGATATCTATAAACTGTTTTTTTATATATAAAAAAATTAATTTATGTTTTGTCATTAATTTTTTTTTATATACAGTATAATATAATTGGTTAGTAATTTAATTTAATATATATTTTTTTAATGTTTCAATAAAGTTATCAAGATATATTTATCAAAAAAAAAAATTATAATATTTGATTATAACTGATTTGATTAAATTATTGCATTATTAGTAAAAATTATTTATTAAATTTAAATAAAACTAATAAAAAAAAATGATAAAATAAACACAAACTAATAAAATGATTTATAAATAAATAGTAATAATAAAAAAGTTTTATTAATAAATAAGATAAACAAATAACTAAATCAAAAAAAAATTCTCAATAATTATGTTATTCACTGATAAAACTTATAGAAAATTTTGTTTATTTTTTTTTAAACAAAATAATCTTAAAAATTTTATTTTAATTTAATCATAATGTAATAATTTTATAATAATTATGATCATTATTACTATTAAAAAAAATATTAATCAATCAATTTTTATCATTAATCAATTAAATCAGTTTTTTTTATTTAGTATGAAATTATTATTATTATTCAAATAATTTGCTTTTTTTTATAAACATATATTTATTGTATGATGTATTTTGTATGAAATATATATATTTTTATAGCTAAAAATATATTTATATATTTATGAATCAATATATTTGATTTAATGTCACTAACATTAGAAATCTAAATGATTTTTATTATTTTATTATTAATTTATTTTATGATTTAATTAGCATTTAATTATTTGTTTACTGATTCATATTATTAATACTGTAGTTGTTTTAACAGTATTTTTCAAAAGGATTAATAAATTATATATATATATATATTTATATTTATATATTTATTATTTTTATTTTATTAGACAATAGCAAATAGTAATAGTGTAGTTAATATATACTGTATATAATTAATTAATGTAATATAATTTATTTAAAACAAAAATAATAAATTAAAATTTATTATATCAATCAAAATCGTGTACCTTATTATACAGCAAAAAAAAATGACACTTAAATTAATAACAAAAAATGTATATATATATAATAATTGTATTATATTTATAAATAAAGAAAATTTTTAATTAAAATAAATTAATAAATTGCTAACAATAGTATGCAATACATAAAAATTTGTTTGTTTTAGTTTTGTTAAACTATTAAATACTATTAAATAATAATACAGATAACTATTGTTTTTTTTTCAACAAAAAAAAATCTTTAATAATTAATTTTTTTAAAAAGTTATTATTAATAAATACTATGTAAATATACTAAAATAAATTATTATTTTAAAAAAACAAACAAAATAATCTAACAATTAATTAAATACATTTAGTTTATAACTAAAGTACTCAAAAAAATGTTAGGGTATACGGTATTTGTTGTTTAATATATATATATATATATATACTGTATATTATGCAATAATTTTCTTTTGAAAATATAGTGATAAAAAACAATTTTGATAAACAATTTTATGACTATATTTTTATGTCAAAAGTTTTTATTTCAAAAAAATATAAACTTTTTTTTATTTGTTTATTTATGACAAAAAAAATGTTTACCACTAATACTGTAATCAATTAAACAATGCAATACTTTTATGTAATAATAATAATAATAATAATAATAATAATCAGTTATATTTACTTTATTAATAATTAATATAAATAATAATAATAATTTTAATGTAAACATAAAAATATTGCATTTAGTTTTAATCATAAAAAAATATGAAATAACAAAATAATAATAATAATAATAATAATAATAATAATAACAACAAAAATAATCTTTAAGTGATTTTTACGACATATATATAAATTGGTTTTTAAATAGAAATTATTAATTATATATCAATATATATACAGTAATTAATGTTATATTGAAATACTAAAAATAAAACTTATTATATATATATATAAATATATTAAACTATTTTATTTAAATATATCAATAGTTATTATTTTTTTTAATAAAAAAATTATAATTAAATATTTTATACACAGTTTTATTTTTGAAAACTTTTTATTATATAATAATTATAATTATTTTTTTGTTATTAAAAATTATAAAATATGTTACAATTTTTATATAACAATTTGCTAACAAATCCGCTAATAATTGCCATAATTTGCAGTTTGTATGCAATCTATAGGTTAGTAGAAAATTTAAAAATAATTTTTTATATTAATTTTTTTTGTAAATTTTTATTTTTAGTTTTTGTTTATAATTTTTTTTATATTTAATTTGCTTATTTGTTACATGTTAGTTAGTTAATTAGTTAGTTAGTTAATTAGTAATTAGTTTATTAATATATTTTAATAACTAATATTTTTTTTAAAAAAATAAAAAACTTTCCATGTTAATTATTTTTTTAAAAAATCATTCTATAATTTAAAAAAATATTTTTTTTAGAAAATTAAAACTCATTTTTTCACGTAAATGTTTTTAATAATAAAAATAATTACTAACCGTCAATAGTTACGTTTAAATTGATGTTTATTATTTTAAACAAAAATTATTGCAAAAGTTTTACAATATCTACTATTTTATTATTTTTTTGATAATCATATTTACGTCAATTAATATATTTTTTTAATGTATTACCGAAATATAATAAGGTATATAAATATATACAATATTTTTTGTTTTTTAAATTTAAAGTTATGTAATACTTTTATGTAATAATAATAATAATAATAATAATAATAATAATAATAATAATAATAATAATAATAATAATAATAATAATAATAATAATAATAATAATAATAATAATAATAATAATAATAATAGATCATACATCAGGAACCAATCAAAGACCCATTACCATACTATAGATACGAGCCCACATAATAATAATAATAATAATAATAATAATAATAATAATAATAATAATAATAATAATAATAATAATAATAATAATAATAATAATAATAATAATAATAATAATAATAATAATAATAATAATAATAATAATAATAATAATAATAATAATAATAATAATAATAATAATAATAATAATAATAATAATAATAATAATAATAATAATAATAATAATAATAATAATAATAATAATAATAATAATAATAATAATAATAATAATAATAATAATAATAATAATAATAATAATAATAATAATAATAATAATAATAATAATAATAATAATAATAATAATAATAATAATAATAATAATAATAATAATAATAATAATAATAATAATAATAATAATAATAATAATAATAATAATAATAATAATAATAATAATAATAATAATAATAATAATAATAATAATAATAATAATAATAATAATAATAATAATAATAATAATAATAATAATAATAATAATAATAATAATAATAATAATAATAATAATAATAATAATAATAATAATAATAATAATAATAATAATAATAATAATAATAATAATAATAATAATAATAATAATAATAATAATAATAATAATAATAATAATAATAATAATAATAATAATAATAATAATAATAATAATAATAATAATAATAATAATAATAATAATAATAATAATAATAATAATAATAATAATAATAATAATCAATTATATTTATTTCTAATTAATAATTAATAATATTTTTTTAATGTAAATAAAGATATTGCATTTTGTGTTAGTCATAAAAAATATGAAATAACAAAATAATTAAAAAAAACAACAAAAATAATCTTTAAGTGATTTTTATGATATATATATAAATTGGTTTTTATAGAAATTATTAATTATATATCGATATATAGTAATTAACGTTATATTGAAATACTAAATAAAACTAATTATATATATATATAAATATATTAAACTATTTTATTTAATTTTTTTTAAATAAATTATAATTGAATATATTATACACAGTTTTTTTTCTGAAAACTTTTTATTATATAATAATTATAATTATTTTTTGTTATTTAAAAATATGTTACAATTTTTATATAACAATTTGCTAATAAATTCGCTAACAATTGCAATAATATGTAGTTTGTATGCAATCTACAGGTTAGTAGAAAAGTTAAAAATAATTTTTATATTTTTTTTGTTTGAAAATTTTTTATTTTTTTTATATATAATTTACTTATTTGTTATATGTTTTATTTGCTTTAATTACTATTACTATCACTAATTATAATATATAATGTAATATATTTTAATTATAATAATAATAATAATATAAATTGCAATATTGAAAAATAAGTTAAAATAATTTCTAAATAAAAAACAAAAACAAAAATTCAATAGAAATGTTTACAAATGTTTTATATATAACTTTTTATTGTGAATTATTTATGATTACATTTAAAAAATTAGATATAATTTATCAATTTTTGTTGTTTTTTTAGAAAAAAATAAAATAATAATTTATCTTAATTTAGAAATGTTGCAATTTTTTAAATAAAAAAATAATTTATTTAATATCATATAAATTGATATGTAATTAGAAAAATTTTAGTTTATAAAATTTATATAAACTTAATATATCAATATATTTACTATTTAGTTATTATAAATTATATTGATAATCTAATATATATATATATAGTAAAATATATATAACTTATAAATTACTAATTTTATTTTTTTATATAAAAAATATGTTAAAAATTTTAAATAATTTATTAATTATTGCTATAATAATAATAATAAGCAGTTTGTATGCAATTTACAGGTTTGTTATGAAAATATTTTTTTTGAGACAATATATATTAAGTAAAATAATTATTACATAATTTTTTCATGTATTTATATATAATTTTTGGTCACAATTAGATACTATGCCTCAAAATATACCTATTGGGAGACACAGGGTGTTAGGACAGCGCCGTTTGGCTATTGGCAGCGCCTGTATAAGCGATGGTTCAAATGGGAACAGGAATTGTACGGCCGGTACGGCAAATGTTTCGGCGTCTACGAGTCTACCCGACCGGTACTATATCTGGCCGACCCGGACCTCATACGGGATGTTTTGGTCAAAGATTTTCATATATTTACTAACAGACGGGTATGTAATCTAAATATAATATATAAATAAATTATTTAAAAAAAATAGTTTTTATTTAATTTAATTAGTAATTTATTTGTTGTTCACATATTTATTATGTGTTTTTGTTGTTGAAATATTGTATTATAATTATTAGTAAATTTTAGTAAAAAAAACTTATTTTTTTAGAAAAAACTATAATTATAACGATAGTAAATAATTTAGTTAAACAATAATTTTATCTCAAAAAAAAATAAATAAAATAAATCTTTTTTATATATATATAATTTTTATTTAAAAATTAAATAAATTAAAATAATTTTAGTATTGAATATATTGATATAGATATATATATTAATAATATAAAGTTATAAAACAATAATATATAATCTAACTGTTATTATTACTAATAAAAACTAACTGATTATTATTATTAATAATTTTGTTTAAATTAACATTTTTTTGAAATAGAAATTAAATTATTTATTATTTTTTCAAAGATTTTTAAATTTATTTATGATATTATTTTATAATTAATTAATTAATTTTTGTTATTTGTTAGGATATATCAACCGGTCTACTAATGGACAAAATATTACCCAATTTGAAAAGTGAAAACTGGAAACGGGTTAGGACAGTCGTATCGCCTACGTTTACATTGGGAAAGTTACGCAAAATGTTGCCATTGATTGGCGACTGTCTGAAAACGTTGGACAGAAATTTGGATACCGCAGCCAAAACTACTACTAACCGGGTGGTTGGCTATGATATGAAACGGCTATTTTGCGCCTACAGTATGGAAGTCATACTACAGGTACAGTACTATCGTTAGGATAGGAAATATTTTTAAAAAATATCAATTTACTTTTTAATTAATTATTATTACAATTTTTGATATAATAATTTTTAGTAGGCATAGTTTAATTTTTTTTTTTTGAAAATAAACAATAAAAAATAATTTAGCTAGCTAGTTAGTTAGTTAATCTAATATATTATTTTTATATTTTTTATAGTTTAATTTTTTTTAAAAACAATAAACAAATAATAATTTAGCTAGCTAGTTTATCTAAAATGTTATTGTTATTGATTTTTTTTTAAAAATTGCATACCATTAGTTTTATTAGGTATAGATTAATTTTTTAAAATTATTTAGCTAGCTAATTAGTTAGTTAGTTTATCTAAATTATTATTATCAATATTATTGATTTTTTAAAAAAAATTACATAGAAAAAAATTTAGTAGATATAGTTTAATTTAAAAAAAACAATAAAATAAATAATTTAGCTATCTAGTTAGTTTATCTAAAATATTATTATATTTTTAGTATTTTATACAATTTTTATATAGTTTATTTTTTTAAAAGAAAATAATAATCAATAATAATTTAGCTAGCTAGTTTATCTAATATATTTATATACAAGATTATTATCTATTATACATACATATATACTATATATATATATATATATATAGGTATCGTTTGGCATTAAAGTCGATGCCATGATGGACGCCGACAACCCTATCATAGTCAACGCTTGTAAACTACTTAGTCATGAATTTGGTCCCATGTTATACCTCCTGATGTTTGTCCCACGATTGGCCCACTTGATGAAACTGTCGATTTTCGATACCCAGGTCATTGAATTTTTTCACCAACTATCCCTTCAGGTTATTGAGGAAAGGCGTCAAAAATCACTGACCGAAAGTCCCGGTACTGCACCCAAACGGGTCGACTTATTGCAGCTAATGCTTGACTCTATCAATGATGATAGTACTGGTAGTAGTGGTAGTACTGGTAGTACTGGTAGTACTGGACCCGAGTTCGCCACCCATTCAGATGATAAAGTGGATGAAAAATACAGAGAGTATAGTAGTAGTAGTAGTAGTAATGGTCGTAATAATAGTAGTAATACTACTAATAATAACAACAACAATAATAAAACGGATAGTTTTAAAAAATGTATGTTTTTTTTGTTTGGAAAAAAACAAAACAAAAATTTTTAACTTAAAAAAAATTTTAATAATAATTTTTTTTTTGTATTTTTTTGTATTATTTTGTATTTTTTGTATTTTTTGTATTTTTTGTATTTTTTGTATTTTTTGTATTTTTTGTATTTTTTGTATTTTTTGTATTTTTTGTATTTTTTTTGTATTTTTTTGTTGTTTTATGTTTCATGTTTTAATAGATCTAACAAACGATGAACTAATAGCTTCGTGTGTCGTGTTTTTTGTGGCCGGCTTTGAAAATATCATAACAACCCTATCGAATGCCACACATTTGTTGGCCGCGAATCCCGATTGTCAGCAGCGGCTGTACGATGAAGTGGCCGACTATTTTCGCGGCCAACACGACCGCCAATCGGACGTACGGTTTATTTTTTATGTTGTTGTTGTTGTTGTGAAAATAGCTACATAAGCGCTAACATTATCACTATATATATATATATATATATATATATATATATATGTATACTATTTTTATATAGGAATCGATAGCCGATTACGAAACCTTACATTCACTGAAATATTTGGACGCCGTTATCAAAGAAACACTGCGTTTATATCCTAACTCTATAGCACTGGAACGGGAGGCTAGCGATGACTATCAGTTAGGAGGACCTGATAATGGCATTCAGATCCGGAAAGGCCAACTGATTCATATACTAACCTATTCTATACATCACGATCCGGCCAACTATCCCGAACCGTATCGGTTTCGACCGGAAAGATTTCTACCCGAAAATCAGACACACCATCCCTATACTTACCTGCCGTTTGGTGGCGGACCTCGAAATTGTATTGGTATGCGATTGGCACAGATGATTGTCAAACAAGCACTGGTCAATGCTGTCCATAAATATAGCTTTCATGACACTGGGGTAGGTGTATAGGTGCACACATACATACACATACACATACACATACACATACACATACACATACACATACACATACACATACACATACACATACACATACACATACACATACACATACACATACACATACACATACACATACACATACACATACACATACACATACACATACACATACACATACACATACACATACACATACACATACACATACACATACACATACACATACACATACACATACACATACACATACACATACACATACACATACACATACACATACACATACACATACACATACACATACACATACACATACACATACACATACACATACACATACACATACACATACACATACACATACACATACACATACACATACACATACACATACACACATAGAATCATAAAATATAAATTCAATGATAACTTATTTTTTGAAAAAATAAATAAATATTATTTTTTTTTTTGGTTTTTCAGAAACCACTGGAGTTTTACAAATATCAAGTGTTTGGTATAATGACACCCAAAGAGGTTTTTGTTAGGGTTGAGAAACGCCAGTAAAATAAATCAAATAATGGCAACCAATGGCAATAAATTAATTAAAATTATTTTGATTTTTTTGTTTGTTAACATTATTAGATTTTTAGACAACAACAAAATTAATTAATTAATTATGTTTTAGTAAACAGTAGTGTGTAGTAAAGCAAATGTTAATATCAATAACAAACAAAAATATAATTATTAAAAAGTTTTTTATTAATAATAATTAAATTATCTAATTATGCTTAAAGTATTGTACTAACTATTTTACTTGTTTAAAAGTCAAATCATAGAAATTATAGTTAATTTCAATTATAGTTTGTAAAATTTATTAAAAAATTTATTAAAATAATTATTTTTAAAAATTTATATATATATACTTACGTAATTATAAAATCTAAAATCAATTATTAATATTACTTTAATTTTTATTTAAATTTTAATTAAATCTTATGCAAATTGAATATAAATAAAAATTAATAAAAAATATTTTTTTTATATACAGAATATACAGTATATATATATTATATATATATATTAATCAAGAATTTATTACAAGTATACTATTGTTTTGTTTTTTTAGATATTATTTTTTTAAAAAAATTTATTCAAATATATATTAATATATATCTAACAATAAAATTAATTATAGTAATAATAATACAGTAAATATAATAAGCTATTAAAAAAACATTAATTATTATATAATATTTTTTTTAAATATAATTTCTGGTTTAATTATTTATTTATTTTTTGATTATAATATATGCATATAATATTAATTAATATATACAATATATATATATATATATACTGTATATTACAGTTTATAAAATTTATATTTTAATTAAATAACAAGTTTACAAATGAACTGCAAATAATAGTAAAGTTTTTAAAACAGTTTAAAGTTTAATAAATATTTTTTATTATTAGATATGAATATATATGAAAAATATTTATTAAAAATTATAATATCTAAAAAAATAACTATTAATAATATTTTAATTAAAATCATAATAATTTCAATTCATATAACACCGGCATCTTTGGCCAGTGAGTAGAAAATGGTTGTCCTGTCGTCAAGCAGTTTGTCGGGTGAGTCAAACTCGGCTACCCGTCCATCGCTTAGGACTAACACCCGATCGTAATCAAGGATTGTATTGATTCGGTGGGCAATCGTTAAGACAGTACACGACTTAAACTCCTGTCTAATAGTTTGCTGAATGAGTGCATCGGTCTCGACATCGACGGCAGCCGTGGCCTCATCGAGGATAAGGATAGACGTGTGTCGGAGTAGAGCCCGAGCCAGACATACAAGTTGTCGCTGACCGACACTCATGTTATCACCCGATTCGGTAACCGGATGGTCGAGACCGGCATCAGTCGACAGTACAAACTCTTTGAGATGCGACTGTTCTAACACTGACCAGAGATCGTCGTCGGAAAACTTGTCGAACGGATCCAAATTTGAGCGAATAGTTCCCGAAAACAGTACCGGTTCTTGTGGTATAATAGTCAACCGCGACCTCAGCTCGTGTAGACCTAATTGACTGATATCTATGCCATCGATAACTATACGACCCATTGCTGGCTCAATAAGTCGAAACAATGCCAGTGTTAGCGATGACTTTCCAGCACCGGTTCGGCCAACAATACCGATCTATTAATATATATATATATATACAGTATATTAGAGACATAGCAAAAAATATGTGATACCTATTACTTATATATTTTTTAACACTATAGCCTACCATTTCTCCAGATTTGATATCAATATCGATACCTTTGATAACTAAATCCAAGCCCTGTCTATAGCGAGTACCGTATCCATCAAAACGGACACAACCTTTTTCTGGCCAGTTATCTGGCAATTTGGTAGCCGATTGCCAGTCGGCTTCTGTATTCAAACCGCAATATTCATCAATCCGTTCAAACGATACCAGATTTGCCTGGGTTTGAGCCAATGAATCGATAAAAAACTCCAAAATACCGGTCAATGTTATGGCATTTGCCAGCGAGAGTCCAATGTCGGCACCGGTCAGCCTATCCTTATTGATAACACCAAAAACGGCAGCAAACAGTACAAGTATACTGCTTAGCACTTGTAGACGCGTTAATAGCCAACTGTTGGCCACAATATACGGATACAAACATTTTGAATTGTTGTCAATCCTATTATCCGATTCCCGTATAAACCTATCCCTACAATCATAGGCCCTAATACTGGATAAGCCGTTAAGTGTTTCCTCTAAATGTGAATTAATTGGCGATCGACTGATAGACTCTAAACTATAAAATATCAAACAATATATTTATATATATATTAATAATAATTATTGTAATAATAATAATATTTATTATTATGTTTTATAACATTTAGTTTATTATAATTTTTTTTGCATACCGTCTCAATTGACACGATGCTTTTATATAAATGTTCTAGATAAAAAAAAATAAATTTAAAATAAATAGTTAGTTATTAAAAATTAATTAATTAATTAAATGTCATATTTTTTGTGTGTGTATGTGTTTTACTATACATATAAATACCTGTAGAAAATAGTAGACAACGACAGTCACTGCCAATGGTATCAAAAACATTGGCGTCAGTATTGAAATCGACACAACAATACCAATACATTGTAGACAATAATCTAATACTTGACTATTGAAATATTATTTAATTAATTAATTACTTAATTATATATATATATATACTGTATATTATATATATATATATATACTGTATATTATATATATATATATATATATATACTGTATATTATATATATATATATATATATATACTGTATTATATATATATATATATTAAAGGGTTGCCGAAAATTGGTGGGGAAACCCATAACTTTTTGGCTTTACCCACCGGATGGGTGAGAGGGGGTAAATCATACAAACATCTAGATTTCTGGTGGGGAGTGGGGGTGGGGGTTAGATAACCTTGCCCTACCTCTACCCTAACCCCACCTGATATATGTATGTACTGTATATATATAATATTTATATATAATTGAATTACCTGAACATAACTGGCAAATGTATGTCAATCAGATACATATCCTTATTGAAACGATTCAATAGACGACCCAATGGTGTCGTATCGAAAAACTCCATGGGTGCGTGCATAACACGTGCCAACAGTTTACGATGCAATCGGATACAGGTGCGTATAATGCTTATGGCGTACACAAATCGGTAGACTGTTTGCAGAATAAACTGACCAAGTATCAATGCGCCAAATATTAACATATAAAATAGTGAACTACGGGTATCCAAACCGGTGGCAACCTGTTTGGACCAGTAGGCCAGCCAAAAGTTTATGCCGTAGTTGACAGCAGTGTTCAATGTGAGCACCGGTAGGCAAATTAGCAGAAACATTATGTTAATGGATCGGACATATTTGATAAATATCTGTATTGTAATTAAATTAAATAAATAAATAATAATAAAATAATAATAATTAAAAAATAATAATTAAAAAAAATAATAATAATAAATAATAATAATAATAAAATATTATACCTTCATAGTTATTAGCCCACTTTGGGCACCCTCCTCATCAATTAATTGTGCATGTTCATTATTATTATTATTGGCAACTATATTGTCACTATTATTATTATTATTAAATTGTTCAATACTAATTTCACCATCATCATTATTGGCAATAATATTTTTATTATTATTATTATTATTATTAAAAACAGTTGTCTCCAAACTATCGTTCCGTTTACTATCTTCATCATCATTATTATTATCATCGACCCGTTCACTAAAATATTGATTAATTAATTGTTGAAAATAATTACTATCGCGTAATAGCTGTCCGTAAGTACCGGTAGATATAATTTTGCCATTTTTCAGTACAACTATTAGATCGCAATCGGCTAACATAAACAATTGATTTGTGACCAACAATCGGGTTTTTGAACCTAAAATACCGGTTTTCGAGTCCAATACTTCAGTCATCAAATGTTTGCCCACATGACTGTCCACTAAAATATTAAATATACAAAAATAAATAAATAAATTATTTTAAATCTAATATTAGTTAAATACCTGCAGAAAGTGGATCGTCGAGTAGGTATAGATCGGCACCGGAATAGACGGCTCGGCCTAAACTAAGTCTCTGTTTTTGACCGCCACTCAGATTAATACCTTTCTCACCAATTTCTGTCTGGTCTCCGCCGGCCAGTTGTCTTAAGTCAGGTCTGAGAGCACAGCTATCTATCACCCGGTCATACAGTTCCTCATCGAACGGCTTTCCAAACATAATATTCTGTTTGATGGTTGCATTCTGTATCCATGCCTGTTGTGGAACGTATGCCATATTAACACCCGGTCTAACATTGACTGTCCCGTCAATCAGTTCCATATCGCCGATAATGGCCGACAGCAGTGAACTTTTACCAGAGCCGACATCGCCTACTATGGCTACAAACATACCGTCCCGGATATGCAAATCTATTTGATTTAATGTATAGTCCTTTATAACATCATCGTCACCAATGGTTTCACCGTTAGGTGTGTCCCACGAAAGTGTTGCCCCATTTATATCAATCATATTATTATTATTGCTATCAGTATTATTGGTCACATAGTTGTTATGTTCATCTAAATTGAGAAATTCATTGAAACGATTGAACGATACGTACATCTAAATTGAAAAAATTAAAAAAAATTTTGTTAGTTAACAAATTAACAAATTAATATTTTTTATTATTATTATAAACTATATGTGTGTTTAATTAGTATAACATATATAACTAACTAAAAAAAAAATTTATGATACATACAATGCCAGCGGTATTATAAACATATGATAACTTCGATAGGATTTCCTTAAACACTGACATCAATGATATGGAGAAAAATATTTTCTCAGCACTTAATTGTTGGCAAATTTCAGTCCCAAATATAGACTGAATATAACTAAATGACATATCAATGGACACATGTATGACATTATAAACAATAAGGCAAACACATAGTACAGGTGTTTGGCTTTAAGTAACTCCTGGTCACGTAATTTGGTTATAATATTCATAAACGGTTGTTCCCACGCGTATAACTAAAATAAAAATAAATAATAATTAATTAATTAATTAAAAATAATAATAACAAATAATGATAATAATTAAATTAATAAAAATAATTAAATTAATAAAAATAATTAAATTAATAAAAATAATTAAATTAATAAAAATAATTAAATTAATAAAAATAATTAAATTAATAAAAAAATAATAAATTAATAAAAATAATTAATATTTAATAATAATATTAATTTATATTTAATAATAATAATAATTAAGATTTAATAATAATAATTATTAATAAAAAGTAATAAATTAATAAAAAAATAATAATAATCTAAATTAATAATTAATTACAACTAATTATTTTTATAAATACTTTAATTATTTTGATGCCATTTAGTATTTCTTTAATAAAATTCAGTCTATTGTCGGCATATTTTAACTCTTTTCTATCGATTTTAATACCGATTTTCATAACAAAATATTGGGCACCGAATAGTATGACCACAACGGCTAAGCCGGCAAATGCTGTATAACTAAACTCAGTAAACAATAGCCCAGTTATCAGTATTATCTGTAGAGGTATTACTATTATATAGGCCAACCATTGGGCATAATCTATAAATTAATAAAAATATAATTATGTAATTGAAAAACTTATGTAAATATCTATTAAACAACTAATACTACTAAACCATTAACTCGTTGACAGTCGACAGCCATTAGGTTAGTTATGTCGCCATAACTGGTCAGACGTTTGGCACCGTTACTCAACACCAGTGACTTGCGATAGACGGCCGACATTACCGATGATGTGATTTTCATAGCTAACAAAAAATTTAAAAAAAAAATTATTTAACTTATAATACTGTATTGATTTGAAATATAGATTTTTTATTATTACTATACTCTTTAAAAAAATCTAAAAACAGTATCTATTATTGTTATAATACTAATTAACAAATAAAAAAACAAAAAAATAATTTGATTTTTTGTAAAAACCTAGACATTTGATTGCTTGTATATAATAGGCATTCAATAGACTGGATAGTATATTCATGAGCACCAGTAGTACTGTATAGATATATCCGTGCCATTTATAACCGTCCATATCCTCAAAGGTTATAAACAATCTGTAAAAAAAATTGTACAAAAAAATTAGTCAAAAAATTTGAATACTAATTATACAGTAATAAGTTTTATTGACTTTTATAATATATATATAATTAAATACTACATACTTGACCACTAATGGTTGACAACATTTTAGGCCAACCGATATAAATAATATTAGACATAACCATAGAAATTGTAGACTAAATTTATGTAATATTATCGATAAAACACTAATACTATTATTATTATGTAATTGTTTAGTAGTAGTGGTATTTATATTTTTAGTATTATTATTATTATTATTGTTGTTAACATTATAAACATATTTTAAACTAAAAAATGAAAACTTTTGTTTTGTTTTGATATCCGATAAACCATTTGTAACCATTTTGTTAGCATTTTTATGATCAATATTACTACTAATACAAGGAGTTGTTGTTTTTTGTTGTTTAAATAGATATCTTTGAAACGTATGCTTATAGTTATGCAAAACACTTAAACCGGGTGTCAGTGGCCAGAGATCCTGGAAGTCGATAGTCTTTTTCCAGTTCATGACAAACAAACCGGTCATCCATTGATAGGTTAGCCTCGATATAGACGATGCCCTCTCTATGGGACATATAATGTCTGGATATTTATTGCTGATTATGTTTCGCTTAGTTATTGAATTTGTATTATTAGTATTAGTATTATTATTGACTATTGGCTTGCAATCAGCAAATTGACAATAGATTAGCAATAGACAAGTCAGACCATAGTTTAGACAAAACAATATAAATTCATAGTTGTATAGCATATGTCTATTGATAGTATAGGTGGCCACAGAAAAACTACCGAAAATAGTGTCCAACAATAGATATAACCAAATCAGTCCACTAGTTATAATGCCGTACACGCGTTGAATGTTAAACACTAGACATAGTAGAAATCTGGCCATAGTTTGTATGCCTAACCCTAGTATGTATGCAGTACTGGGACTATCGTTCCACTGATATTTACGGCATAAACTTAACGCCAGTTCCGCTATTAGTATACCAGTGCTTATCAAACATATACATAATCGGCTAGTATTGTATAAATTCCATTGAATAGTAGTTTTATTATTATTATTAGTAGTAGTTTTGTGACAACATTTCCACATCAGTTTCGGTATGTATAACAACAAGAATAAACAGGGAATCCATACAAACCATGTGCTGGCCATACATGCGCTCAGATTAGGCGCTGTTGTATACCATGAAAGTTGCGGATCCTTTAGATAATCAAAAAAAAAATAATAATAATATAATAATCAAAGTTTAAACTATATATTAATATTACTATTGTTGTAAAAAATTATGATTTTTATTTTATTTAATAAATAAATAATTAAAGTTATTTAAATATTATAATTATTATTTAAATAGGTTACCCATAATTGATCAGTACATATTTTTTCAAACATTATTATTAATTGAAATTAAAAAAATAAATATTAACTTTTTTTGTATTTTATTAGTTATTAAAATTAATTGTCAATTAATTATAAATAATATACAACAATTAATACACAAAAAAAACAACATAGTTTTTCAATTAATTACTTTAATTTAATAAAATTAACACAAAAAAACATATATATATAAACTTATAGTTTTATATTAAAATCTAATCCAAAAAAAACAATTACTGTTAAAATAATGACTAGTATTAAAAACAATACACACAAAAAAATTGTTTATCTAATACTAAATACAGTATATTTCAACAACAAAAAAATATTTCAAAATATTTATATACAGTACAGGTATATATATTCATATATAAAAAATGTATTAACAATAAGATGATGACAATACAAAAAAAATATATTTTTTTATTAAATATCTCATATGATATACGTAAGTAAGTATACAGTAATTTTATATTTACATATATATATATATATATAAAATTTATACATATATATATATATAAAAAAAATTTATACATATATATATATATATATATATAAAACTTTACATACCTATATAAATTAAAGGTAATAAATAATTTTATTTACAATAAATAAATTAAATACTATGTGTTAAATACTAACTGAATTATTAATTATAATTATTTTTTTAATAATTATTTATATTCAATTTTAATGATTAAAGTAAAAATAAAATAAAAATAAAATAATAAATTAATAAGTTTTTATTATTAGAGTTATTATTATTATTATAATTATTAACTAATAATAATAATAATAATAATAATTAAATTAAAATTAAGATAAATTATATATATATTATATATTATAGTAATATTTTTTGTGTTTCTCGGATTATATTTTTTTTAAAATAAATAAATATTAATTACTAAATATTATATATACATATATTATCTTATACTATGGTATGGTATAGTATAAAAAATTAATAATAATAATAATAATAATAATAATAATAATAAAAACAACCATGGATATCATATATTAGTTCAAAAAATGGTCAAAGTAAACTAATTGCAATGGATTCAATTAAAAAAATAATAATAATAGGTTTGTAAAAAACAATATTTAAAAAAATAATAGGTTTGTAAAAAACAATATTTAAAAAAATAATAGGTTTGTAAAAAACAATATTTAAAAAAAAAATAAAATAATAATAATCGCAAAACAATAATATAAAATATATGTTTGTATTTTTTGGTGCAATACTCTTATACAATAATAATAATAATAATAATAATCATAAAATTTTTTTGTTTTTTTAGTTAGACTTTATGCCAATAATTATATTTAGAAATTTTTTGTTTATATTTTTCAACTAAAATAATTTTTAAAAAAAATCCCAACGATTTTCAGACTAACTTTTTGATTTAAATTTAAATAAATAAATAAATAATTTATATATATATATATATATAATTTTAAATGTATTAATTGTTTATTATTTTTTTATATATTTATATTACATTATATTATATACTAATTAGATAATAAATTTATAGTATTTATTAGTTTAGATTTTATTGTTGTTGTTGTTGTTATATTTATATAATTATTTTTAAAAAATATTAAAATAAACAATAATTTTTTTTTGTAAATTATTATAAGAGTTTTATTACAAAAACAAAATAAATAATAAATAAATAAAATATAATTATTAGATTAATTGAAATATTTAAAAAAAAAAATTCTGTTAATACATATTATATACAACTCGTTTATTTTAATTAAAATAATCAATTAATATAAAAATTAATTTTTAATTAAATATTATTTAATTAAAATTATCCATATTTGCTACAATTATTATTATTTTTTAAGAAATGTTTATATTAATAATCGCCATTAAATTTAAACAGTTTAGTAGTATATTAGTGTAATTAAAGCTAATCTATTTAATACAACTAAATAATACTAATAATATTTTTAAATAATAATAATAATTATGGATAGTATTGATCCTGAAATATATAGCAAAAAAAATAATATCCATTATTTATTTGCAATGGAGTCTATTAAACAATTAAACATTGATAATAGGTTAGCTAAAAAAAACTAAATTAATTAATTAATTAATTAATTTTTTTATTTATTAAATTAAATTAACAGATCCTATGATTTGATTGTCGACTTGGGCTGCGGTGACGGCGGTATTACCAAACATTTGTTTGGCAAACATTTACCACATAAACGGTTGATCGGTATCGATGTGGTCGACGATATGATAAGCTATGCCCGCAATCATAATATGGATGATACTATTGAATATGTTATGCAAGACATGAGCATAGGTTGGCCAGAGATAGCTAGTCCACGGGTTCGGCAATTGGACGGTACGGTTGATCTACTTATATCTAACTTTGCTCTACAATATATGCCCGATAAGTGTCAAGTGATGAACACTTGTAGTCGCTTACTGTCCTCCACCACCACCACCACCACCACCAATACGGGCGGTATATTTCATGCAAATATCGCTATTCTGCCCGATCTTAACAAAAAATTGGTTACAACTAAAGGCCCGCCGAAACAATGGTATCCGACAATTGATAAACAAATCGCTGATTGGAAACAATCAATAATTGCTAATCAATTAGATATTAAACAACTAATGACTATTGATTACGATTGGACTATAGATAGGCAAACAATGATTGGTTTGTTATTTAATTATTTAAAACTTATTATTAGTATTATTATTAGTAATCTTATTAGTAGTATTATTAGTATTATTAGTATTATTAGTATTATTAGTATTATTATTAGTATTATTATTAGTATTATTATTATTATTATTAGTATTATTAGTATTATTAGTATTATTATTAGTATTATTATTATTATTATTATTATTATTAGTATTATTTTTAGTATTATTTTTAGTATTATTATTAGTATTATTATTAGTAGTATTATTAGTATTATTAGTATTATTATTAGTATTATTATTAGTAGTATTATTAGTATTATTAGTATTATTATTATTAGTATTATTATTATTATTATTATTATTATTATTATTATTATTATTAGTATTATTATTAGTAATATTATTATTAGTATTATTATTAGTATTATTATTAGTATTATTATTAGTATTATTATTAGTATTATTATTAGTAATATTATTATTAGTATTATTATTAGTATTATTATTAGTATTATTATTAGTAATATTATTATTAGTATTATTATTAGTATTATTATTAGTATTATTATTAGTATTATTATTAGTATTATTATTAGTAATATTATTAGTAATATTAGTATTATTATTATTATTATTATTATTACCACTACTACTACTACTTTAGACTTTATGCCAGTAATCCAATCAAACTATCGGTCATTTTTCAAAAATCAATCGGACTTTGAGGCCGAACTCAATGACCACTTATCGGACACACTGTTCGATGCATTTGTCAACCCGACGGCTCCGGACCCGAAACCCAAGGCTTGGCAACAGTTTATAGCCGACACTACCGTTACGGAAGTTGTCGTTCATTTTATTACCATAAGAGTAACGGCTATTAAACAACAACAAAAAAATAAATTAATTAATTAATTAATTAACTAATTAATTAACTAATTAATTAACTAATTACTTATAAAAATAATAATAATAGAATATTTTATTTAAAATAGTTTTTTTTTAAATCTGATTAAAAAAAAACAATTATTTTATTGTTTTTTCTAAACTACTGTATAACTGCTAAAATATAATAATTATTATTTTTCCTAAATCTAATAAAACTTTCTTTTTTTTATATATATATAAAATTTATAGAATATAATTATAAAACTTTATAATTTCTGTTTTACATTTTTTTTTGTGTGTGTATAATATAAACAAAAAATTAATAGTTAAGAAAAAATTAATGAATAGTTAGAATAGACTCATTGGCGCTATTCTAAAAAAAAAAATTCATTAGGATTAGTACACATATTACGTTCACATGTTGAGGGGAGTGGAAGGATATGGGGGGTGGGTGGGGTGGTATGGTTGGGTATCAGTTATAGACATATGAACGTAATTTTTTTTCTTTAAATTAATACATGCGAACAATTTCGAACATAGGGGATGGGGGTGGGGGTGGAGAGGGTCTAGATTACTTAGAAAGTGTGCGAACTTAATATGTGAATAGCCCCTTATTAAAATTATTACTGTAAACAGTATTAATCAAATATTTGTTTTTAAAAAATATATATATATTTTTTTTTTATAATTATCAGCTAATTATAGTTATCTATTAAAATGATAATAACTATTTTTGCAATATTACGATATTTTTTTTAATATTATTAATAATCATTAAACACATTAAGCGTATGTATAATAAAAAAAATAATAATAATTAATCATAAATATTATAAATAATATTTTTATTTAAAAAAAATTAATTTTAATTTTAACTGCCATATTTGCTACAATTATTTATTTATTTATTTTTTTAAAGTTTATACTAGTTAACATAATAACTATAATATGTTAATCGTTAAATTAAATTACTTGTTTAGTAGTATTGTATAATTATTTTATAATCTATTTAATACAACATAATAATAATAATAATAATAATAATAATAATAATAATAATAATAATAATAATATTTTTAAATAATAATATTTTTAAATAATAATATTTTTTAAACAATAATAATACTTGCTACAAGTATTTATTTATTTATTTTTAAAAAAAAAGTTTATATTAGTTTAATTAGTATAATAACTATTATGTTAATCGCCAATTAAATTAAACAGTTTTGGTAGTATTGTTATAATTAAATCTATTTACAATACAACATAATAATAAAAAATAATAATATTTTTAAATAGTAATAATAATAATATTTTTTTTATATAATAATAATGGATTGTATTGAACCAGAAATATATAGTAAAATAAATAGTATTCATTATTTACTTGCAATGGAGTCTATTAAACAATTAAACATTGATAATAGGTTAGCTAAAAACTAAACTAAACTAAAAATTAATTTAAAATTTAATAAAAATTTATTAACAGATCCTATGATCTGATTGTTGACTTAGGCTGCGGTGACGGCGGTATTACCAAACATTTGTTTGGCAAACATATCCGGTATAAACTGTTGGTCGGCATTGATGTCGTACCCGAAATGATAAGCTATGCCCGCCGTCATAATACTGCTGATACTATTGAATATGTGGAGCAAGACATGAGTATCGGTTGGCCAGAGATTAGTAGCCAACGGATCAGGCAATTGGACGGTACGGTCGATCTAATTGTATCTAACTTTGCCCTACACTATATGCCCGATAAGTGGCAAGTGATGAACACTTGTAGTCGCTTACTGTCCTCCTCCTCCTCCTCCACCACCACTACGGGCGGTATATTTCATGCAAATATCGTTATTCTGGCCGATCTTAACAAAAAACTGGTTACAACTAATACCCCGAAACAATGGTATCCGACAATTGATAAACAAATCGCTGATTGGAAACAATCAATAATTGATAATCAATTAGATATTAAACAACTAATGACTATTGATTACGATTGGACTATAGATAGGCAAATAACGATTGGTTTGTTGTTTATAGTTTAAAAAAACTAAAACTTAATTATTATTATTATTTTATTATTAATAATTATTATTACTTTATAGACTTTATGCCAGTAATCCAATCAAACTATCGGTCATTTTTCAAAAATCAATCGGACTTTGAGGCCGAACTCAATGACCACTTATCGGATACAGTGTTCGATGCATTTGTTAACCCGACGGCTCCGGACCCGAACCCCAAGGCTTGGCAACAGTTTTTAGCCGACACTACCGTTACGGAAGTTGTTATTCATTTTATTAACTTAAGAGTAACGGCTGTTAAACAACTCCAACAAAAAAATCAATCAATTAATTAATTAATTAATTACTTATAATTATAATAATAATAGAATTTAGATAAAAAAGTTTTAAATCAAATTAATTAATTTTGTTGAAAAAAAATATTTTATTATATAATTTTGAATGTTTATAAAATAATTATTTTTTTTTGTTATTGATTTTAACATGTGCTTTACTACACTACTGTATGATAAAAAAATAATTAATTAATTATTTTTAAAAAATCAAATAAAGTTAACAAAGAGTTAACAAAAAAATCAAAATTTAATGTTTAAAAAAAATCAAAATAATTTTAATCAATTAATTGCCATGGTTAGTTTGTTTGATTTTTCTACTGGCGTTTCTCAACCCTAACAAAAACCTCTTTGGGTGTCATTATACCAAACACTTGATATTTGTAAAACTCCAGTGGTTTCATTGAATGTGTATGTGTATGTGTATGTGTATGTGTATGTGTATGTGTATGTGTATGTGTATGTGTATGTGTATGTGTATGTGTATGTGTATGTGTATGTGTATGTGTATGTGTATGTGTATGTGTATGTGTATGTGTATGTGTATGTGTATGTGTATGTGTATGTGTATGTGTATGTGTATGTGTATGTGTATGTGTATGTGTATGTGTATGTGTATGTGTATGTGTATGTGTATGTGTATGTGTATGTGTATGTGTATGTGTATGTGTATGTGTATGTGTATGTGTATGTGTATATGTGTATGTGTATGTGTATGTGTATGTGTATGTGTATGTGTATGTGTATGTGTATGTGTATGTGTATGTGTATGTGTATGTGTATGTGTATGTGTATGTGTATGTGTATGTGTATGTGTATGTGTATGTGTATGTGTATGTGTATGTGTATGTGTGTATGTGTATGTGTATGTGTATGTGTATGTGTATGTGTATGTGTATGTGTATGTGTATGTGTATGTGTATGTGTATGTGTATGTGTATGTGTATGTGTATGTGTATGTGTATGTGTATGTGTATGTGTATGTGTGTATGTGTATGTGTATGTGTATGTGTATGTGTATGTGTATGTGTATGTGTATGTGTATGTGTATGTGTATGTGTATGTGTATGTGTATGTGTATGTGTATGTGTATGTGTATGTGTATGTGTATGTGTATGTGTATGTGTATGTGTATGTGTATGTGTATGTGTATGTGTATGTGTATGTGTATGTGTATGTGTATGTGTATGTGTATGTGTATGTGTATGTGTATGTGTATGTGTATGTGTATGTGTATGTGTATGTGTATGTGTATGTGTATGTGTATGTGTATGTGTATGTGTATGTGTATGTGTATGTGTATGTGTATGTGTATGTGTATGTGTATGTGTATGTGTATGTGTATGTGTATGTGTATGTGTATGTGTATGTGTATGTGTATGTGTATGTGTATGTGTATGTGTATGTGTATGTGTATGTGTATGTGTATGTGTATGTGTATGTGTATGTGTATGTGTATGTGTATGTGTATGTGTATGTGTATGTGTATGTGTATGTGTATGTGTATGTGTATGTGTATGTGTATGTGTATGTGTATGTGTATGTGTATGTGTATGTGTGTATGTGTATGTGTATGTGTATGTGTATGTGTATGTGTATGTGTATGTGTATGTGTATGTGTATGTGTATGTGTATGTGTATGTGTATGTGTATGTGTATGTGTATGTGTATGTGTATGTGTATGTGTATGTGTATGTGTATGTGTATGTGTATGTGTATGTGTATGTGTATGTGTATGTGTATGTGTATGTGTATGTGTGTGTATGTGTATGTGTATGTGTATGTGTATGTGTGTGTATGTGTATGTGTATGTGTATGTGTATGTGTATGTGTATGTGTATGTGTATGTGTATGTGTATGTGTATGTGTATGTGTATGTGTATGTGTATGTGTATGTGTATGTGTATGTGTATGTGTATGTGTATGTGTATGTGTATGTGTATGTGTATGTGTATGTGTATGTGTATGTGTATGTGTATGTGTATGTGTATGTGTATGTGTATGTGTATGTGTATGTGTATGTGTATGTGTATGTGTATGTGTATGTGTATGTGTATGTGTATGTGTATGTGTATGTGTATGTGTATGTGTATGTGTATGTGTATGTGTATGTGTATGTGTATGTGTATGTGTATGTGTATGTGTATGTGTATGTGTATGTGTATGTGTATGTGTATGTGTATGTGTATGTGTATGTGTATGTGTATGTGTATGTGTATGTGTATGTGTATGTGTATGTGTATGTGTATGTGTATGTGTATGTGTATGTGTATGTGTATGTGTATGTGTATGTGTATGTGTATGTGTATGTGTTTATGTATGTGTGTGTATATGTGTATGTGTTTATGTRTGTGTGTGTGTGTATGTGTGTCATATTAAAACATTACTATAATAGTTAAATTATACAACAACAAAAAATTATTATACATTAAAATTTAAAATAAAATAACAAAAATTAATTTCATAGGCAAAAAATATATTTAGTTAAAAATAAAACAATAAAGTGATAACAAAAATAATTTATTTTATTAATCTATTAAAAATATTTTAATTGTTTATTGAATTAAATTTTAAATCATTGATAGAAATTCATGTCTAGTTTTATGATTATCTCTGAACTGTCCAAACATACAACTGGTTATAGTTTTGCCATTGATTTTCTGTACCCCACGAGAGCTCATACACATGTGTCTGGAAATACCAATAAAAATCAATAATTTTATTCAAACTTATATATAATATGACAAATACTTGGCCTCAACAACAACACCGACTCCTAAAGGACTGATAGCTTCAGCCACTGCTTCGGCTATTTGTTTGGTCAGTCTTTCCTGAACTGTAAGACAATAACATATTTTAATTTTCATTACTATATCTTTGTGTATCCATCCATACCTTGATCTTAGTCTTCGGGCAAACATTTCCACAATTCGGGCCAATTTGCTGAGTCTCAGCACCTTATGGTCGGGCAGATAACCGATAGACACTTTGCTATAGATGGGCACCAAATGGTGTTCACAATAGGAAAACATTTCAATATCTTTGACGACAACCATCTCATCGGTGTCTTCAGCAAACACGGCATCATTCAAGACATCATTGATTTTCAATTGATATCCATTAGTGAAATACAACAGTGCTTTCGCTGCCCTCTCCGGTGTCTTCAATAGACCCTCTCTTTCCGTGTCTTCGCCAATGGTTTCCAACAGATCTCTATAAATACGAGTCAATCGTTTCAATTGTGTATCATTTTTGTCGTCTAAACCATTGTTCGCACCGTTAGTTTTTTGCGATACTATACTATTTATAGTAAGATTTTTATTGATATCATAAACATTTTGTTTGACCACCACTTCATTGACCAAAACATTATTGTTATTATTATTATTTTGATTCAATTTATTAGAATTTTTACTCATTTTTTTTAGTAGATATATATTAAAGATATTTTTTTTTAAAAACTAAAATATTTTTAATTATCTATATTAAATACTAAAAACTTTCAAAAATTTAGCTTAGTAATTGTTAAGTAAAGATTATAGATATTATTTTATTGTTAATTCAAAATATTAAATAATAATTTATTGCTCAAATATTTTATATGAATATTAACAACAAAAAAATAATAATTAATTTTTCGATTTTTCTAAATAGTTTATATCAAAATATTAAATAATAATTTAAAAAGCATATTATTATTATTAATTTAATAATTTAATTTAATTATTTAAAATTATTAAAGATAGTTTAGTTAAAATTTTTATAGATAATTTTAAATATATTTATTAAAATAAATGTTTGATTAATACAAATTAATATAAAACAAGAAAAAATATACTGTATATTAGATTTTTATTATGTTTATAGATTTACAACAAAACAAATTAAAAAATACAAAAAAAAATAATAATGTTTAGTATAAATATAAATTGAAAAAAATCAAAAATTTAATAACAATACTTTAATAATACTAAAACTAATATTAGTATTATTATCAACCAAAATATGTGACAACATTTTAGTCTAATATTTCTAAATAGTTTATTTAAAAATATTCATAAATGTTAAATTAATACAACTTAATATAACTAAATATATAATAATATAATATAATATACTGTATATTAGATTTTTATTAAGTTTATAGATTTACAACAACAACAAAAATGCAAAAAAAAGAAAAGTTTGTATTTTATTATTAATATTATTGAAAAAAAATCAAAACAAAAAATATAATAATAATAAAAATAATAATAAACTATTATTATTATTAGTAGTAGTAGTAGTAGTAGTATCAGCCAAAATAGGTGACAACATTTTTATCTGTTTCATACAATTTGATTTTATGTAATAAAATATTTGTAGGCAATCTCTGGGAAACGGCTTTCCATATGTAGACCACAATATTTTCGGCAGTCGACACAATATTATTGTCAAAAAAATCGGGTATATCTCTATCAATGAGTTTATGATCAAACGGTTTCAATATAGTCTCGTCCATCAGTTCCTTAAGTTCATTGATATTCATCAGAAAACCGGTTACGGGATCTACTGATCCCTTAACAGTCAACTCTATCCGATAGTTATGGCCGTGAATTTGATTACATTTACCGAAAGTTTTCACATTTGTTTGCTGATCCAGTAGTCGACTGTTCATACTATGGGCTGAACTAAACGTCTCGATACGGGTCAGGTATACAAGCGATTCATTATTATTATTATTATTATTATTAGTTTTATTGTCCAACATTTTTGTTGTTTGTTTCTTGATTTATTAAATTAAATAAATAGTATTTATAAATTATTTTCTAGTTTATATATATATATATATAATTTATTAATATATTTATATTTTATTATATAATTTATTAATATATATATATTTAATTAATTAATTATTGTTTTTTTTCTAAAAAAAAAATAATAATTCAATAATTATTATTTTTTCATAAAACAATAATTAATTAATCAACAAAAAAAATAGAAAAAATTATAAATATTAAAACCTAGAAAATAATAACAATAATAAATATATTTTTTTGTATAAAAAATTTTCTAATACTATAAAAAAAATTTATCTAAAAAACTATTTGGTTTATATAGATTTTTTATTTTGCAAGTAATGTTCAAAACAAGCAATTAATTATTTTTTTTTTAAATAATAAAATTATTTAGTATATTGAATACTTGCTTTTTTGCTTGAATTAAATATCATTATTCAAATAAAATATATTTGAAATTTCTAATGATTTGACTATTTTTTTTTTGTTAAATTTAATTAAATGTTTTACGAAATATTATTAATGAAAATACAAAAATATTTTAATTGCAAATAATTATTAATACATGTATAGTACATGTAATAAATGTATTTACTTTACAATTAAATATTAAAGTTACAGTAATTTTTTTAGTTTATTAAAAAAATATATTTGACTTATTAATATATATATATATATATATGTTTGTAATTTAAAATGTAATTTTTTTGTTTATAATTAAAAATATTATATACAATAAAATGCTAAATATTTTTTACTTAATTATAACTAAATCAAAATAAAAAACAAACAAAAAGTCATAATTCAAAAAATTTCAAACAAACAAATAAAAAGTTTTTAAATATTTTAGTTTATTTTGTTTTTTTTTTTGATAAAATATTAATTGTTAATATTTTTAACTAATTAATTAAGTTTTTTTATATAAAAAAAATACAGATTAAGAAATATATTTATATAATAATTAAATATAATAATAATATACTTTAATTTGCATAATACTATATATTTTTTATATTATTTATATTAATTATATGTATTTTTTGTTGTTGATAATATTTTATGTCACAATTTAGTCACAAAATATATTTATTAAGTTATTAATTATTAAAGTTATAATATATATATATATATTATAATAAAAAATTAAATAAATAAATAATTTTCTGATTAATCATTTAAATTAATAAAACGTGTATTAAAAGTAAGAAATTTATTGAAAATAAGCAAACATTTTGCTTAAGTACTCGCAAAATAAATAAATAATTATTATTATTGAACATTAAATTTCAATTCAAATACATGTATTTTTTTATTTAAAAAAAATTATAATAATAATAAATCCTATAATTTTTTTATCATTATAAAAAAAAATATTTGTTATATTAAAAAAAATTTTTGTTTTATATTGTATTATAAGTTAATAATAATAATAATAATAATAATTATTATTATTATTTTAAAAACTTATTGATTACATTCAAAGTAATTATATATGAAAAAAAAAATATTTTCAATGGAAAAAAATCTTATATAAACTCAAGTTTTTTAATTTACAGTTAACTAAGTTAGTTAATTAATAGTAATTTTTTGTTAAAAAAAATTTTGCTATAATAATAATATTTTAATTAAAAAATATAATACTACTGTTTTACATAGTTTTACATTAATTATTAATATATATTATGATATGGATATTATTGAACCCGATGTTTATGCCAAACAAAAAAGTAATGCCCAACTAATAGCTATGCAATCAATTGATAGTCTAATCGATGCTAACTATAGGTAATTTGAAAAACTAATTGAAAAAAATATTTTTTTTAAATATGTTATTTTTGCAGATCATACGATCAGATTGTGGACATCGGTTGCGGTGACGGCGATATAACCAAACAATTACTCGGCAAACATATCCCGCATAAACATATACTGGCCATCGATGTCCTGCCCGATATGATAACCTATGCCCGCAATCATAATTCAGATGATACTATTGAATATCTAGTGCAAGATATTAGTGTCAAGTGGCCACTGATTACTAGCCAACGGCTACGGCAATTGGCCGGCAATGTTGACCTAATATTTTCAAACTTAGCACTTGAATATATGGCCGACAAATGGCAAATAGTCGAAACATTTGGCCAGTTGTTGTCCACGGGCGGCGTATTTCACGCCAATCTAGTTATTATGGAAGATATTAACAAACGATTGGCCAGTTATGGTCGGCCGCCGCCGAAACAACAATGGTATCAATCGCGTGAAAAACAATTAGACAATTGGCGTCAAAGTCTATCGGATAATCAGTTTCTGGTCAAACAGTTTGAGATTATTGATGTCTGTTGGCCGACGGATAGACAGAAAATGATTAGTTAGTATTTGAATTAAAATTTCAAAAAAAAAAATAAATAAATAATTATTATTTATAATTTTTTTTAATAGACTTTATGGGAATTATTATATCAAAATATCGGCAATTTTTCCAAAATACCGATGACTTTGAGTCGGAAAAAACTGATCACTTATGGGATACGGCTTTCGATGCGTTGGTCAACCCGACGGCCGACACACCCAACCCGAGGGCGTGGCAACAGTTTTTAGCCGACCCGACCGTTACGGTAGTCAATCGTTACCATCAATTGCTGAGAATAACTGCTGTTAAACAATAAATAATTTTTATTGTTTATTAATTAATTAATTAATTATAACTTTTTTTTACATTTAATTAGTAAATCAAAAAAATATTATGTTTATTTAGATAAAAAAAACAAATTAATACTAAAAAAAATTTTAATTAAATATTTTTATTTAATGTTTTAGATGTAATAGTATAAACAGTATATACAGTAGTATCAAGGTCATTATTGTTTTTTTTTTGAAAATTTATTTACTGTATATTAATTATTTTATTTTCTAATAAAATTTTTAATTAAATATTTTAAATACTAATTAATTTTTATTATTAAGATCTTGGAAATAATTTTTTAATTATTTAATTTTTTATTTACTAATAATTATTATAATTTTACTTTATATTATATTATAGAAAAACTAACTAATTATTTATTAATCTATAAATTGAAATAAATTAATTTAATTATTTTTTAATAACAGTCACTAAATTTCAAATCATATAACACCAGCGTCTTTGGCCAGTTAATAGAAAATGGTTGTCCTGTCGTCAAGCAGTTTGTCGGGTGAGTCAAACTCGGCTACCCGTCCGTCGCTTAGGACTAACACCCGATCGTAATCAAGGATTGTATTGATTCGGTGGGCAATCGTTAAGACAGTACACGACTTAAACTCTTGTCTAATAGTTTGCTGAATGAGTGCATCGGTCTCGACAGCGACGGCAGCCGTGGCCTCATCGAGGATAAGGATAGACGTGTGTCTGAGTAGAGCCCGAGCCAGACATACAAGTTGTTACACCTGACCGACACTCATGTTATCACCCGATTCAGTAATCGGATAGTCGAGACCGGCATCAGTCGACACTACAAACTCTTTGTTCTAATACTGACCAGAGATCGTCGTCGGAAAACTTCTCAAACGGATCCAAATTTGAGCGAATAGTTCCCGAAAACAGTACCGGTTCTTGTGGTATAATAGTCAACCGCGACCTCAGCTCGTGTAGACCTAATTGACTGATATCTATACCATCGATAACTATACGACCCATTGCTGGCTCAATAAGTCGAAACAATGCCAGTGTTAGCGATGACTTTCCCGCACCGGATTCAATTAAAATGGATTCAATTAAAAAAAAAAAATAATAATAGATTTGTAAAAAACAATATTTAAAAAAATAATATGTTTTTAATAAAACAATATTTTTTTATTAAAAAATAATAGGTTTGTAAAAAACAATATTTAAAAAAAAATAAAATAATAATAATCGCAAAACAATAATATAAAATATATGTTTGTATTTTTTGGTGCAATACTCTTATACAATAATAATTATAATAATAATCATAAAATTTTTTTGTTTTTTTTAGTTAGACTTTATGCCAATAATTATATTTAGAAATTTTTTGTGTATATTTTTCAACAAAAATTTAAAAAAAACTCCCAACGATTTTCAGACTAACTTTTTGATTTAAATTTAAATAAATAAATAAATAATTTTTATATATATATAATTTTAAATGTATTAATTGTTTATTATTTTTTATATATTTATATTACATTATATTATATACTAATTAGATAATAAATTTATAGTATATATTAGTTTAGATTTTATTGTTGTTGTTGTTATATTTATATAATTATTTTTAAAAAATATTAAAATAAACAATATTTTTTTTTTGTAAATTATTATAAGAGTTTTATTACAAAAACAAAATAAATAATAAATAAATAAAATATAATTATTAGATTAATTGAAATAAAAAACTGTTAATACATATTATATACAACTCGTATATTTTAATTAAAATAATCAATTAATATAAAAATTAATTTTTTAATTAAATATTAATTAATTAAAATTTCCATATTTGCTACAATTATTATTATTTTTAAAAAAATTTTATATTAATAATCGCCATTAAATTCAAAAAAAAGTTTAGTAGTATTTAAAGCTAATCTATTTAATACAACTAAATAATATAAATAATATTTTTAAATAATATTTTTTCAATAATAATGGATAGTATTGATCCTGAAATATATAGCAAAAAAAATAATATCCATTATTTATTTGCAATGGAGTCTATTAAACAATTAAACATTGATAATAGGTTAGCTAAAAAAAAAACTAAATTAATTAATTAATTAATTAATTTTATTATTTATTAAATTAAATTAACAGATCCTATAATTTGATTGTCGACTTGGGCTGCGGTGACGGCGGTATTACCAAACATTTGTTTGGCAAACATTTACCACATAAACGGTTGGTCGGTATCGATGTGGTCGACGATATGATAAGCTATGCCCGCAATCATAATATGGATGATACTATTGAATATGTTAAGCAAGACATGAGCATAGGTTGGCCAGAGATAGCTAGTCCACGGGTTCGGCAATTGGACGGTACGGTTGATCTACTTATATCTAACTTTGCTCTACAATATATGCCCGATAAGTGTCAAGTGATGAACACTTGTAGTCGCTTACTGTCCTCCACCACCACCACCACCACCACCAATACGGGCGGTATATTTCATGCAAATATCGCTATTCTGCCCGATCTTAACAAAAAATTGGTTACAACTAAAGGCCCGCCGAAACAATGGTATCCGACAATTGATAAACAAATCGCTGATTGGAAACAATCAATAATTGCTAATCAATTAGATATTAAACAACTAATGACTATTGATTACGATTGGACTATAGATAGGCAATCAATGATTGGTTTGTTATTTATTTATTTAAAACTTATTATTAGTATTATTATTAGTATTATTATTAGTATTATTATTAGTATTATTATTATTATTATTATTAGTATTATTATTAGTATTATTATTAGTATTATTATTATTATTATTATTAGTATTATTATTAGTATTATTATTAGTATTATTATTAGTATTATTATTAGTATTATTATTATTATTATTATTATTACCACTACTACTACTACTTTAGACTTTATGCCAGTAATCCAATCAAACTATCGGTCATTTTTTAAAAATCAATCGGACTTTGAGGCCGAACTCAATGACCACTTATCGGACACACTGTTCGATGCATTTGTCAACCCGACGGCTCCGGACCCGAAACCCAATGCTTGGCAACAGTTTATAGCCGACACTACCGTTACGGAAGTTGTCGTTCATTTTATTACCATAAGAGTAACGGCTGTTAAACAAAAACAAATTAATTAACTAATTAATTAACTAATTAATTAACTAATTAATTAACTAATTAATTAACTAATTAATTAACTAACTAACTAACTAATTAATTACTTATAAAAATAATAATAATAGAATTTTTTATTTTAAAAAAAAGTTTTAAATCAGATTATAAAAAAAACAATTATTTTATTATATAATTTTTTGAAATGTTTATAAAATAAAATCTTTTTTTTTGCTATTAATTTTAACCCTTGCTTTACTAAACCAAACTGTATAACTGTATAAAAAATAAAACTTTTTTTTTTATATTATATTATATTTTAAACTTAAAATAATTTATTAGTTTAGGTTTTATTGTTGTTGTTGTTTTTGTGGATATTGTTGTTATATTTATATAATTATTTTTAAAAAATATTAAAATAAATAATAATTTGTGTAAATTATTATGAGTTTTATTTAAAAAACAAAATAAATAATAATTAAATAAAATATAATTATTAGATTAATTGAAATAAAACAAACAAACAAAAATGTTTATGGCATTACATATTATATACAATTAATATAATAAATAATATAAAAATTAATTTTTAATTAAAAAAAAAATTATGATTAAATTGCCATATTTGCTACAATTATTTTTTTAAATGTTTATATTATTTACAGATATTAACTATTAATTAATTAATAAATTAATCATTTAATCACCATTAAATTAAACAGTTTAGTAGTACTTTAATCAAAACTAATCTATTTAATACAACATAATAATAATAATAATAATAATAATAATTATGGATAGTATTGATCCTGAAATATATAGTAAAAAAAATAATAGCCATTATATATTTGCAATGGAGTCTATTAAACAATTAAACATTGATAATAGGTTAGCTAAAAAAAACTAAACTAAACTAAAAAAAATATTAATTAATTAATTAATTTTTTTATTTATTAAATTAAATTAACAGATCCTATGATCTGATTGTCGACTTGGGCTGCGGTGACGGCGGTATTACCAAACATTTGTTTGGCAAACATTTACCTCATAAACGGTTGGTCGGTATCGATGTCGTCGACGATATGATAAGCTATGCCCTCAAGCATAATATGGATGATACTATTGAATATGTGGTGCAAGACATGAGCTTAGGTTGGCCAGAGATAACTAGTCCACGGGTTCGGCAATTGGACGGTACGGTTGATCTACTTATATCTAACTTTGCTCTACAATATATGCCCGATAAGTGTCAAGTGATGAACACTTGTAGTTGCTTACTGTCCTCCACCACCACCAGTACGGGCGGTATATAACATGCAAATATCGGTATTCTGGCCGATCTTAACAAAAAACTAGTGGTCAACAAAACTAGTGGCCAAACCAATCAATGGTATCCGACAATTGATAAACAAATCGCTGATTGGAAACAATCAATAATTGCTAATCAATTAGATATTAAACAACTATTGACTATTGATTACGATTGGACTATAGATAGGCAATCAATGATTGGTTTGTTATTTTTAGTTAATTAATTAATTATAATAATTATTTTTTTTAATAAAACTAAATTTCTATTATTATTAGTATTATTATTATTAGTATTATTATTATTAGTATTATTATTATTAGTATTATTATTATTAGTATTATTATTATTAGTATTATTATTATTAGTATTATTATTATTAGTATTATTATTATTAGTATTATTATTATTAGTATTATTATTATTAGTATTATTATTATTAGTATTATTATTATTAGTATTATTATTATTAGTATTATTATTATTAGTATTATTATTATTAGTATTATTATTATTAGTATTATTATTATTAGTATTATTATTATTAGTATTATTATTAGTATTATTATTATTAGTATTATTATTAGTATTATTATTAGTATTATTATTATTAGTATTATTATTATTAGTATTATTATTATTAGTATTATTATTATTAGTATTATTATTATTAGTATTATTATTATTAGTATTATTATTATTAGTATTATTATTATTAGTATTATTATTATTATTATTATTATTATTATTATTATTATTATTATTAGTATTATTATTATTAGTATTATTATTATTAGTATTATTATTATTAGTATTATTATTATTAGTATTATTATTATTAGTATTATTATTATTAGTATTATTATTATTAGTATTATTATTAGTATTATTATTAGTATTATTATTAGTATTATTATTATTAATATTATTAGTATTATTATTAGTATTATTATTAGTATTATTATTATTATTATTAGTATTATTATTATTATTATTATTATTATTATTATTATTATTATTATTACTACTACTACTACTTTAGAGTTTATGCCAGTAATCCAATCAAACTATCGGTCATTTTTCAAAAATCAATCGGACTTTGAGGCCGAACTCAATGACCACTTATCGGATACACTGTTCGATGCATTTGTCAATCCGACGGCTCCCGACCCGAACCTCAAGGCTTGGCAACAGTTTTTAGCCGACACTACCGTTACGGAAGTTGTCATTCATTTTATTACCTTAAGAGTAACGGCTGTTAAACAACAACAAAAAAGTCATAAAATTAAATGAAAAAATTTAAATGAAAAAATAAAATGAAAAAAAAAATTTAATAAAAAAAACAATTATTTTATTATATAATTTTAAATGTTTATATAAACTATAAATTTTTTTTTGCTGTAAAACATAATTATAATATAAATATATATTTTTTATATATATCTAAATCTAATAAACTTAACAAAGAAAGTGAAAATAAAAAAATTAAAGTTAAACTTAAAATTTAATGAAAAAATAATAATTTTTTAATTAATTTTTTTGTCATGATTAGTTTTTTATTTTAATAGCATTTCTCAACCCTAACTAAAAAAAAATTTTAATAAAAAAAATTACACACCAAACACTGAAAATAAAAGCAATTACTTTTATATAATTTTTTTTTTTAAAAATATTATATAATTATATTTTATTTAATAAAAAATAAATTTTAACAATTAGATATAACTTATAACTTAATATTATATACTGTATATATATATATATATTGTATTTATATAAATTTTATAAATGTATTTTTGTCCACAGATAGGTATTAGTATATTAAAGTTAAATATATTATTATTATTATTATTAACAAATAAAGTAATTTTTTAAAAAATTTCCAATGAATTTATATTATTATTATTATATTATTTTTTTCATTAGTCATTCAATTGAATTTAATTAATTTAATTGTATATATATAAATTAATTGTTATAATTAATTTATATAGCTATGTAAAGTTTTGCATATATATATATTTAAATATGAAATTACTTTATACTTACATGAGATATATAAAAATTTTTTTTTGTTTTAGTCATTATTATCTTATTGTTAATAATTTATCTGAATATATATATATACTGTGTATAAAAATATTTTGGAAATTTTTTTTAATATATAAAGTATTATATCAGCAATTTTTTTAATAATTATAGTTATTATTTTAGTAAAAGTAATTTAGTTTGCATTAGACCTTAATGTAAAAAAACTATAATTATATATATATTTATAATTTAATAATGTTTGTTTTTTGTAGTTGTTGTTGATTGAATTATTTAATTAATTAATTTAATTTAAAATTAGTGGATTAATTGTTGTAATTTTTTTTAGTATTATTATTAAATTAACAGCTAATTTTTATGTAATAAATTTTTATTTTTAAAACTTATTAATTATTTAATTTTTTTCAAACACATTATTATAATTATTAGTTAACTGAAATTAATTTTCATAATAATAATAATGTTTGAGAAAATATGTACTGATCAATTATGGGTAACCTATTTAAATGATAATAATTTTTTTTTTAAAAAAAAACTTTAATTATTTAATTATTTATTATTTTAAAAACATAAATAATAAAAATCATAATTTATTTTGCAATAGCAATATTTATATTAATATTTATATTTTAAACTTTGATTAATATATTATTATTTTTTTTTTGATTATCTAAAGGATCCGCAACTTTCATGGTATACAACAGCGCCTAATCTGAGCGCATGTATGGCCAGCACATGGTTTGTATGGATTCCCTGTTTATTCTTGTTGTTATACATACCGAAGCTGATGTGGAAATGTTGTCATAAAACTACTACTAATAATAATAATAAAACTACTATTCAATGGAATTTATACAATACTAGCCGATTATGTATATGTTTGATAAGCACTGGTATACTAATAGCGGAACTGGCGTTAAGTTTATGCCGTAAATATCAGTGGAACGATAGTCCCAGTACTGCATACATACTTGGGTTAGGCATACAAACTATGGCCAGATTACTACTATGTCTAGTGTTTAACATTCAACGTCTCTACGGTATTATCACTAGTGGACTGATTTGTTTATACCTATTGTTGGACACTATTTTCGGTAGTTTTTCTGTGGCCACCTATACTATCAATAGACATATGCTATACAACTATGAATTTATATTGTTTTGTCTAAACTATGGTCTGACTTGTCTATTGCTAATCTATTGTCAATTTGCTGATTGCAAGCCAATAGTCAATAATAATACTAATACTAATAATACAAATTCAATAACTAAGCGAAACATAATCAGCAATAAATATCCAGACATTATATGTCCCATAGAGAAGGCATCGTCTATATCGAGGCTAACCTATCAATGGATGACCGGTTTGCTTGTCATGAACTGGAAAAAGACTATCGACTTCCAGGATCTCTGGCCACTGACTTCCGGTTTAAGTGTTTTGCATAACTATAAGCATACGTTTCAAAGATATCTATTTAAACAACAAAAAACAACAACTCCTTGTATTAGTAGTAATATTGATCATAAAAATGCTAATAAAATGGTTACAAACGGTTTATCGGATATCAAAACAAAACAAAAGTTTTCATTTTTTAGTTTCAAATATGTCTATAATGTTAATAACAACAATAATAATGATAAAACTAAAAATATAACTACAAGTACTACTACTACTACTAAACATAATAATCGTATTAGTGTTTCATTGATAATATTGCATAAATTTAGTCTACAATTTCTATGGTTATGTCTAATATTGTTTTTATCGGTTGGCCTAAAATGTTGTCAACCATTAGTGGTCAAGTATGTAGTGTTTAATTATATGTTAATAATTATAAGTACATGTATATACTGTATATATTATAATAGTTATTAATAAAACTTATTACTGTATACAATTAGTATTCAAAAAAAATTTTTTACTAATTTTTTTGTACAAATTTTTTTTTTACAGATTGTTTATAACCTTTGAGGATATGGACGGTTATAAATGGCACGGATATATCTATACAGTACTACTGGTGCTCATGAATATACTATCCAGTCTATTGAATGCCTATTATATGCAAGCAATCAAATGTCTAGGTTTTTACAACAAAAAAAAATAAAATTATTTATTTTTATTTATTTATTTTTTGTTAATTAGTAGTATAACAATAATAGTATCTGTTTTTAGATTTTTTTTTTTAGATTATATTAAAATATTACAGAATAATAGAAATAAAACAGTATTATAAGTTAAATAATTTTTTAAAATTTTTTTTGTTAGCTATGAAAATCACATCATCGGTAATGTCGGCCGTCTATCGCAAGTCACTGGTGTTGAGTAACGGTGCCAAACGTCTGACCAGTTATGGCGACATAACTAACCTAATGGCTGTCGACTGTCAACGAGTTAATGGTTTAGTAGTATTAGTAGTTTAATAGATATTTACATAAGTTTTTCAATTACATATTTAATTAATTTATAGATTATGCCCAATGGGTGGCTTATATAATAGTAATACCCCTACAGATAATACTGGTGACTGGGCTATTGTTTACTGAGTTTAGTTATACAGCATTTGCCGGCTTAGCCGTTGTGGTCATACTATTAGGTGCCCAGTATTTTGTTATGAAAATCGGTATTAAAATCGATAGAAAAGAGTTAAAATATGCCGACAATAGACTTAATTTTATTAAAGAAATACTAAATGGCATCAAAATAATTAAAGTATTTATAAAAATAATTAGTTGTAATTAATTACTAATTTAATTATTATTAATTATTATTATTAATTTAATTATTATTATTAATTTAATTATTATTATTAATTTAATTATTATTATTAATGTAATTATTATTATTAATTTAATTATTATTATTAATTTAATTATTATTATTAATTTAATTATTATTATTAATTTAATTATTATTATTAATTTAATTATTATTAATAATTTAATTATTATTATTAATTTAAATATTATTATTAATTTAATTATTATTATTAATTTAATAATTTATTATTAATTTAATTATTATTATTAATTTAATTATTATTATTAATTTAATTATTATTATTAATTTAATAATTTATTATTAATTTAATTATTATTATTAATTTAATTATTATTATTAATTTAATTATTATTATTAATTTAATAATTTATTATTAATTTAATTATTATAATTATTATTTATAGCTCTACGCTTGGGAACAACCGTTTATGAATATAATAACCAAATTACGTGATAAGGAGTTACGTAAAGCCAAACACCTGTACTATGTGTTTGCCTTATTGTATGTCATGTCATACATGTGTCCATTGATATGTCATTTAGTTATATTCAGTCTATATTTGGGATTGAAATTTGCCAAACAATTAACGGCTGAGAAAATATTTTTTTCCATATCATTGATGTCAGTGTTTAGGGAAATCCTATCGAAGTTAACAAATATTTATTATACCGGTGGCGTAGTATGTATTATAAATTTATATATATATATATACAGTATATATATATATATATATATACGGTATATATATATATATATATATACAGTATATATATATATACAGTATATATAGTTAGTTATATATATACACATTAATACAAGTTAATTGATACAATAATAATTAAATATAAATAATTTTTGATTTAAATACTGAATAATAGTATTTTTTTTTTGTTTAACAAAAAAATTATTTATTTTCTCAATTTAGATGTACGTATCGTTCAATCGTTTCAATGAATTTCTCAATTTGGATGAACATAACAACTATGTGACCAATAATAAGGATAGCAATAATAATAATATAATTGATATAAATGGGGCAACACTTTCGTGGGACACACCTAACAGTGAAACCATTGGTGACAATAATGTTATAAATGACTATACATTAAATCAAATTGATTTGCATATCCGTGAGGGTATGTTTGTGGCCATAGTAGGCGATGTCGGTTCAGGTAAAAGTTCACTGTTGTCGGCCATTATCGGCGATATGGAACTGATTGAGGGGACAGTCAATGTTAGACCGGGTGTTAATATGGCATACGTTCCACAACAGGCATGGATACAGAATGCAACCATCAAACAGAATATTATGTTTGGAAAGCCGTTCGATGAGGAACTGTATGACCGGGTGATAGATAGCTGTGCTCTCAGACCTGACTTAAGACAACTGGCCGGCGGAGACCAGACAGAGATCGGTGAGAAAGGTGTTAATCTGAGTGGCGGTCAAAAACAAAGACTTAGTTTAGGCCGAGCCGTCTATTCCGGTGCCGATCTATACCTACTCGACGATCCACTTTCTGCTGGTAATTAAATTATACATTAGTTTTATAATTAATTAATTAATTTTTTATAAATAATTTGTAAATTTTTACAATTTTTAGTGGACAGTCATGTGGGCAAACATTTGATGACCGAAGTATTGGACTCGAAAACCGGTATTTTAGGTTCAAAAACCCGATTGTTGGTCACAAATCAATTGTTTATGTTAGCCGATTGCGATCTAATAGTTGTACTGAAAAATGGCAAAATTATATCTACCGGTACTTACGGACAGCTATTACGCGATAGTAATTATTTTCAACAATTAATTAAACAATATTTCAGTGAACGGGTCGATGATAATAATAATGATGATGAAGATAGTAAACGGAACGGTAGTTTGGAGACAACTGTTTTTAATAATAATAATAATAAAAAAAATATTATTCCCAATACTTATGATGGTGAAATTAGTATTGAACAAGTTAATAATAATAATAATAATAATGAACATGCACAATTAATTGATGAGGAGGGTGCCCAAAGTGGGCTAATAACTATGAAGGTATTATTTATATTATAATTATTTTATTGTTATTATTATTATTTATTTATTTATTTAATTATAATACAGATATTTATCAAATATGTCCGATCCATTAACATAATGTTTCTGTTGATTTGCCTACCGGTGCTCACATTGTACACGACTGTCAACTACGGTATGAACTTTTGGCTGGCCTACTGGTCCAAACAGGTTGCCACCGGTTTGGATACCCGTAGTTCACTATTTTATATGATAATATTTGGCGTATTGATACTTGGTCAGTTTATATTGCAAACAGTCTACCGATTTGTGTACGCCATAAGCATTATACGCACCTGTATCCGATTGCATCGTAAACTGTTGGCACGTGTTATGCACGCGCCCATGGAGTTTTTCGATACGACACCATTGGGTCGTCTATTGAATCGTTTCAATAAGGATATGTATCTGATTGACATACATTTGCCAGTTATGTTCAGGTAATTCAATTATATATAAATATTATATATACACATACATATATCAGATGGGGCTATAGGAGAGGTAGGGTAACGCCATCTTACACCCCCCACACCCCAGCAGAGATTTAGATTTTTGTAGGTTTTACCCCCCTGTCCTCCTAAAGTTAGTGTAAATCCAAAAAAGTTTGTATACTTTATATACAGTATATATTGTATATATATATACAGCACATAATATATTTTAGATTAAGTAATTAATTAATTAGTATAAATTAATTATTTAAAATTAAAAAAAAATTAATTAATTATATTATATTCAATAGTCTTGTATCAGAAAATTTTCTACAATTCATTGGTATTGTTGTGTCGATTTCAATATTGACGCCAATGTTTTTGATACCATTTGGTGTGACTGTTGTTGTCTACTATTTTCTACAGGTATTGTACTAAAACACATACACATACACATACACATACACATACACATACACATACACATACACATACACATACACATACACATACACATACACATACACATACACATACACATACACATACACATACACATACACATACACATACACATACACATACACATACACATACACATACACATACACATACACATACACATACACATACACATACACATACACATACACATACACATACACATACACATACACATACACATACACATACACATACACATACACATACACATACACATACACATACACATACACATACACATACACATACACATACACATACACATACACATACACATACACATACACATACACATACACATACACATACACATACACATACACATACACATACACATACACATACACATACACATACACATACACATACACATACACATACACATACACATACACATACACATACACATACACATACATACAAAAAATAGAAATTTAATTAATTAATTAATTTTTATTATCTATTTATTTAAATTTATTTATTTTTTTATCTAGAACATTTATATCAAAGCATCGTGTCAATTGAGACGGTATGCAAAAAAAATAAAACTTATAATAAACTAAATGTTAATAAACATAATACTAATAATTATTATTATTATTACAATTATTAATATACTAATTATATATTGATTGATATTTTATAGTTTAGAGTCTATCAGTCGATCGCCAATTAATTCACATTTAGAGGAAACACTTAACGGCTTATCCAGTATTAGGGCCTATGATTGTAGGGATAGGTTTATACGGGAATCGGATAATAGGATTGACAACAATTCAAAATGTTTGTATCCGTATATTGTGGCCAACAGTTGGCTATTAACGCGTCTACAAGTGCTAAGCAGTATACTTGTACTGTTTGCTGCCGTTTTTGGTGTTATCAATAAGGATAGGCTGACCGGTGCCGACATTGGACTGTCGCTGGCAAATGCCATAACATTGACCGGTATTTTGGAGTTATTTATCGATTCATTGGCTCAAACCCAAGCAAATCTGGTATCGTTTGAACGGATTGATGAATATTGCGGTCTGAATACAGAAGCCGACTGGCAATCGGCTACCAAATTGCCAGATAACTGGCCAGAAAAAGGTTGTGTCCGATTTGATGGATACGGTACTCGCTATAGACAGGGCTTGGATTTAGTTATCAAAGGCATAGATATTGATATAAAATCTGGAGAAATGGTAGGCAATAGTGTTAAAAAAAATTATAAGCAATAGGTATCACATATTATTTGCTATGAATCTAATATATATATAAATTAATAGATAGGTATTGTTGGCCGAACCGGTGCTGGAAAGTCATCGCTAACACTGGCATTGTTTAGGCTTATTGAGCCAACAATGGGTCGTATAGTTATCGATGGCATAGATATCAGTCAATTAGGTCTACACGAGTTGAGGTCGCGGCTGACTATTATACCACAAGAACCGGTACTGTTTTCGGGAACTATTCGCTCAAATTTGGATCCGTTTGACAAGTTTTCCGACGACGATCTCTGGTCAGTATTAGAACAGTCGCATCTCAAAGAGTTTGTAGTGTCGACTGATGCCGGTCTCGACCATCCGGTGACTGAATCGGGTGATAACATGAGTGTCGGTCAGCGACAACTTGTATGTCTGGCTCGGGCTCTACTCAGACATACGTCTATCCTTATCCTCGATGAGGCCACGGCTGCCGTCGATGTCGAGACCGATGCACTCATTCAGCAAACTATTAGACAAGAGTTTAAGTCGTGTACTGTCTTAACGATTGCCCACCGAATCAATACAATCCTTGATTACAATCGGGTGTTAGTCCTAAGCGACGGACGGGTAGCCGAGTTTGACTCACCCGACAAACTGCTTGACGACAGGACAACCATTTTCTATTCACTGGCCAAAGATGCCGGTGTTATATGAATTGAAATTATGATTTTTAGTATTAAAATATTATTAATAGTTATTTTTTTAGATATTATAATTACTTAAGTATATAAAAAAATTATTAAATATATATTTAAATAATATATTAAATTTTAAAAAATATTTATTAAATTTTAAACTTTTTTATAATATAAGTAATAAACTAACTATTATTTACAGTTAATTGTAAACTTTGAATTAAATTTGAAATAAATATAATAAAAAACTGTAATAAAATAATTAATATGTTTTTAACTATAATTTTTATGATTTGACTTTTAACAGTATAACAGATAGTACTTTAAATAAACTTTTTTTAAAAAAAATAATATAATTACTTTCATATAAACTTTTATTATTATATAATTATATTTTATTAAAAAATTAATTTTAACAATTAGATATATATATATATATTTGTGTGTATACTGTATATACTATATTTATATAAATTTTATAAATAAATTTTTATGTAATATTATTTTTTCACATATTAGTTAATATATTAGTTAAATATTTACTAATAATCTATTATTTTTATTATATATATATTTTTCAATATTATTACAATTATTTTAAAAGATTATAAAATATATATATATATATACTGTATATATTAATTGTTTATTGTATTAAATTTTAAATCATTGATAGAAATTCATGTCTAGTTTTATGATTATCTTTAAACTCTCCAAACATACAACTGGTTATAGTTTTGCCATTGATTTTCTGTACCCCACGAGAGCTCATACACATGTGTCTGGAAATACCAATAAAAATCAATAATTATATTCAAACTTATATATAATATGACACATACTTGGCCTCAACAACAACACCGACTCCTAAAGGACTGATAGCTTCAACCACTGCTTCGGCTATTTGTTTGGTCAGTCTTTCCTGAACTGTAAGACAATAAAAATCAATATTATTTTTATTACTATATCTATATCTATATCCATCCATACCTTGCAATCTTCGGGCAAACATTTCAACAATTCGGGCCAATTTGCTGAGTCCCAGCACCTTATGGTCGGGCAGATAACCGATAGACACTTTGCCATAGATGGGCACCAAATGGTGTTCACAATAGGAAAACATTTCAATATCTTTGACGACAACCATCTCATCGGTGTCTTCAGCAAACACGGCATCATTCAAGACATCATTGATTTTCAATTGATATCCATTAGTGAAATACAACAGTGCTTTCGCTGCCCTCTCCGGTGTCTTCAATAGACCCTCTCTTTCCGTGTCTTCGCCAATGGTTTCCAACAGATCTCTATAAATACGAGTCAATCGTTTCAATTGTGTATCATTTTTGTCGTCCAAACCATTGTTCGCACCGTTAGTTTTTTGCGATACTATACTATTTATAGTGAGATTTTTATCGATATCATAACCATTTTGTTTGACCACCACTTCATTGACCAAAACATTATTGTTATTATTATTATTTTGATTCAATTTATTAGAATTTTTATTCATATTTTTTTTAGTATATATATATATATTATGGATATTTTTTTAAAAAAAAACTAAAATATTTTTAATAAACTATTTTTTTTGTTTTACAAAAATGTTTTAACTGTTTTAACAAGTTTATATACAATACTAAAAATTTAGCTTAGTAATTGTTTTTTTTAAATATTATAGCTATTATTTTATAGTTGATTATAAATAATAATTTATTGCTAAAATATTTTATATGAATATCAAAAAAATTAATGAATAATTTATTGATCATAAGATTTTTTTATGTATATTATTATAAGTAATTTTATTTTAAATTTTAGTAAAAATGATAATTTTACATGAATTTTTAAAAAACATAAAAAAGCGTTAATATTAATATTATTATTATTATTATTATTATTATTATTATTATTATTAATATTATTATTATTATTATTATTATTATTAATATTATTATTATTATTATAATTATTATTATTATTAATATTATTATTAATATTATTATTATTATTAATAATATTATTAATATTATTATTATTATTATTAATATTATTATTATTATTAATATTATTATTATTAATATTATTATTAATATTATTATTATTATTATTAATATTATTAATATTATTAATATTATTATTATTATTAATAATATTATTAATATTATTATTAATATTAGTTTTATTATCTATTTTTTAAAAATTATTATTGTTAGTTTAGTTAAAATAATTATAGATTAATGCTCTAATATATTTATTTTAAAAAATAATTCAAAATTTTGTTTATTTTATCTATTGATAGAATAAAATATACAAATTAATATAACTGAATATGATTAATATAAATTAATAATTAATTTTCATATATATATATATATATATATATATATATATATATATACTTTATATAAACTTTTTTATTAAGTTCATAGATTTACAACAACAACAAAAAACAAACAAAATTAAATGATTATAATATAAATTGTAATTAATTATTACTGACTAAAAAAAATTAAATTTAATTAAAAATAAAAACTTTTAATAATAATAAAAATAATATATCAATACTTATAGATTATTTTATACTTTTGAATATATTTATTAGAAAAAAATAATAATTAAAAATTTTGTTTAATTTATCTATTGATAGAATAAAATATATCAATTATTATTATTATTATCATTATTAATTATCAACCAAAATAGGTGACAATATTTTTATCTGTTTCATACAATTTGATTTTATGTAATAAAATATTTGTAGGCAATCTCTGGGAAACGGCTTTCCATATGTAGACCACTATGTTTTCGGCAGTCGACACAATATTATTGTCAAAAAAATCGGGTATATCTCTATCGATGAGTTTATGATCAAACCGGTTGACTATAGTTTCATCCATCAGTTCCTTAAGATCATTGATATTCATTAGAAATCCGGTTACAGGATCTACTGTTCCCTTAATAGTCAACTCTATACGATAGTTATGGCCGTGAATTTGATTACATTTACCGAAAGTTTTCAAATTTGTTTGTTGATCCAGTAGTCGACTGTTCATACTATGGGCTGAACTAAACGTCTCGATACGGGTCAGGTATACAAACGATTTGTTTGTATTATTATTATTATTATTATTATTATTATTATTTAGCCATTCATTAGTCATTTTTTATTTTCTACTTTATATATATATATATAATAATTAATTTTTTTTGTTTTCTAAAAAAAACACTAATTAATTAATCAATAACAGCAACAACAAAAAATTATAAATAATAATAATAATAATAATTTTTTGTATAGAATTTTTTTTTATAAAAATAAATTTAAAAACAAATTTATTTTTTTATATATAGTATAAAACAAAATTATTTATTTTATATAATAATAATAATAAAAAACATTTTAGTTTATATAGATTTTTTTTTGTTGTTGATATTAAGCAATGTTCAAAATAAGCAATTAATTAATTTTATTCAAAAAAAAAAATATTTATTATATTGAATAACTAATATTTTTTTTTTGCTTGAATAAAATTATAATGCTTTTAATTCTAAGTATCATAATTAATAATTATAAATATTTATTATATTATTATATTAATTATATTGAACTATTATATTATTCAAATGAAATTTAAAAATTTCTAATGAATTGGCGTTTAATTTAATTAACTATTTACGTATTTAATTAAAATAAATGTACAAATAATTTAATTAAACAAAAAAAATTATTATTAATTTCTAATACTTTGTTTGAAATGTATAGTTAAATATAATTACAGCAATTTTTTTTTAAGTTTAATTAAAAATATATTTTATATTTGATGTATATATATATATATGTTTGTAATTTATATTGTATTTGTTGATAATTTTTAAATATATATATATATATATATATATTATTAAACAATAAAATGTTAAATATTTTTAGTTTATAAACTGTATGATAAACATGTAAATTTTTATACAATATATTTTTTTATATATAATTTGTATTTATATATTGTATATATAGTTATATATACTTATATAGTGTTATATATTTATATATTTTTATATATTATATATATATATATTTAATTTTTTTAAAACCATGATTAGACATTACTGTTATTTTTTTATAATAAATAGTTAGGATTAAAAAAATTTTTTTTAAAAATTAATTATAATAGCATTTTGCAAATAATCTTTTTTAGTAAATTTTTAGTAAATAAAAAACAAACTATTATTTCAAAAAAAAAAAATCAAAAAGTTCATAATTATAAAAAATTTTAAACAAACATATAAAAAGTTTTATGTATTTTAGTTTATTTTGTTTATAATTGTTAATTTTTTTTTTATAAAAAAATACAGATTAAAAAATATATTTATACAATAATTAAATATAAAAATAATAATATACTTTAGTTAGCATTATATTTTAAAAAAAACAAATATTTTTTATATTATTTATATTAATTACCTGTAAATTCTAGAAATTTTTTTTGTTGATAATATTTTTATGTCACTATTTAGTCATAGATAATATTTATTACTAACTTATTAATTATTAAAATAATTTATATATTATAATAAAAATTAAATAAATAAATAAACATTTTCTGACTAATCATTTAAAGTAATAAAACGTGTATTATTTAAGAAAATTATTTATAATAAGCAAACATTTTGCGTAAGTACTCGCAAAATAAATAAATAATTATTATTTTTGAACATTAAATTTCAATTCAAATACATGTATTTTTTTATTTAAAAAAATAATAATAATAAATCCTATAATTTTTTACATTATAATAATTATTATTAAAAAAAATATTTGTTACTTTAATAAATTTTTGATTTTATATTGTATTATATATTAATTATAATAATTTATTATTAATATTATTTTAAAAATTTATTGATTACATTCAAAGTAATTATTAATATATATATAAAAATATTTTCAATGAAAATAAAAATCTTATATAAACTCATGTTTTTTTTTATTTACAGTTAACTAATAGTTAATTTTTTTTGAATTTTTTTTGATGCTATAATAATAATAATTATTATTATTTTAATTAAAAATATAATACTACTGTATATTAAATTTTATTAATTAATTAATTATTAATATAATAATAATATGGATATTATTGAACCCGATGTTTATGCCAAACAAAAAAGTAATGCCCAACTAATAGCAATGCAATCAATTGATAGTCTAATCGATGCTAACTATAGGTAATTTGAAAAACTAATAAAAAAAATAAAATAATAATTATTATAATATTACTTTTTTTTACAGATCATACGATCAGATTGTGGACATCGGTTGCGGTGACGGCGATATAACCAAACAATTACTGGGCAAACATATCCCGCATAAACATATACTGGCCATCGATGTACTGCCCGATATGATAAGCTATGCCCGCCGTCATAATACCGATGATACTATTGAATATCTAGTACAAGATATGTCCGTCAAGTGGCCACTGATCAGTAGTCCACGACTGCGGCAATTGGCCGGCAATGTTGACCTAATATTTTCTAACTTAGCACTTGAATATATGGCCGACAAACGGCAAATAGTCGATACATTTGGCCAGTTGTTGTCCGCGGGCGGCGTATTTCACGCCAATATGGTTGTTATGGAAGATATTAACAAACGATTGGCCAGTTATGGTCAACAACCGCGCAAATGGTATCAATCGCGTGAAAAACAATTAGACAATTGGCGTCAAAGTCTACAATCGGATAATCAGTTTCTGGTCAAACAGTTTGAGATTATTGATGTCTGTTGGCCGACGGATAGACAGAAAATGATTAGTTAGTATTTGAATTTAATTTTTTTTTAAATAAAATATAATAAATAAATTATTATTGTTTATAATTTTATTCATAGATTTTATGTCAATTATTATATCAAAATATCGGCAATTTTTCCAGAATACCGATGACTTTGAGTCGGAAAAAACTGATCACTTATGGGATACGGCTTTCGATGCGTTGGTCAACCCGACGGCCGACAAACCCAACCCGAGGACGTGGCAGCAGTTTTTGGCCGATCCGACCGTTACGGAAGTCAATCGTTACCATCAATTGCTGAGAATAACAGCTATTAAACAATAAATAAATAAATTGTTTTTTTGTTAATTAATAAAAAAAAATTATAAATTAATATATTATAATAAAATAAAATAATAATTTATTAATTAATTCTACTAATTATTTTATAAGCAATTATTATTATTTTATTTAATTTGATTATAAATTTTTTTGTTGTTGTTATTGAATAAATACTATATACAGATATATCAATAAATAATAGTTTTTATTAATTCAATAATTTTTATTTATTATTATTAAATACTTGATTAATAATATCTGAGATTTTAATATAATATTAGTTAATTTTTAAAAAAAATTGTACTATTTTTTTAATGTATATTATTTCAATTCAATTATTATTATTTAAATAATAAAAATTAATTTATTATATTAAAAATTTCTATATAAAAAAATTAAATTTAATAAAATACTATTATTATTATTATTATTATTATTATTATTATTACTACTACTACTACTACTACTACTACTACTACTAATAATAATAATAATAATAATAATAATAATAATAATAATACTATAATTTAAACATTTCTATCAATATTATAGATAGTATAAAATAAATCAATTTGTTTATCAGTTAAATTCAATTCGTGTTTCAATTGATATAATGGACGCAAATCTTGTCTATCAGTTCCACGAAAATTATTCAAACCATCTAAACGTTTACCGCCAAACCCCTCGGGTATGTCCTCCACGGGTATCCAATCAACCAACTCGTGTCGCTTAATCAACAGTATCTGATCTTTGATATGTTTGGACATAAATGTCTTAATCAATCGGAAAACCGGTGCCAATAGCCAAGGTAGGTCAATGTTCARCCCTAGGCGCATACCCTGGGGATAGTAGTTCAACAATTCGACCCGAAATTTGGCCAACGACATATCAACATTGGCCATACCCGTACCGCTGCAATCGTTGGCCGTAATCCACCCCCGATTACCGGCACGGCGATCAAGTTTCTCGATTTGATGACCGAGAAACTGATGAAACAGTAGGGATAGTTCACCGATTTTCAGGTAGTTTCGATGGACAACCCATAGGACTAGTCTACCCTCGGTATCGGTACTATACTGTTCCGAACCGAATATTTCGAACAATTCCCTGGGATAGTGGCCATCCTGTCGGTCGTGTAGTCCGAACCCGTGTTTCCATTGCATGGCCCGTACCAGTCGATTGTAGGCTTCATCGTCATCGGCATCGGTATTATCGGTGGTGTCTATCGGTGATAGAAATCTTTCCAATTGCCAGTCCTCGGTCTCTACACGTTTGATATCAACCCTATGATACAGGTGTGGGTTGGCCTCCGATTCCCGTAGGAATCGGTTTCGCAATGTTTTCACTCGCAATAAGTTTTGTTCATTTAGTAAATCATTCATTATTTTTAAATTAAATTAAATTAATTAAAAAATAATAACTAAATTATTATATAATATAATAATAAATATATATATAATATTTTTTTGTAAAAAAATGGTTTTTTGTTGTTTTATTTTATTTATATATCTTATATTATTATTATTATTATTATTATTATTATAAATAACAACTATATCAACAACATAATATAACACACACATAAACTTAAATTATTAACTATATTATTATTATTATTATTTATACTAAATTAACAAGTTGGTTTTTTAATAACAAAAATTATCAATTTAATTATTATAAATAATATTTATTTATTTATTATTATTATTATTTTACATGTGCTTATCATAATCAACAACAACAACAAAAAAAAACTATCGGTGCTCACAAAGTTAAAAGCCATTGAAACACTATGAAAAGTTGAAAAAACCTAACCACCCCTTTACCCAATTGGTTTTCTCCAACAACAACAACAACAACAACAACAACTAAATAAATACCTACCTGTCCTGTTGTGTGTGTGAAATGGCAAACATACAGTAGATAAGTATAATACTAATAAACCCTATCTGTATAACCTGAGGGCTGCTGACCCCCCACACACACCCCTCCCCGAGGACCGGGAGGGTTGCCCAGTCAAACAACTCACACTACTTTCTAGATTTTCTAGAATATGTTGAACCAATCATTTACATACCTGTGCTCTCTATCTATCTATATATATATATATATATACTGTATATATCTTTCGGGCAAACCTGTCGTCTCACTATAATAGATATTAAAGTTTTATAAATTGCTCTCTCTCTCTCTCTCTCTCTCTCTCTCTCTCTCTCTCTCTCTCTCTCTCTCTCTTTGATTAAAAAAAAAACTTTCACCTAATCTAGAATTTAAATCAATTAACTAAATCATGATATTGATGCATTTAAAAGATAGTATGGCAATAAAATTAAAAATGCCAAAACCTTAAATACAGTTTATATATATATATATATATATATCATATAACAGGTATTTTCAAACATGAATTGATTTTGTTGTCTGTATTCAAGGCTAACAACATTTTACATCCCAAACGAAAATATATATATATTTTTACTTTTTTATAAATTTTTCTAAACTACTACTAAAATCTCTTTAAATATATTACTCTCTCTCTCTCTCTCTCTCTCTCTCTCTCTCTCTCTCTTTATCAATAAAAAACATTTTTTTTAAATATCATTTATTACAACAACAAAAATTGATTTAAAATTCTTCCACAAAAATTATTAAATAACTTTTTTACCAAAAAAAAACATTATGTTAATTATTATACCATTTATTAATTTTTTATTATTATTATTATTATTAGATTAATACAACACTACTATTAAATAACTTTTTTATTTTTAAAAAATACCAGTTATAGTAACATAAAATTTTAACAAACTTTCTCTATATATAAAAAAAAWTTTGTGTTTTAAATCTAAATAATTTATTTATTATTTTGTTGTTGAAAAAACTTGAATTATAATTGAATAAATTATATAATAAATAACTACAAAATTTATTAAAATTAAAGTCAAATTATTAATAATATTTCTTTTAAAATTAAAAATCACTGAAATTTATWTWTATATATATTGATATTTAATATAATATTGATATACAGTATATAATATATAAATAAAATTTTTTTATTGATTAGTTAATTAGTTAATGATTACTACATACACACAATGCATAATACAATTAAACACTATTATTAAACACATACATAACCCCAACCCCACCCCACCCCACCCTCCCTCTATCATCATAGGGCTATGACTATGCTATAACTTGTTAAACAATCCTTGATAAGTATCATAAAAATTATCTACCTGTCCATCAGTTAGTCCTAAATGTTTACTACATTGACTTAATGGTTTCAAACCATCCATAAAACTATTATCATTAAGTGTACACTTTTTTCTGGTCGTACCACCAAAACAAGCGGGTATATCATCGGCCGGAAAATAATCGGTTAGCTCCTGACGGCCGACCAGTTCCAACTGATCGCTGATCGCGGACGGCATAAATTGTTTGACCAAACGATAGGATGACCGTAACAGCCACGGCATGTCTACATTGAGAGACTGATGTACGCCCAGGGGATAGTTGGCCGATAGTATGTCGATACGATAGCGTGCCAGTCCAATGTCTACCTGTCCCAGCCCAGCACCCGAACAATCGTTGACACTAATCCAACCGTGATTACCGGCCGATCGGTCCTGTTGTTCCAGTCGATAGGCCAGAAATTGGCGGACAAGTTGGCTAAGTCGAGGGTCGGCCAGACGGCGATATCGGTTTTCGGTTGTCCAGACAACTAGTCTGCCCGTCCGCTGGCATCGACCGTACGGTTCGTGACCGAAAATTTCGTACAATTCACGGGGAAAATAGTCGCCGCCGAACCAGTCGTGCAAACCGATAGACTGTTTCCACTGGAGTGACCGTTTCAGTTGGTCGTAGGCCAGTGTCTCGGAGTCGCTACCGGCGGCGGCGGCACCCGTGGCGGCCGCACTCAATAGGAACCGTTCAATTTGCCAGTTTTCGGTACTAACCCGCTGGACGTCTATCGGATGATAAAGTTGTTGGTGTTGTTGTTGTTGGTCACTGTTGTTCTCGGCAGCCGAAACAGCCGTGTTTTCGGCCAAAAATTTTTCCCGTAATCGCCTAATTGCCGGCAAATTTGTTTTATCAACTAAACTCATGTGAATATCCATTTAGTTTTAAATATATTTTTTTTGAGACACAAGTTTTTTTTAATATACTGTAAAACTTATTATTATTATTATACTAATAATAAATATTGATATTTTTAAAAATAATAATTTTCCAATTATTTAATTATTTTGTTGTTGTTGTTGTTGTTGTTATACAGTAGATATTATCGCATAATTTTCAGTCAAAACAACTCAAAAAATAAATAGCAAATAATTATACTATTAATAGCTTATTATTATTATTATAAATAATATTCAAATTAAATATAATATTTTTATCAAAAAAAATAAATAATAATAATAACTAATTTTATTTCACTTTAATTTATTTTAATTTATTTTAATTTAATATTATCTATTTATTAATCAGTATAACTATATTTTAAAAAAAAATTATATATCAATAATATTTTTAATTGCATTTTTTATTTCAAAATTATAACTTAAACATCAAAAAAATATATATAAAATAAAATTACAATATTATGATAATATTATTGATTTCTATAGCATAATAAAACTTGCGTGTAAAATGTTAATATATATATATATATATAATATTGAAAATAAAATAATAATAATTATTATTATTATTATTATTTCATATAAAATAAATTTTAATATACTATATATAGATATATATATATATAATATTTTTTTGGTATACACTGTGTGTGTGTATAATAAATATAATATATTAATCGATATGTTATCTAATTTTTTGTTTTATATCAAACATTTATTTTTACTGTAAAATATAATTCAATGACTTTATATAAAGTAAATATTTATTAATTTAAAACTAACCTTGTTATCTTTTTTTAATTTAATTGAGAGGATAAACAATTTATTAATTAATAAAAAATTAATTTAGTTTTTTTTGTGTATATAATTTAAACAAATAATTTATTTTAACTAAATATATATTTATAGAAAAAATATTTAATATTTTGTTGCTATTTATTGTATTATTATTTGATTAAAATGAAAAATAGTATATTTTTGTAAAATTTTTAAATAATAGTAATTTTGATATTATTTTTAGTTATTAAACAAAAAATTTTTTTATGACATTAATGATAATATAAATATTTTATAAATTTTTATATATAATAAATATATATACTGTATATATATATATATATATATAATATTTATAGTATAGATAAATAATTGGAGGTTATCTTTTTTTAAAAAAAATATTAATTAATTTATTAATTTTTTAAAAATTAATTTAAATCAAATCATATCTTTTGATTGGAATAAATAATTTATTTTTTTAWTTTTTTTTGTAATTTATTTAAATTAATACATTATTAATGCAAACATAAAATTTTTAATACTAGTAGTAGTAATGTATAAATATTAATACTAACTATTAAATTATTAGTCTATTTATATTACATACAGTAAATAATAATAATAATAATAAGATTTTTAAACAAAATTTATAATATTTTTTTATATATATTACTAACATTGAAATGTATGAAATTTAAAAACAAATTTAGTTTTAAAATCTTATATATTTTACTATTTAAAATATTTCAATTATTACTATTATTATAGTATTAAATAATAACATTTAAATTACTAATACACACATAAAATAACTACTACTTGTTTTTTAAATATATTGTATATATATAGTGTATATAAAAAATACATTTTAATAATAATAATAATACTGTATTTATACTTTTTGTATAATATATATATATATATATATCATAGAGAGATGATATAAAGTTAGATAAATATTAAATATTTTTTTTTTAAACACAAACAAAATATTTTATATGTATTGAAAGTCAATGTCAACATTCAATTAAAAATCAATGACAATTAATATACAAAATATAAATAATAATAATTATTATTATCATTTTAATATCATTTAATTTTGCACACCATTAACACCATATATATATATATCATATCATATCAAATCAAATAATAATATTAAATACATATTAAATCATATCTCTCTCTCTTTCTCTCTCTCTCTTTCTCTCTCTCTCTTTCTCTCTCTCTCTTCTCTCTCTCTCTTTCTATCTCTCTCTTTCTCTCTCTCTCTCTYTCTCTCTCTCTCTCTCTCTCTCTCTCTCTCTCTCTCTCTCTCTCTCTCTCTCTCTCTCTCTCTCTCTCTCTCTCTCTCTCTCTCTCTCTCTCTTCTCTCTCTCTCTCTCTYTCTCTCTCTCTCTCTYTCTCTCTCTCTCTCTTTCTCTCTCTCTCTCTCTCTTTCTTTCTATATATATATATGTCTAGTCCTCTCAAATAATAATAATATTAAATATAATTAAATCATATCTCTCTCACTCATTCATTCACTCACTCACTCACTCACTCACTCTCACACTATCTATCCTTTTTCATATAAGTCTAGTCCTCTTAATAATCATCTGATGTTTATTCCTATACAACTCGATCTGCCGGTCCTTAATCGGCAAATGTGTTAACTGATCCATCGGTTTCAGACCCGTGACATCCATCAGCGATCGGACAAAATCTTCGCGACCGCCGGCCATACGTCTGGGTATATACTCCGGGTCAATATAACGGGTCAATTGTTGCCGGGTGACCAGCGTAGCTTTACGTTGCAATTTCGGGGGCATCATCGACAGGATAATACGCATGATAGGGGCCAGTATGGGTGGTAGGTCTACAATTAGGATACGGCCAACGGCCTGGGGATAGTACTGGAGTAAATCTATACGGAAACGCCACATTTCTAGGGATACATTCGGTAGTCCAGAGCCCGAACAATCGGTAACCAATGTCCAACCGGCCCGACCGGCCAGTGAATCTAGTTTTTCCAGTCGATGCCCGAGAAATTGTTGTTCCAATGGTGTAAAATCGTTGATTTTGACCAGATTTCGGGTAGTCTCCCAGTGAACCAGTCGGCCATCCCGATCCCGGCCATAGATTTCGATGTGATGTAAATCATAGAATTCTTTCGGAAAATATTGGTCAGTCCTGTCAGTGATGGCAACAATGAAAAAATAAAATAAAAATAATAATAGAGAAATTTATTTTTTAAAATAATAATAATAATAATATAGAGAATTATATTATCTATATAAGTATTCCAGTATATAAGTAATACAGTATCAGTATATACAGTATATGAGTATATAATATGACAAATATATTATATTATATATATACAGTATATACAGTATATACAGTATATACAGTATATACAGTATATACAGTATATACAGTATATAGCAGTATATTCAGTATATACAGTATATAGTGTATATAAAAAATACATTTTAATAATAATACTGTATTTATGCTATTAGTATAATATTTATACAGTATATATATATATATATCATAGATAAATGATATAAAGTTAGATAAATATTTTTTATTATTATTATTTTAAAACTAACAAACAAAATACTTTTTTAATTATGACCATGGTTAATTTTGTTTGTTTTTTTTTTAATTTTTTTAAATTAATTAATAATTAAATATTTTAGTATTTAATATTTTATATAAAATTAATTTTAAGTTAACAACTAAATTATCTAATTATTATTCAAAATATATTCTTATACTGTATATATGATTATTAAAATTTTACAAAACTGATTATTATTATTATTATTATTAAATAATTATAATTATTTTTATTTTTACATATACTGTATATATATAGGTATCCTATTTTGTATAGTATAGTAGTATAGTATATAATATAATGTTATATGAATAGTAGTTTATATATATCTCATTATTTATATACACTATTATATTACAATAGCTATAGATATGAGGGGGAAGGGGTGGGGGTCCATAGTAGTATCTCATAGTATAATAATAATAATAATAAAAAATTTCAATTTCTATAGAAATTTTCTAGAAGAAAGTTTCTCAGGGAATAAATTTTTGATAGAAATTTCCTCTCGTTTTTTTTATATATATATGCCTGACCTGTCGTGTATACCGTATAGACGTTTCCATTTCAGGGTACGAACCAATTCATCGTAAGCCCTGTCCTCTGAATTGTCGTTATCTTTGAGGAACCGTTCAATAATCCAGTCTTCATTGCGGACACGCGTRACATCTGTTTCCGTATAATATTCAGGATTTTTGGAAAATTCCTTAAAAAACTTTTTCCGTATATTTTCGATCATTTTTTATTTTATTAATTAATTAAATTAAWAACACTTTCACAACACAATTATATWTATAAAACAATTTGTTTGTTTGTTGGGTTACAAACACACATACAAACAGTTTGTTAAACAAAAAWWTTTTCGGGAAATTTTGTTGTTGTTGTTGTTGTTGTTGTTGAGTGTATATGTGTTTATATATATATRCAGTAWATATATATATATATAKAATACAAATAATACAAAAATGTTTGTTTGGAAAAAAAATTATATATATATAAATATATATATAATTTTTATGTAATATATTTTTTCAATAAATATATATATAATTTTTATGTAATATATTTTTTCAATAATATATATATAATTTTTGTCTATAACTTAATAGTTTGAAAAAACGTCAATTGAAATAAGCAATCAAAAATTTTCAACTGAAAATAATATATATATATTAAACTTTAAAAAAAACTTTATATTTTATTTATTTATCACATAATTTTTGATTTTTTTTATTAAAGTTATTAATTAGATTTTTTTTTGTAGTTTATTTTCACTTAATTTATTAACATTACGTATACATTCAAGGATAACGAGAAAATAAATATCAAATTTTTTTTGTTGATTTTTTTAAAAWATAAAAATAAATGAGAGACAAAAAAACTATAAATATATAATACTGTRTATATTATAAACTAAATATATATATATATATATATATATATATTTTCAATAAATTTTTTTTAATCAGTAAAATATCAAACAAATTATATATAATTTTTTTTTGGTGACATCAATGTGTTATGTTGGTTGGTTGGTTGGGGGGCTATTAAAAAAAATAAATAAAAACTATGGGCGCGTCTAATATAATACAAAATAATTATATATTATAAAAAACATATATATAAAATTTATAAACAATTAGTTAATTATTTTTAATTTTATTATGAGGTCTAATATAACTAAATAATATATATAACTATTGTTTATTAATATTAGAAGTTATTAGTAATACAGTAGTCATCAAAAAATTATTTATTAAGTCAAACACAGATACACATACACACAAAAAATTTATAATAAAATTATTATTATTATTATTAGTACTTATATTATTAGTTAAAATACTGTATAAAATTTATTAGTATTAAAATATACAACAAATTTCATAATAAACTTAATAATACAGTAATCATATGATTCATAAGCATAAGATCCTCATTAATATGTATTAAATAAGAAAAATAAATAAATTAAATAATATATGATATGAAATATCATTTTTTTAATTTTATTTTTCTGTGTTTGCCATTTAATCAAATTATTTAATATATATATATATATATATATATATATATATATATATATATATATATATATATTACATAAACACAGTTAAAGGGTATAATAATTATAATAATTGTTTCAATAATAAAAATAATAATAATTTAGAGGTGACTATACTTTCAATATATACGTTTAAAATTTTTTTTTAATCAATATATATATATACTGTATATATTAAATATTCACAATTAATAACAAATTATAATTTATACAATATTAACAACTAAACAAAAATAAATAGAAAAATTAATTTATACAATTTATCTTGATTAAAAATAAATAAATTGATAATGATTAATATTATTTTTTATTATTATTATTATTTTAAAAAAAATAATATCTAGTTCATAGATAYCCAAACAACAACAACAAAATTATCACAAATAAAATATTAGTATTTTATTTTTTATATATATATATATATACTGTATTAATATACAACAAAAAATATTTGATACACTGTTTCTAAATAATAACACATTTTATTTAAAACAAAAACTATATTTATATAATAATTTTTCTGAGAAAACAAAAATTTTGATTTTATTTTATGCTTTAAACTKTCAAACAAATTTCAAACAGTATATACTGTAGTATATAATGTTTATGTTTGATTTAAAGTGCAAAATATTTTTAGTTTTTATTATAGCTAATTAGTAATTATTACTATTAYAAAAATGATTAGATAAATAAACATTTWAKTTTTMTTATTTATATTATTATTATTATGATTATTAGTTTTTGTATATAAAAATTTTAGTTAAGGTTTAAAATAGCGACAAATATTTTAAATAATTTTTTTTGTTGGTATTATTAATACAATATTTATAAGTAATAATAATAATAATAATAATCCTAAGTAAATGATTAATGCAATAATAATATAATTGTATAATTATTTTGTTAAATTTAATTAACTTTTATTAACTATATAAATACTAATAGTAATAATAATATCATAAATATTGATTAAACAATGACAGTCACATAATATTATTTTTATTGGAAATATAATATATATAAATATATTTATATATTTTTGAAATTAAAATATTCAATAGTTTTTTTCCCAATCAATTGTGTTTCAATATATTTATTAATCTTCAATAACTTTAATTATTTTAATTATTATTAATATCTATTGACAGCTATATTATTATTATTGTGTATTTTAACTAAAATAAAAATATTGTTTATTTTCAATAAGAAAAATAATAAATTCTTTATAATTTTTTAAATTAAAGTTAAATATTGTGTTTTGAAATTATTATGAGTTTTTTATTTATAATTATGTAATTATATAAATGTATTATTTAAATGTTTATTTACATAAAAWMTATATAAAGTTATTGATTTTTAAATTATTAATAAAAAATGATATTAAATATGTAAATTAAAACTGTATAAAGCTGTATGTATTTTATTTTTAGGACAAATAAAACAACTAAAAACATAAACTAAATAAAAACTAATAATAATATTAATAATAATAACAATAATTTACAATTGTTTTTATCACCAAAAAATTATATTTAAAAAATCAATTTTTAGTTATAAATAAATTCATTTCCCATTTTTATTATTATTTAGTAAATACAATATATATATATATATATATATATAAGTTATAAATTATAACTTATATATATAATAACCAATAATTATTTATCACTATTGCATAACAAATGATAATATACTGATAATAACAGCTATTGATTGCTAACAAATTTGTTTAGAGAAAGAGAGAGAGAGAGAGAGAGAGAGAGAGAGAGAGAGAGAGAGAGAGAGAGAGAAACAATAAAATTAAAATTTTAAATTATTTTCTAAATATTAACTAATGCTTAAAAAAATTACTTTTTTCAAAAAAATAAAAATTTCATAAACAATAATAATAATAATAATAAATTTTATTTATCAAAAGTAAAATCGTTTTTTTTCTTATAAAATAATATTACATATTATAATAATAATAATAATACATTACATTATTTTTTTTAAAAAATAGATAATTCAATTTATATAGTTATCTAAAACATAAATCATATTTAAAATTATTTTATTTTATTATTATTTTTTATTTAATTTTAATATAACATTTAATATTATAGAGTTTAATATAAAAAAAAAAAATATTTTGTATTATTATTGAGAGACAAACATAGCTATCTAATGGATATATAAATTATATAATACTTTAAAATTATCTAATAATATAAATTATTATTTTTGACATTTATACTGTATTTATTATTATTAATATTAATAATAAAATTAAATAAAAAAAACATCATTGAAAATGTCAAACATCTAACTGTATTTAGCATTAATACCATAATATACTGTATATATAAATATAATATATATTTATATAAGTTTTGTACTGATTTTATTTTTATTTAATAACTAATAAGATTAATAATGACATTAATTTTTAAATGAAAAACATATATATATATATATATATATATTCAATATATATTATAGCCTAACAATTATATATAAATATATATATACAGTACTTATCTACTATTAAATGTCATTAAAAAGTATTATTATTATTATTATTACAGTAAACTTATTAAATGATTAAAAATATTATCCATATATCATATACAGTATAAACATATATATATATTGACCTCAATTTTTATATATTAAAAAAATTGTTATTTTGACCACTATTAAAAATATCATATAAAAAAATTATATTCACATAAAATAATAATATTATATACAATATAATATTTATATCGATAATAAAAAATTATTATTACTGTAATATTAGATTTTTTAAACAAAAATTTTGTTTATTTGTTGAATAAAAAATAATATAAAATCTTATTATTATAATAATTATTATACAGTATTTCATTTACATTACGATAAAATTAATTAATTAATAAAACAAAAAACAAAAATGAGTTTAAACTAATTTTTTACGCCTAATAATAATGTTTAACAGTATTTGATAATTGACTTAAAAAAATTAAAAAAATACATATAATTATTATTATTAAATAATTATTTTTATAAAAAAAAACACACAACACTTGCAGTATAACTATTTAAACAAACAAACAAAAAAATATCAATTAACTAATAATTCATTAATTATTAAAACTTAATTTTTTTATAGACACACACAAACATACGGTTATTATTATAATAATAATAATTGTTTTAAAAAATCAATTCAATTATTAGTATTCAAAATCAATAGTAAATCAAAATGTTTGACCAAAACTTTTATAATACTTTTGCATAGCCTTATCGGGAAAACCTAAATGCGATAACTGTTTCATCGGTAACATACAATCGGGTATCACATATTTCGGGTCACGTTCACCGTCCATATCCACTGGGATTATATCCGCAGGTATATAATCGGTTAGTTCCTTGCGACTAATAAAACGGGTCCTATCTTTCAATCGCTGGTCGCAAAACGATAGTATAACTTTCGATACACCCTTCAGCAGCCACGGTAGGTCAACATTCAGGATCAGCTGCAAAGCTTCGGGGTAGTATTGGGTCAGTTCAATTTTGAACCGAAACTGATCGGTATCAATATTGCCGAGACCCGAACCCTGGGTATCCGATACCAGTATAAAACCGTGGCGGCCAACTTCCCGATCGGTTTTTTCCATTAAATGTCCGATAAATTGTTTGGTTACCGCGGACATCTCGCCGATTGATCGATGATTACATACTTTTTCCCATTGAATCAGTCGGCCCTCCCGGTCCCGACCGAAACATTGGGTTTTGGTAAACTCCAGGAATTCCCGAGGAAAGTACCGGTCCTGGCGCTCATGTATGCCAAATGTTTGCTTCCAATGCATAGCCCTGGCCAGTGCATCGTAGGCCTTATCCATCTGACTGTCCTCATCATCCTCGTCCCGGTGGCCGATCAGAAACCTTTCCAATTGCCAATCATCCGATCGGATCCGATCGATGTCTATCTGATGATACTTGTCCGGCTCGGATTCGGCTTCGGCCAGAAATCTAGTCCTCAATCGACCGATTTTTTCGGTCAGCTCACCAGTGGTTGACTTTTCGTCAACCGATTGTTGTTTTTGGCTATTATTATCATCCATTGTATTGTTGGTGTTATTGTTGGTGTTATTGTTGGTGTTGTCGACTATAATAACTATATATATATATATCCTTTTCAATAGGACAGTTGACTTTTTTTTTAGATAATAGTTTTTTTTTATAAATTGAAAAAAGTTTCAACAAAAAAACATACGGTCTATATGTATGTACAGTATGTATGTAACTAAACACCCAGTAATACACACACAATAAATGGGGTTTTTTTATTAAATAAAATAAATAAATTTTAGTTTTCACACACAAAAAATATATTAATATATTTTTTTATTTATATATATATTTTATAGACACACAAAATGTATTAATAATAATAATAATAAGTTTAATTCACAAACAAACAAACAAACAAACAGATAGATAGACACACAATGAGACAAAAACTTGTCGGGAAAGTGATTTTGAAATGACTTTTTTATTTTATTATTATTATTATTATTATTATTATTATTATTATTATTATTATTATTATTTTGTTGGTTATATTATATACAGACAACAACAACAAAAGTATTTAAATATATTTAAAATACAATTTTTAACAATAAAAAAAATATTTTTTATTATTACATTTGGTGACTCAGTTTAGGGGAAAAAATAATTTTTTTTCAAATACTTTAATTTATATATTTATTTTATACCCATAGACTCTAAGTGTATAATATAATACTTGTAATAATAATAATAGTAACTTTAATAACATATACATATATACTGTACATACATACATATACTGTATATTTATATATATATATATATATATAATTTGAATAATTATTTCAAGGCAACTAACAAAAAATAATTATCAATATAATTGATAGTATACTATAATATACTACCAGTATTATAATAAATATATATATATAATTATAAACTTTAATTATAATTATATATTTTAAATTGTGTACTAACCTAAACACACAACTAAATAATATTTTTAAAAATATTTATCATAAATATATATACTATTAAAAATTTTCCATATGTTTTATTTTTAATAGTCAATTGACAAACCAATTATTATTATTATTATTATTACAAAAAAAAATAAATTTTGTCGCTATTTTGTTTTTCACAAGTAGTTTAACACTAAATAATTAACTAAATAATAATAATAATAATTTGTTTTATCATAATTAGTAGTAGTAGTAGTAGTAGTCGACATAAATCATATCACCGCATAATATATATATATATATATATATATATATATATTAAACTTTTAATTTATAGTTTAATTTATAATATCATATATATACAGTCGATGACAAAATTGGTGATCAAGGTTTTTTAAGTATAACTCAATAAATAGAACAAATTAAAAATAGATAATTTATATGATTGTATGGTATAATGGGACGGATATGATAATATAGGTGATTCCATAAGTTCGTAGCTTGGTAATTTTTTAATCAAAAATTATTATATCTCAAAATCTATTATAGATATTTGATAAATTTAAATTGGAAATAATAAATAATAAAAAATAATTGGATACGTGTTTCAGGGTTTTTAAAAATATTTAATAGTTATTGAATAATAAATTTTTATATTTTATTGTAAGTACCTGTAATTAAGTAATAATTTTTTTATTTAATAATAATTATAATTTTATTTTTTTATTTTAATTTATTTTATAGTCAAAATAGACATAAAACATTAACAAATGTGATTGATAATAATATCTATAATATAATAAAATTAAAAATTATATTAGAATAAATAAATATGTATACTTTATATAACAAAAAATAAACGTAATGTATGAATGAGAATGAGTGAGTGCAAGCATTAATGTTGACTCAATTGTTTGTTTACATTCTTTAAGTAAATCTCTGTTTGTTTATAAAATTGTTTAACAATTGATTAAATATCATGTCTTTAACGCAAATATCACCTGAAACTGAGATCAAATTCCGAAAATTTGTTAGATTTCGTGCTGTTGGACATACAATGAATCGAATTATGCATCGGATTAGTAAGTAATTAAATAATATAATTAAAAATTAATAAATTTATTTTAGATATCAGTCTTTCAACATTCAAAAGATGGAAACAAATGGACGACAATGACATTCCATTACTCAAACCCATAGCATCTGGTCGTCCTCGTATCACAACTGTAGAAGACGATGAGTTGATTGCAGAAACAGCTCTTGAGCACAGATTTGAATCATTAACTGAATGGCGACAACAAGAGTTGTTGTCATTGAATGAAAGGATTTCATGTGCTTCTAATCGGACATTATATCGAAGACTTAATGAAAAAGGTATATAATTTGTAATATTATTAAAATATAATTTTATTTTATTTAATAGGGATAAAGAGGTGTGTCGCGGCTGTTAAACAACGATTAACTGAGTATCACCGCAACAAGAGATTGAATTATGCAAACGATTTCATCAATTGGACATTCGATGACTGGTCTCGAGTGATATTTATAGATGAGTTTGGCATTGATACCAGTGATAACGGTAAAATCTATGTGTATCGACGTCGTGGACAGAGATTTTCCAATGATAACATCACTGTAACCACTCGTAATACACGACAGACATTTGGATTTATTGCTTCGTATGTATAATTATTAATGCTTATAAATATTGTTATAATATAAATCAATATTGTTATAGATTTTCATTTTATGGTTTGGGCCCTATTAAGCGCGTTGATAAGTTCAACAAAGAGGAATATGTGGAATATTTAGAGGAAAATATGCTTCATTACATTAACGAGCACTTTGAAGAAGGAAATTTTCTTCTTCTTCATGATAATCATCCGGCGCACAACAGTAACTACGTTAAACAATGGATACAAGAAAGTGGTTTGGGTAATCCTGAAGATCTTGTGATGCCACACCCTCCATGTTCACCAGGTAATTAAAAGTAATTTATATTTAAAATTTTCATTTAGTATATACTTTTTTATATTTTAGATCTCAATCCAGTTGAACATGTTGGTGGTATGCTCAAACATATGGCACGAGCTGAAAAGCCAATGATTTGCAATAAGGATCAGCTCTGGACTGTATTGATGAATGCACATCTAACCTTATCAGAGAATCGTCAGTATTTTATTAGACTCATTAATTCGATGCCAAATAGATTAAGACAAGTCATTGAAAACGAAGGCGGTCATACTAAATATTGATTTACTGACATTTCTCATTATAATTAATTAAATATTTATAGTTGTTTTTAAAAAATTAATAATTATATCAACATAATAGTAAGTTTTTGTATAAATATCAAATTATAATCAATATGTTATCAATTATTAATACTAATTATAAAATATAAAATTTCTTTATCACATTTGTCAATGTTTTATTTCTATTTTGACTATAAAATAATTAAAATAAAAAAATAAAATTATAATTATTATTAAATAAAAAAATTATTACTTAATTACAGGTACTTATAATAAAATATAAAAATTTATTATTCAATAACTATTAAATATTTTTAAAAACCCTGAAACACGTATCCAATTATTTTTTATTATTTATTATTTCCAATTTAAATTTATCAAATATCTATAATAGATTTTGAGATATAATAATTTTTGATTAAAAAATTACCAAGCTACGAACTTATGGAATCACCTATATTATCATATCCGTCCCATTATACCATACAATCATATAAATTATCTATTTTTAATTTGTTCTATTTATTGAGTTATACTTAAAAAACCTTGATCACCAATTTTGTCATCGACTGTATATATATGTATAAAACTTTAGTAAATAATTATATACTATATATATTAATACAGTATATCGACACCACTTGACTATAACGACACTGAAATTTATTTTATGTCTCAATTATCTGATTATTATTATTATTATTATTATTATTATTATTATTATTATTATTATTATTATTATTATTATTATTATTATTATTATTATTATTATTATTATTATTATTATTATTATTATTATTATTATTATTATTATTATTATTATTATTATTATTATTATTATTATTATTATTATTATTATTATTATTATTATTATTATTATTATTATTATTATTATTATTATTATTATTATTATTATTATTATTACAATTACTAATACTGTAAATACACTGATAATATTATAGTTAATAATAATTATAATAATAATAATGACATAGAAATAATGTCAATTATAATCATTAAAATATATATATATATAAATGACTAATTATATATATATATATATATATATATATATATGTATTATTGAATTTCCTTATCAAATATAATTTAGTTTTATATCTAATCTAATAATTTTTTGATAATAATAAACATTATTGCAAATTAAAAAAATTGAATGTTATTTTATTAATAATATAAATATATTTAAATTAATTAAATACTGTATATATATATATATATATGTTTTTACAAGTAATTTATTAGTATATTAGGAAAATTTTTTATTTAGTTAAAACCATTTTTTAAATAAATAAATATATCATTCAATCAAATGATATATTCAAACAAATAATTTGCATATCATTTATTTAGTCAATACAAAAATATAACATAAAATATTTTAATTAAGTTTTTATTTTGTGAATATCATAACATTAATGCAATTAATTATTATAAATACTAAAAAATAAAAAAATTTTAGCTAATTTCTAAATTTACATTCAAAAAAAAAATCTAAACTATCATAATATATATATTTAAATATTTTTTTTAAATTAGCTTGCTTATTATTATTAGTTGGCAAACAATATAAAATGGGGAAAAAATTATTATCAAAAAAAAATAAATAAATAAAAAATAATTGTTAACAAAATAATAATACAAATAGTATTTATTATTAAGTTTTTTTTAAAAAAAAAATAACAACAAAAATACGTCAAAATTTTCCCGACAATAATATAATTACATCAACTTTTCTATTGAAAACTATTACAATATAAGAGAGTATTATTACAAAAATATTGTATTTTATATTATTATTATTATAAATATATTTTAATTGAATTTTCCTTTTTTTTTGTTGTTGTTGTAGTTTGTTGTCTATTGAAGTGCTTTTTGAAATAATTATTAAACAATTATTTATTATAGTATATGCAATATAACAATAATTTTAGTATAATAATAATAATTGAATTATTTATTAATATAATTATAATTGAATTAATAATTGTCAATGAATTTGTTTTATATATAAATATATATATATATTGTTTATATTCAGGGTTATAGTACTAAATAATAATAATAATTATAATAATATTTATGGTATATATTAGTCACACAATAAATGTTATTACTATTATTATTATTATTATTATCTTAAATAAAAAAGTGCGTTATTTAATTAAAAAATAAATTTTTATAATAATTTTTTATTAATTTTATTAATAACCTTTACTTTAGATATTGTTTTTTACTATAAATTTATATCTACTCTATATTTGAGATACACATATATATATATATCTAAAGTAATATATATATATATACTTAAAAAAAGTCTATAAACTTAAAGATAATTTCAAATTAGAAAAAAAACATAATCTAATAGTTTAATGTGTTATTAGATATCTAAATATTAAATGAAAAAAATGTTTATAATTATATTATATAAAAAAATACATTATATTATATATATATATATTAAGATCATTGACTGATTAGAAATTAAATAACATTTTTAAAAAAAATATTATTTTGTTAGTAAATACTTTATGTTATGTAATAAAACGTTTTTTTTCTCATACATTAATAATCAAAAAAAAGTTATTTAATTAGTTTTAACGCAATAAAAAATTATAATATTATAATTAAATAAATAAATAGACAATTAATTATTTAATTATAGACACTCCCTGGACACTAGAAATAATTTTTTATAATTATCATAATTTTATTTAATATAAAACAATTTTAATTATTTATATATTTATTATTTTTGTTGTTGAATGATTGATATATACTAAGTTCAATAAATTGTTTAAATATTATATACAATAATATAATTTAATTATTAATAAATATTTATAAAAATCAAATAAATGGCAATAATTTTTAATATGCAATTGATAAATATAAGAAAAATTTTATTATAATTCAAATAATAAATAATAATATTTTTAAAAAAATGTCAATTACTATCAATTTAATATATTTAAGTTTCTAAAACTAAATTAATATCATAATTATACCAAGCAATAAAATAAATGTAAATAAATTATTTATTTTTTTTTGCTAAATTAAATTGTTTGTACTTATATTGTTAACATATAAAAGACAATTACATTAAAAAAAATAATTTAAATTACAAATGTAATTATAATGATAATGTAATCAACAACAACAACAAAAATTAAAGTAAATATTAATATTAACATTTTACTGTATTATTATTATATGCAATAGTAGTAATAATAATATGTTAATTATTATAGTTAAAAATATAATAGCAATTATAAAAATTAAAAAATTACTGATAATTAGCAAAACAAAACAAAATAAATTAAATGTATATTTTTAAAAAAATTAATGTTTTATATTAATTATATCATATTAATATATGATATATGATGGCACATCATAAATACATACAAAAAAAATTAATTATTTAAAAAAATGTTAAAAATAATTAAAAACAATGAAATGTTTCACTAAAATAAAATAAAACTAATTATAATAAATAGATTGTTGTTTAAATAAATTATATGTATAATTAATTATCTAATTAATACAATGTGTTTTTTTTGGTAAAATAATAATATTAATAATAGAAAAATATTAATATTAATGTAGAAAATAAATAATATTTTTTTTAACTATTTGTTTGTTTGTTTAACTATAAAATTAGCAATTTTTTATGTGTGTATATATAATTGTATAATTAATTTATTATTAATGAAAAACCTATTAAAAACTAAAACTAATTAATTAAAAAATTAAAATTTTAATTTTAAAAACGTTTACGAAAACTATAGGCAATCATCCATAGGAGTACACCGTCGGTAAAGTTGAATATAAATAGCGTAATATTGTGGCCGTATTTCCTCTGAAACCAATTATCCACTTCCGTCTCATCAAACCTATAGCGGGTACTGTTCCTCAACATATCGAAGTTCCGCTCGTAATACATATGTGTAGTACAGGAGCCGGTCATCAGTACGGCTTCGACCGATCCGTAAAACATCAGTACTCCCAGTCCGACAAACCCAACCACTATCTGATTAAATAAACAATAAAATATTTAATTAATAATAATAATTTTCAATTAATTAATAATAATAATTTTCGATTAATTAATAATAATTTTTTAATTAATTAATAATAATTTTTTAATTAATTAATAATAATTTTTAATTAATTAATAATAATTTTTAATTAATTAATAATAATATTGTTAGTTAGCTAATAATTACTGTAACTGTTATTACTAATTATTTTGTTTTTATAATTTAATAATTTATTATAATGCTAATTTTTTATGATTTAATTTAAGTTAATTTTATAATAATGACATAAATAGTTTTTTATATTTAATAGATAAAATCTGTTATTAAAATTATTATTTTTTTAATTATATCATATTTATAACTATATATATACTGTATAAACTTAATAAGGAAATTAGTTATTATTTTATTTATATGTATTAATTTAAAAATGTATAGTTTATAATACTATACTCTGTATATTTAAAACTGTAACTTATAATTATGACACTTAAAGTTATTTTATTTTTGTTATAATTTTAATAATATGCGTGGGTGTATAGGTTTTAATCAGAAAATTATTTATTTTTAAAAAAATAATTATTATATTCTAGTTATTAAAGTATAGAAATTAAATATAACATAATTGTAATAATAATTTTATTTTTTTATACTCAAAATTTAATAACAAAAATTAATAGTTATGTTAAATAATTTTATTTTTTTGCAAAAAAAATAATGTAATATATTGTCTGTTTTTTTATTTGTTTGTTTTAATTTAATTTCAATCTAAAATAAAAATCAATTTGACAGCCAATAAATTTAAATTTTTAAAAAAATTAAGTTTTTTAAATTAAATTGTCAATCTAATATATTTTGTTATTTATAAATATGTTAAAAAAAAGTTTATTATTGCTAAATAATAAATAAATTACATAATAGTAAATGTAATGCAATTTTATAAACAAAATTAATTTATCGATTATCTGTAATAATAATAATAATAATAGCAATTCAATGCTAATCAATAACAAAGAAAAAATCAATTTTCCTAAATAAAACTATTTCTCAATAATTGTCAAAAAAAATATGTTAAATAAAATGTTAAATAAGATTTTTGTATCAAAAAAAAAAAAAATTTAAAATTAAATATAATCTACTGGTTGTTACACATAATATATTATATTCAAAAAAATATATATAATAAATTAATTTATCAAAAATAAAAATTACAATCGCATAATAAATTTAATTATTTAATAAAAAAAAACTAATTAAAATTATTATTGTTTCAGAAAATATTAGAAACAATAAAATTATTTTATTATTTTTTTTAACTAATTAATTGACTTAAATTAAAAATTTTAATTAATTTGTTAATTAATTAATTAATTTTAATTTAATTGATTGACTTACTGTATAGAAAATAAATTTTCGTTTATATAGATGTTCGGCGGCATCGATAAGGCCGGCAATAAATACTAGTAGACCCGTTACGGCACCGGTAATCTCAATACATGACAACTGATGGTAGTCATACTCAATACAGCTCCGGGTTAATATAACAAAATATGAACCAATTGATATTAGCTAAAAAAAATTTTTTTTTTAAAAACAAACAAACAAAATAATAATTAATTTTTTTAACTAAAATCAAAAATTAGGAATTTTTATAAATTAATATTAAATAATAATAATTTAGAAAATATTATAATTTGGATGTAATAATAATAATATATATATATATTTAATTAGTAGTTATTATACTAAATGTTTGTTATATTTAATAATAATAAAAAAGTTAATTTAAACATAATTTTGCACAATATTTTAAATAAAATTAATTCTCTATTTAATTATTAAAAAAAATTTATTTCAATTATTATTTTTTTTAATATAGTTGTAATATTATAATTTCTGGGTAATAATAATAATATATTTTTTTTAATTAGTAGTTAATATACTGTATGTTTGTTATATATATATATTTTTAAAAAAAAGTTAATTTGCTTTATATATATTAAAATTTATTGTCTATTTAATTATTTAAAAATTTATTTATTTATTAATAATTTAAAATAGACAATTATGACTAAAATTTTGTGCTAAATATAATTTACAATATAAATATATGTATATTACTTAATATTAGAGAAATATATAATTAAATTTATTAATTAATTAATTTTTTGGTAATAATATATTAAATATTTAAAAATTAAACAAATAGTAAATATAATATAATAATTATGTTAAAGTAATCAAAACTAAATTAATTATGTAATACATTATTGTAATAACAATTAATTTAACATAAATAAACATAAATAATTGTTAATTATATTTATTTTTATCATTTAAATTAAAAATAATTAATAAATTTAAATATATATATATAACTTACAGCTAATGTGAGACCAAAAAATCCATAATAATTTATAGTTGCTTTTTCAGGCATTATTTTTGTTTTAACATTGAACTAGAAAAATTTTTAAGATTTTTTTTAATTAAAAAAAATTGTTTGTTTTTTTTAAATTTTACAAAAACAAAATTTTTAATATCTTTTTTTAATATACACACCAACAACAACAACAACAAACAAAAATTTTGAAACACTTTAATATGTTTACTATAGTTGTAAACAAATTTGTTTATTATTTATTTATTTACTCTTTTTTTAAAAATTTCAAGTAATTTTCCAAATGAAAATTTTTTTTATCACTATTAATAAACACTTAATAAAAAAATTAATTAATTAATAATTGTAAAAAATGTTTTTTTTCAATGTTATTCAATAATAATAATAATAACTTTTAAAAGTTATATCAATGTAATTGTTTATATATATATATATTAATTTATAATCATTTATCATTAATTAGTCAACACATAGATTAGTTAATAATCATATATTATTATTATACATGTATAGTATAACTGTATAGTTAATAATAATTTCAACAATATTTCAATGGATATTAAACAACATTATTATTATTATTATCAATTAAATAGTTGGAAATACAATTTGCTAGTATCAAAATAATAATTATAATAATAATTTTTTTAGGAAATAATTACACAGTTAAATAAGTATAACATATAATCAAATATCAAAAAATATTTTTTTTTAAATAATTATAAATATTTCAAAAAATCATTTCAAACAATAGTTTTAAATAAAAACTTTTAAAAATATTAATACTGTATTATTATTATATATATATATGGCATAAAATTTTATTATAAACTTCTATTATAATAAAATAAAACACACAAACATTACAATAAAATATTATTATTTATTATAAATTTATTTATATATATATATATGTAATATAAAAATTTTATATTAATAGTAAAATTTTTTAGTAATAATTTCTATTATAATAATCTCAAAAAAAATTATTTACGTATACATACGTAAGTAAATTATTATTATTTCAGTAATTTTTATTTAATTTTATTATTATTATTATTAAATAACTCTGTTTAAAGCAAAAATTAATTAATTAAAAACAAAAATCAAATCAAATGAGAGAGAAAATAAAACAAAATAAAAAATTATTAACTAATTTACATATATATACTGTATATACAGGTATTTAACATAAAATAATTATAATAATAATAATACTGTAATAATATTTAACACAAATGTTTGCCAAAATAATAAATCCATTTTATTATACAAAAGTTTAATCACATGTTTTCACTTACAATAAGAAAAAATTATTATTATTATTAAAGAGAGAGAGAGAGAGAGATATATAAAACAGATAATTGTTTATTAAATAAAACAAAACAAAACAAAAAAAACTTTTTTTTATTATATTTTTTTAAGAGAGAGTAGACTTTTTTTAAAGAGCCGATAGCCTTCATATAAATATATATATATATATATAACTAATATAAATGCTATGATAAGCACAGTTAGCTTTTTATTATTTTTTTTTGGTCAGACCTTCAGATCACTTGGGAAGACAAAACATACTTCTCTATACTCTCTATCTCTCTCTCTCTATGAGCACTAGTCGTTAAAATAGGGCAGTCCTGTCAAGGTATGCAACTATTAAAATAATATACATATATATACTGTATTTAAAAAAAAACTTAATATGAAATACTAAACAGTAGTATTATTAAAAATTATATATATATATATATATATATATAAATATATATATATATAAATATATATATATATAAATATATATATATATAAATATATATAGCTATTTAACAAAAAACAAAAAATATATTATAGTAGTATAATATTTATATAAATAAATTTCATGTGCGTGTGTGTCTATGTGTATGTCCGCACACACACACACACACACATCATCAGCACATGTATGTATAGTATGACTGACTGACTGACTGTTTGGATATATACATACCTGATATCAGGTGTGTGTGTGTTTGTTAATACTTATTAACGTTATAAATATGACGTTAATCTCTCTCTCTCAAACAAATTATATATTATTATTTATGTATTTATTTTTTATAATGTATATTATACTGTATTAATACAATTATTAATACAACAACACAATAAAAAACAAACAATAGAAATATTTTATTTAAAAAAATTATTATTATAATTATAATCTTTTATTTTTGTTGAAAATAATTTTTTTCATAATATATTCTAATAAATTACTTTATATTTATACAGTATATAAACAGTATATAATATTATAATTAACTATAATTTTTGTTATTGTTGTTGAAATAATATATATTAACTAATTGATAATCAAAATAATAATAAATCTAGACAACAATATGATAATAAATTAGATAACCAACAACAAAAAATTACAAACAATAAAATAAATAGTTTAATTGTGTGATACACCTAAAAAAAATTTTTTATTAGTTCAATATATATATATATATATATGATATATATTATTTCCTACATATAATTATTATTATTTTATAAAATATATATATATAATTTATATCATATGATTCATATAATATATATATATATTAATACTTTTAAAAATTTCATATACACTAAAAAAACCAATAAAATAAATATTTAATAAAACAATTTATTTTTAAGTTTACTTACTTTATTAATATTTATAATAATAATTATGTTCAATACAGTTATATAATATTATTAATTAATTAATTAGATTTTTATTATATAATATTAATGTAGATTTTAACGCACATATATGAATATTTTGTTAATCCTAATAATCAATTAATTAATTAATTAAACAAACAAACAATAAATCACATATTAAAGTAAAAATTTGTTGAATATATATATATATATTAATTGATGATATAAAACTTTTAATAATAATAATAATAATAACAATTAAATTTCAATATATTTATCAGCGATAATATATTGTAGAGAAAGAGAGTAAAAGAGAGAGAGAGAGAGAGGACTTTAGTCTATCAAACAATTTATTATTTTGAAAATACTCTTTTATTTTTGTTTGGTTGAAGTGAAGTCTATGCTCTGTCAATGAATACCCCCCACCCCTTCACAATAATAACCAGTTTATTATAGGGGGTGACTAATAGTCAGAGAGAGAGAGAGAGAGAGAGAGAGAGAGAGAGAGAGAGAGAGAGAGAGAGAGAGAGTTAGGGGATTCAAAAATTTCAAATCAAATAAATAGGTTAACACAATATATGTGTTTGAATTCAAGTGAAAAATAACTAAAGGATTAATATATATATATATATAAAAGTAGACAAACATCTGTATACTTATTAGACTATAAGTCATACATACAGTAAGTACAGTATATGGCCCTCAAAACTGGACATTAACAACAACAACATACCGGTGCTCTGAACCTTATATCTCTCATATGACATTTTAAATACATCAAAAAAAATTTTTGTTAATTTAATAGGTATTTATTAGAGAGAGAGAGAGAGAGAGAGAGAGAGAGAAAGAGAGAGAGAGATAGAGAGAGAGTCAGTGAGAGTCTAATAAACTCCTTAACCCTTATCAGTCATATGAATACAAAAACAACAAAATAAATGTTTTATTAAAATGTTTTTATTTGGGAAATATATATATATATATCATATACAGTACACACATACAGTACTAAATACAGTATAAATATATCGGTATTTAAACATTTTTTTTCTCAAACTGTTTAAAAGTCAAATACCTTTATAAAAAAAAATTTTAAAACTTTTTTATTTTTCTAACCATTAATTAAAATAATATTATTACTGAAGTTAACGATCCTATATATAAATATATATTAAACTAAAAGTTTTTTATTTTATTTTTTTTAATTATCAGTTTTCGTATAATAACAATAAAAATTATAAAAATTTTAGTGATAATGACTTTAGCAATAAGTGCGCTAAAAATATCGATAAAAATCGTGGACACCCTATTGGGTCTAGTATTTGGCAATACTTATCGGCGATTGACCGGAAAACTTTCGGCTATCTATACTGTTGGCCGGCAATTGATGACCACCGACACCGACACTACCGATACCAACAACCAAACTGCAACCGGCAAATGGGATGACCGGCAAAACCTGACCAACGATACCGTCCAACGGCTTGAACGCAGCGAACATCAACTAACGGCTCTACAAAATCAATTGGTTTTACTTAAGCGCCGTTTGGATGAACTACAGGCCATGAAATCATCGTCAATACCGCCGCCACCACCACCTCCGCCACCGATGCCTACCGCGAGAACAACAGTACAGCCGCCGCCGCCACAACTATCTACCACTTGCACGGGTCCGGCACCGAAAATGATGTCCACTACTACCGGCGATCTGGACAAACGTATACTGAAAGCCGTACGCAATCATCCGAACACACCGCGCGATCTGCCGATGGACCCGAAACGTGCTAAGCCATCGTCGGCCGATCTGATCAGTGGTCGCGGCCGACTACGACATACAACTGTACGCCGTAGCCCAGGCGGTACACCCTTAACTCATTGGCGACTAGTGGACATTGATATGCAATCGTCACCCGAAACCGACTGCACGGATGTGTCCTCGATTATGAAGCGGGCGCTGAAACGTAAGTTCAAAAATATACCGGTATTTAGTCCGCCGTCGCCGCCATCGATGACCGGCAGTCTATCCGATGGCGATGATGACGGCGAGGATGAGTATGACTTCAGTAGCTGATTGATCCCTGAGCTTGAAATCAGTTATATTTGTTTTTTTGGAGATAACTATTGATTTAATTTATTTGTATTTAATTTGTTTCGTATCCATTAATTGTTTAATTATTATTGTAATTATTATTATTTAGTAATTAAGTTATACTGTATTTTTTATATAACTTAATTAGTAATTTTTTTATACAATATTTTTTTTATATATATATATATTTAGTGATAAAATAGGTATTATTTGTTTTTCATATAAAAAAATCAATTGTCCGATAATATTGTTTAATCAATGTTTTTGCAAAAATCGGTACAAAATTAATTAATTATATTATATATATTTTTTTATTGATATAGTTAAAAATTTTATTATGTAAAATTTTAATTTATATTATATCGCATACATTATAATTAATAATAATTTGTATATATTATTAACAATAATATTATTTTATTCATAAAAAAACATGATTTTTATTTTGTATATTATTATATTTTTTAATAATTAAATTTATTTGCATCAATATTTTTTTTTTTTGACTAATTAAAATAATCAATTATTTTTTAATTATAATACATTGACATTTAAAACAAACATTGTATATAAATTTATTAATAAAAAATAATTTTCATATTTAATATTGAAATTTAATTGATTTTTTTATTGTTTATAAAAATAATATATAATAATAAAACACAAATATACAGTATATATATATATATTTATTAAAAAATAATTTATATGAAATAAAATTAATTTAAAAATTACACATATGTCTGGATATCATAATAATAATAATAATATGACACATACTTGGCCTCAACAACAACACCGACTCCTAAAGGACTGATAGCTTCAACCACTGCTTCGGGCTATTTGTTTGGTCAGTCTTTCCTGAACTGTAAGACAACAACAAAAATTAATATTATTTTTTAATATTTTCATTACTATATCTATATCTGTATCCATCCATAACTTGCAGTCTTCGGGCATACATTTCGGACAATTCGGGCCAACATTTGTTGAGTCCCAGCACCTTAAGGGTCGGGCAGATAACCGATAGACTACTTTGCTATAGATGGGCACCAAATGGTGTTTACAATATGAAAAACCGTTTTCTCCAATATCTTTGACGACAACCATCTGATCGGTGTCTTTCGGCAAAAAACACGGCATCATTCAAGACATCATTGATTTTTTCAATTGATATCCATTAGTGAAATACAACAGTGCTTTCGCTGCCCTCTCCGGTGTCTCTTCAATAGATCCCAAACTATCGTTTGCACCGTTAGTTTTTTTTTTGCGATACTATACTATTAGTAAGATTTTTATTATTGATATCATAATTATTATTATTTTTATTTAATTTATTAAAATTTGTACTCATTTTGTTTGTTTGTTTGTACTGTATTATAGATATTACTAATCAAATATATTGTTGATATAAATTTATATTATAATATTGTATTTTTAATTCGGGCCAATTTGCTGAGTCCCAGCACTTTATGGTCGGGCAGATAACCGATAGACACGATAGCCATAGATGGGGACCAAATAGGGTGTTCACAATAGGAAAACAATTCAATATCTTTGACGACAACCATCTGATCGGTGTCTTCAGCAAAAAACACGGCATCACTTTTCAAGACATCATTGATTTTTTTTTCAATTGATATCCATTAGTGAAATACAACAGTGCTTTCGCTGCCCTCACCGGTCTGTCTTCAATAGACCCTCTCTTTCCTCGATCTTCGCCAATGGTTTCCCAACAGATCTCTAAAAATAAATACGAGTCAATCGTTTAAAACTTGTGTCTCATTTGCCTCATCGTCCAAACCGTTTGTTTGCACCGTTAGTTTATTTATTTTTTGTGTGCAATACTTTACTATTACTTTAGATTTTTTTTTTATTGATATCACAATCAATTTGTTTAACCTCTAACTACACTCATTGACTACACTATTATTATTATTATTATTATTATTATTATTATTATTATTTTTGATTTAATTTATTAAAATTTGTACTTATTTTTTGTTTGTTTGTTTGTTTGTATTATAGATATAACTAATAAAATATATTGATATACAGTATATATAATAATAATAATAATAATATAATATTTTTAATTTAGCAAACTGTTTTTAATTTATTAATATAAAACTTTTAGAAATAGTTATAGTTTTATTTTTTTTCTAAAAAAAGAAAAATTATAAACTTATGATAATTTTTTTTCAATATAAAACTTAAATAATAAAAAATGTCTTTTTTTAAATTTTATTTAATCAAATTAATCTTTATAATTCATTATTATTGTTATGCATTGTTATGTATTGTTAAAAATAAGTAAATAATTATTAAATTAAGTAATAAAAAAATACAAATCAATAAATATGTGAATTTCAATTATAAAACTTATAACAACATTATATAATAAATCAATTATTATTTACTTTATTTTTCTTTATAAAATAATTTATAAATTATATTACAAAGTAAAACACACTTTATGAAAATGACTTTTAATTTAATTAAATTTAACAAAAAAAATGATTTTCAAAATTATTAGTAATAAATTAAAAGTTTTAACTATTTAACTAAATCATATATACAATATTTAATAATAAAAAAAAACAGAAAAATAATAAACATTTAGCTTAACAATAATTTTTTTTGAGGGATACAAAAATTATTTATATTAATTAATATTTTTAATTTAGCAAACTGTTAGTACCTATAAATACTAACAAAATTTTTAAAATATATATATATATTTATTTATTAATATAAAACTTTTAGAAATAGTTATAGTTTTATTTTTTTTCTAAAAAAAGAAAAATTATAAACTTATGATAATTTTTTTTTTCAATATAAAACTAAAATAATAAAAAATGTTTTTTTAAAAATTTTATTTAATCAAATTAATCTTTATAATTCATTATTATTGTTATGCATTGTTATGTATTGTTAAAAATAAATAAATAATTATTAAATTCAGTAATAAAAAAATACAAATCAATAAATATGTGAATTTCAATTATAAAACTTATAACAATATTATATAGTAAATCAATTATTATTTACTTTATTTTTCTTTATAAAATAATTTATAAATTATATTACAAAGTAAAACACACTTTATGAAAATGACTTTTAATTTAATTAAATTTAACAAAAAAAAAATGATTTTCAAAACTATTTAATAAAAAAAAACATTGATATCATATAAGCCAGTCATTAAAAAAAACAATAAAATAATAAACATTTAGCTTAACAATAATTTTTAAGAGATATATAAATTATTTATATTAATATCTATTTAATAATTAGAATAATAATAATTTATTTTTTATATGTAAATATTAATATATATATTTTTTTAAAAATAATTGTTAACTAAAATAATATATATATTTTTTTGCTTATTATTGTAAATTGAAATCATCAAAATAAATTAAATACTAACAAAAATTATAAAAATATTTTTTTTTATTAAAACAAAACTTTAAAATCAATTATAAAAAAATATGCTAACATTGGTTTGTTTGTTAATCAATTTTTTTGCCAATCACTTATTTTTTGCCAATAACTTATTTTTTTTACCAAAAACTTATTTTTTTAATTACTTTTAGTTAAAAAAAATTACAATTAAACTATATATATATAGTAAATAATATACGGTATATAAAATCACTTAAATACAATTCAAAGATATATATCAATTATTTTTATATTTAGACAAAACAAAAAATTATTGTTTTATATATTATTTTTTCAATTTTTTTTAAATTAAAATAAAATTATTTTAATCACCAAAAATGGATTCAAAACAACAACATATTATACGATCGGTTAACTACAATGATGTCGATTACTATTATAAATATCAATCAATTATTGAATTATTGATTGAAAAACTACAATCAGAGCCAATGAAACTCTATATGGTTTATATAAATTGCATATAAATTAAAAAATAAATGTTTTTTTTAGTATTAAAATAAATCATTTATTATTAATTTATATGCAATTTAAAAAATTATATAAATTATAATCAAATTATATAAATTATAATCAAATTATATAAATTATAATCAAATTATATAAATTATAATCAAATTATATAAATTATATTTAATAATTAATTAATTAATATAATATAATAATATTTATTGAGAGATTTAGAGACTGATTAGATTTTTTTAATATAAAAAAATTAATTAATTAATTTAATTATGTTTTTTTTCAATTATTTATTTTTTCAATAGACTGACAGCAATAATGGTCGCCAATGGACCAGAGGTCAGGTACTGGAGTCGGCCCTTAGATTTGGCCAATACTTGCGTACAGATGATTGTTGTCGACTGGAAACGGGAGAAACGGTATGTTTTATAACACATAGCAATGGCTTACACGGTATAGCAGTGTTGGGCGTATTGGCCGCCGGAGGTGTCTATAGTTCCTTGCATTTGACTTCAACTGAAAGTAAATATATATTTATTTATTTTTTTAAATATATATATATATATATATATATAAAATTAAAATTTATTTAAATATTTATTTTTTTAGATGAAATAGATAGTATGATTCAAACAATTAAACCAATTATATTAGTCGGTTGCCAACAAAATATGAAACTTTTAAATACTATTCAACAAAAATACAAATTTATCAAGGTAAATTTAAAAAAATATATAATATACATACATAATCTATATATCTATATATCTATATATCTATATATCTATATATCTATATATCTATATATCTATATATCTATATATCTATATATCTATATATCTATATATCTATATATCTATATATCTATATATCTATATATCTATATATCTATATATCTATATATCTATATATCTATATATCTATATATCTATATATCTATATATCTATATATCTATATATCTATACAATATATACAGTATATGCTTATTTTATTTTTTTTTTTTGATTAAACATTTCTATAAATGTTATTTAGTGAAAAAAATGGTTACATTTTTTTAAATACTTTAATTTAATATTAATATAATAATAGTAAAACACAAATTACAAAATATACTGTATATAGATATATATATATATAATTTACTGTATATATATATATATATATGCATACATTAATTTTTGAATTTATATATAAGTCTTACTAATTAATTAGCATTTTTTTTGTTGTTTGTTATATATATAAAAAAAAATTGATAAATATATTTTATAATTTTAAAAAAAAAATCTAATTTTTTAATTTTAAATTGATTTTAGATTATTCTAGATTTAGACAGTATTAGTGAATTATTAGAAAATAAACTACCAGTGCCGATTACACCGACACCGACACCGACAACACCAGCAAACTTGGCTACACTATTGATGTCCAGCGGAACAACCGGTTGGCAAAAGGCAATCATTTGGACAAATAGCCAATGGTTAGCATTTGCAGCTGTTATGCAGCACAGGGATGTTGTACCCCTGACCACGGATGATATACTACTATCCGATAGCTTTTCGCACGGTATGGGTTTGGTTTGTCTGTTTCAGACAATAGTCAATGGCTGCCAATTGATTGTACTGAACGATAACGATTGCCAATCGCCTCAATCGGTATTTCGGTTAATACATGACTATAGGGTTTCCGTTTATTATATTCTACCGAATCAATTGCAATTTCTGGCCAAACATTTCCATGAATATGATAAACAATATTTGAAATCATTGGACAATTTGATAGTCATCGGCGGTGATATAAATCAACAAATTTATGATAAGATTATAGATGTTTACGGTTTTAAACAATTTAGAAGATGTATATATATATATATACTATTTAACTATTATTTAACTATTATTTAATAATAGTTAAATAATAGTTAATAAGTTAATAATAAGTTATAAATAAGTTATAAATAAGTTATAAATAAGTTAATAATAAATTAATAATAACTATTATTTAACTATTATTAACTTATTAACTATTATTAACTTATTAACTATTATTAATTTATTAACTATTATTAACTTATTAACTATTATTAACTTATTAACTATATTTAACTATTATTAACTTATTAACTATTATTAACTTATTAACTAATTATTTAACTATTATTAACTTATTAACTATTATTAACTTATTAACTTATTAACTATTTTTAACTTATTAACTATTATTTAACTATTATTAACTTATTAACTATTATTTAATTATTATTAGCTTATTAACTAATTATTTAACTATTATTAACTTTATAATTATAATTATTTAGGTTTCGGTATGTCAGAAATAGGTACAGCCACTATGGAATCGGCGTCTCAGTTGAATAGTCTAACAATTAATAATAGTACGGACAGTCCTATCGGTAAAGTTGTTCCCGGAATGGAAATCAAAATTATTGACACCAATAATAGTGACAATAGTTTACCGGCCAATCAAACGGGACAGATATGTTTACGCGGACCAACTGTTTGTATTTATTGCAACTAAAAAAATAAAAATAATTAATAATATTATATTTTTATAATTTTTTTTTCGTTTTTCAGGTAACACCCGGCTATTTTGGTAATCCCGGTGCTACCAATCAATTGTTTACTAACGATGGTTTCCTATTGACCGGTGATTTAGGATATTATGATCAAAACCAATGCTTTTATTTTGTCGACCGTCTAAAAGATTTTATGCTTTTTAATGGTAATTATTTTTTTAAAAAAAAAACTTTATTAATAAATAACATTAAATTTATTTTTTTTTATTATTTAAAAATATTCTATTATTAGTATTAGTAATAAATATTATTTTTTTTCTAACTAATTCTAAATAATTGTTTTGCTAATTAAAACTAATAATAATAATAATTTAAATAAAGAAATACAAATATATATAATTTATAAACAAAAAAAAATAATAATTTATTAAATGTTATGAAATTAAAATATAGTTATTTTAATTTTAATTATTATTATTATTAAATATTTTTTTCTAAATTCTAAATAATTGTTGAGCTAATTAAAACTAATAATAATAATAATAATTTAAATTAAATACAAAAAACACACATAAATATAATTTATAAACAAAAAAAAATTAAAAAATAATATTTTATTGAAAATAATATTTTTAATTATTTTTAATTTATATTATTATTAGGCAGAAAACTATCGCCAAAAGAGTTAGAGTGGAAACTATTGGCACATCCATTGGTCGATAGGGCAGCCGTTTTGGGCATCGATGACCAACTGTACGGACAGATACCCCGGGCCTATGTTACACTTATAGCCGACTATACCGTTACGGATAAACAAGCGATGGAAATGGATTTACAACAGTATGTAAACCGTAGGGTTAATGACTGTAAACAGCTAAGAGGTGGTGTCAAGATTTTAGATAAAATGCCCATGACCAGTTTAGGCAAAATTAACAAGATGAAATTAAAAATGATTAATTAAACATTAATTTTTATAAATAATTAATTAATTAATTATTATAATTACAGCTAGTACAAGTATGTTAGAAAATAATAATAATATTATAGTTATAGTTATGCATTATTGATATTATAAATATATGTTAAATTTATTTTAAATATATTTAAAAATTTTTGTTTTGTTTTTTTTATTAATTATATTAATAAAACTTATTATTAAAAATAAATAATAAATTTGTATTTTGTTTTATTGACTAAATTTAAGTAATTTTTTTTTTAATTAATATTATTATTATTTATTATATATTAATGTAATTTTATGATGTAAAATTTTAATTTATATTATATATACATACATACAGATGAAATTAAAAATAAAATAATAATAATTAAAAGTTAATAAATGGTTAATTTAATTTGTAACCATTTTGTTAAAAATTAAATATAAATTAAATATTTTAATTATTATTATTATTATTAGCTAGTAGATTAGTAGCTTTAAAAAAATAATAAAATTTATAAACTCTGCCATAATTGATGTTAAATTGTTGTTAAATATTATAATTTTTGTTTTTTAATTATTTTTAATAAAACTTAATTATTAAAAAATAAATATCAATAACAAGTAATAGATTAGATAATAAATTATTAGTTATTAAATAAATTTATTTGCATCAAAATTTTTTTTCGATTTGATTAAAAAAAATCAATTATTTTTAATTGCAATACAATTTCATAAACACAAAGTTAATTAATAATTAATAAAAAAAAACATTTCTATAAATTTATTATTAGTGTCAGAAAAAATTGTTATATTTTTAATACTTTAATATCAATATAATATTAGTAGTAAAACACAAATTAGTGTATATATATATACAGTATATATATAACTATATATATATATATATATAATAAAATTAATTTAAAAATGATTCACAATTATAAATAATAATAATAAATGCCATTTAAATTACTATATATTTAATAGTTTAGTACATATATATATATATATATTTATTTATTTATATACACAATATTACACAATATACAAACAAAAAATTTTTAATTGAAAAATTTTATTATTATTTAAGTCCAATCAATTAGTTCAATCAATTTTATTAAAAAAAATTAACTTTTTTTTTGAAAATTATTATTATCAACAACAACAAAAAAATGTGACATTTTTTTTTTATTTAATACTAAAAACTAGAAACTCAATTAGCAAATCAAATAATAATAAATTATAGCTAATATATCAAAACAAATAGTTAAAAAAAATCAGTTAAATTTATAATAATTATTATATATTTTTTATTTATGAAATACTACTTATAATAATAATAATAAAATAAACTGAAAAACATATATATATTTGTATTATTATTATTAATTATCTCATTAATTCATATTAATATAATTTAATGCCGACATTAATGTTGTCCACGATTTTCATATAAAATAAATAAATTAATCGATAATTATTTAGTCGATATCTAGTATATGAATGAGAAATATATATATATATATATAAATTTTTATATATATATAATTAATAGCAAAATGTCACACTTTTTTTATATTTAGAAATGATATTAAATGATAACTTCAATAAATTCAACCAAAAAAAAAATCTAAATTATATTTCTAAACTGTATTTTATATAATTTTTTTTTCAACAAAAAAAATACAAAACAATTATTATAATAATACAAACAAACAAATAAAATTTTTATGACATTAGTTATCATCACATTATTAATTATTATTTTTTTTAAAACATGTATACAGTATCTCATGATTAACCACAACATTGTGTGTGTGTGTGTGTGTGTGTGAGAGAGAGAGAGAGAGAGAGAGAGAGAGAGAGATCACATCACTAGATATAATGTGATTTATTTTTGTGTTAATTTTTTGTTTTCAAAAACAAAATAGTTGTTTAAAATATAATTATTTAAATATTTATAAAAAAAACAAAATTATAATAATAATAATTATATGTAACAACATTTCTATTATATATATATATAATACCATGATTTTCAATCAAATCAAATCAATAAAAAACAATTACCGGTATATGACTACTACTACTACTACTACTACTACTACCGGTACCGGTATTAATATACTACTACTACTACTACTGCATATCATCGATCATTGATTCGTTAGCTAACCGCCGATGATTGGCCGATAGCCACGAATCCGATTGCCGATCGGCCGGTAGACTAAAATTTCTAATGTTTAACGGATATCGTTTTGTACGGTCACTGTTATAGCGAAAACCTGTCAGCCGTACGGCCGATACTTTTTCCGGACCGCCGGCAAACTCTAGATTATAGTAACCGGTTTCCATTAGATAGGATTCGTAGCCGATTGTATGCCAATCGGTTGTATTGTTGGCCGACGACAATAAATTGTCGGTAAATTGCGGACATATTTCGACTAAACATTCGGCAGCCAATTGTGGCGGCGGTGGCGGCAATTGCGGCCATTTTTTCGTGTTGTTGCGACTGCGATGATATCGATCATCATTTTCGATGATCACTTCCAGTTGTAGACAATCGGCGTAAACGGGTTGCGGTAAACGTATCACATAATCGCTGGTAAAGTCATCGGCCGACGAGGATGTCTGCATTAGTTCGTTGAAGGCCAACACTACCGGATTTTCGTCGTTATCGTCGACACTGAAGTCGTTATCATCACTAGACTTGTTCACCGTCTCGTAGTCGCCGTCGATGTACACTATACTGGCCAATGTGTAGCCACTGGCGCGGCTGCTGCAGCCGCCGCTGCTACCACCGATTGTGTCGTATTTTTCATTGTATGTACACTTATTGTTTAGTACACGATCGGTTAGATGGTCGGTAAAGTCGGGTCCGAAATATTTCGAACAACACATTGAACCAGATTTTAGGCACACATTGCCGTCGGCAACAATAAACGACTCAATAGTCCGTAGTGGACACTTGCTATACTCGTAGCGGATGGCCTTAATATTGAATAGATTCGGGTCGCTTGGCAGTTGCCGCGATCGTAGAAATTGTCGGCAACGTTGCTGACGGTAAGCGGTCATCCGGCTATTTTGGTCACTGGAAGTACCGCCACCGCCACCGCCAGCATGACTAGTACAGGCGGCGGCTCCGTCGCGATCACGAGTAGCGGGAACGGCGGCAGCAACAGTGGACGGATGGCTCTCTGCTAAGCGGCTGCTGACACCAACTAGAAAACTAAGCGGCTGATGACAATAGCCGCCGACGCCACGAGCGCGGCCCCGACCACGTCCACCAACAACAGTGGCAGGAAGTGTGTTGTCGTTACTGTTGCTGTTGCTGTTGTTTGAAGGCACCCAAGGCTGCCATAGGGGCAGTTCGATAGCGACAGCGGAGGCGGCGGCGGTGGCGGCAGTAGCGGGAGTCTCGAGTAGTCGAGGCGGACCACCACCAGGAAATAGGTCATCCGATTGGATCAATCGATAGGGAAACAGTTCGTTATTACACTCGACTACTATGCGTACAAAATCCGTAATAAACGGCTGATCAAAGTAGATGTCTTGGTCGCCGACACACGAACACTGTGTATAGTCAAGAA